TTCATGAAACCATGTTGATAAGGAGTGATAATTTTCTCTTGAGAGAGGAAGTCAAAAATGGCACTTTTCACGATCTTTTCCAGAACCCTTGAAATAACAGAAGTTAGGTTAAAGGGTCTGTAACTCATGACACTTGAACGGGAGCCTGACTTATACCTATGGGTAATGTGCGTGGTTTTCCATGCATCTGGATATGTTCCAGTTGATAGAGAGATAGAGAACAATTTAAGAAAGAGAATAGGGATGTCTTCACCGCCGTATTTTAAAAAAGTTCAGGGAATCATTTCAGGACCAGGGTTGTTTTAACTTTTAAGGGACGTGATTGCTTTCTTAATATTATCCAAAGAAAAGCTGATAGTTTCTAAAGTTTTTTGTGAACGTACATGGAATAGAGGTTGTGGCGACGTGTTGTCATCATAGGCATATGACCGTGAGAAGTAGGAGTTTAGAAGCTCACAAATTATTTCAGGGTCAGTAGCAGTCTCATCATTTTCTAAGATGAATTGTATATCTGTTTTACGAGAGTTTAACCTTTTGCGATAAAGCTTACAGATTGCAGTGTATTTAGAGCTATCTTTAAGGGCTGCATTTTCTTGTCTGAGTAGAACTTTGTCGTTATTTTCTTTCAATCTGAGATAAATGTTCTGTATATTTACAAGACACGAGAATTCATTTTCTTTGTGGTACTGTCGGTGCAGCTTTCGCAGCTTAGCCTTTACTTTTATAGGAATGAAATTCTTTATGTTTTGTCTTGGCCTCTCTTTACATTTAGAAAGAAGTTTATCAAAGCATATAGTTACATTCTGGTAAAAGGCTATTAGGATAGTGTCTAGGTTGCTACTAGAAAAGAAAAGGTCCCAGTCTAAGCTTCTAATGAAGGAGTGAAATACATCCCACCTAGCTTTTCCGAAGCACATGAATGTCTTGCGCAGGGTAGAGCATTTTGATGAGTTAAGCTTGGTATCGAAGGCGCAGATTATTGTGTTGTGGTCACTACCAGGAAATGGTTGGCTGATGTCAATGGTGGATAAGGCAATGTCTTTCAAGAAAACCAAGTCCAGTATATTGTGGTTTCGGGTGGGCCTTAGAATACTTTGTGTCCACCCACATTACTCAACCGCATCTAAGAATTTGCTGTAGCGGGGAGGAGCACTGATGGGCTCCCATGAAACTTCAGGCACGTTAAAATCCCCTCCAATCACTTTATAAGTAAAGTTTAATTTCGAAGTGTAATGAAAGGCTGCAGTTATTTCACTTAGCAGTTCACTGTCATGGTAAGGTGGGCGATAGATGCAACATAATAACAGAGTTTGCTGTTTATTTATGTAGAGTGTCACCCATAATGTATCGCATATATTAAGGTTAGGGTCATCTAGTGCGCAGCTCTGCATTCAGATTTAACATAGATAATGCATCCTCCACCCCGCCCAACTGATCTTTTCTTCCTGAAAAATGAGTAGCCTTCGCAGTGAAAGAAATCATCATTTATTTCACTTGTGCACCAAGCTTCAGTTGAATAAGGTTGATGAATATTTGGGGTACGCCGTATTACTCGAGTAGTTTCCAAATTACTTCGCAGACAACGCTGTCGAAGGCCTTCTCAAAGTCTATAAAGTTGAGGTAGAGGTTTCATTGCCATTCCATGCTTTGTTCTGTGATGATGATACGTAGAGTTGCAATTTGGTCAGAACATGATTTGCCTTCCCTGAACCCAGCTTCTTCTGGTCGGAGTTCTGTATCCAGTGCATCCTTTATTCTCTCCAGGATGATGCGACTCAGAATTTTACTTGGTGTCGACAGGAGCATGATTCCTCGCCAGTTCTTGCAGAGTCCTAGGTCGCCCTTCTTTGGTAGTTTCAAGAGGTAACCTTTCCTCCAGTCAGTAGGCACCTTTATCTCCTTCCAGACCGTTTGCAAAAATTGAGTCAGCATATCTGCTGTCGTCACTGGGTCCGCTTTCAGTGCTTCAGGGGGTATTCCATCTGGTCCAGCTGCTTTTCCAGCTTTCAGAAGCTTGATTGCATTCAAAACTTCAGCTTTCGTCGGAGGATTGGTGTCAACTTGCAGTTGTGTACGTGCTGTTGTTGGTATTTCTGGACGGGTTGTAGGTGGTGGTCGGTTCAAGAGTCCTTTGAAGTGGTCCGCCCATTGTTTAATCTGTCTTTCTTCTTTGGTAATTGGGTTCCCTTGGCTGTCTTTTATAGGTTTCACTTGTGTTGATCTCTTCCCGGATAGAGACTTGGTTATCTGATATAGTGTCCTCAGGTCCCTCTTGCCTGCTGCCTTCTCAGCTTCAGTGGCCAGGTTGTCGTAGAATTGTCTTTTGTCCTTCCTGGCACTCTTCTTCACTTCTTTGTCCAGTGCTGTGTAAGTTGAGTTCAGCGTCTCTTTTTCTTGTCCATCTTTGCATTGAATCATTTTCTTTTTCACCATTCTCCTCTCCTCTATTAGCTTCCAAGTGTCCTTTGAGAGCCATTCTTTGTCTTGTCTCTTCTTTCTTCCTAACACCGTCGAACACGTGTTGTTGAAAATCACCTTCAGAGAGTTCCAATGGTCTTCCAGTATTTATTATGCAATATAGCAATTATATCGGAGATAAATGCTGATGTTTTGAATGTAAAGTATGCAGATGAATTTACAGACTTTGCCAAGGAGCTAGTGAATATTTCAACATGGCCAAAAATAGCACTTACTATAGGTTATGCAACGCATGAGGACGATGCAGCCATGTATTACTTTAAACTATTTCCAATTTTACCAATAAGTAAGGTAAACCGTTATTCAGAAGTTTTCAGATGCCTTGATGTTGAATAATGGGATTTATCGGAATAGGCTAAATGAATTTTCTCCCATTTTTAACTTCAAATTTCTTCTCGATATGCCTTGATCTTCTTTTGTTTCAATACTGCAAGATGACCTCAATTTCACTATTGGCAAAACGAATCCATACCGTACTTGACCTTGACTTCTGTTGGAGTTCATGTTGTAGATTGTTTCTTCTCGTTATGATCCATTTTTAATATTAGGAGTAGTTGAGTTAACCTTGTTTTAAAGAGACTTTATTGTAGTTATTTTGGAACTGCTAAAATCAATGGTTCCCAGTCTATATTGGCTCAACATAAGCCTGAACACTGATATGTGATCGGTCTTATTTTTCTGCTGTAGAATGTGATTCAGGAAAATATATTTCATTTTCGGAATTCACGAACAAAGGAATGCCGAGTATTACACTACGAATTTACCCTTTTAGTAATGAAGATAAGCTTCTCGCGGATCCGTGCGAAGTTCTCAGAATCCACCACAGGTGTTAAAGTAATAATAGAAGTAGTTGGGTTGATTCACAGGTATCTGTTGGCCACTTTTTGTTCTGTTTGTGGCATTTTGTGGATGTTGGATACTTTAACTGCAAAATGCATAGTTGTATGGTCTGACGCATCAGTTTCACCAGTTTTGTCCTTTCTCTGTACTGAGTTGCAAAATGCCACCGTTGTTTTACATAAACTCTAGATGACTCTATCATTTTGTGTTACTCTTGATTATGCTATCGTGGAGCAGTGGGATTACTTAGTAAACATCATCACGGTGCCCTGACTATGTTTAATTGCACTAGATTTGCAGAGTATTTATTATACACATACATTACCTGATGTGTGCGTCAACAAACATTTTAAGCAAGGATGAAAGGTGGAATTTCGGATAATAATGTATAGACTGGTGGATTTCATCTGTGTGCATTCACATAAGTTATACATATTCTTGTTTTATTTCGAAATATTTGGAGTACTTATAGCAGTATCGCCTTAATAATCACTCAGATTTCAACAAGCCTATACACGCAGTTAAATTTGTGTTTATTTCGCCGTCGAAGTTTTCGTATACACTTTTACGTGTTATCTGATTACAAAGGCTTTAATGAGTGACTTGATTTGGGAGCAGACTACTTGGACTAATGAATCATTGATTTAGCCGTTGGCTACAAACGTTTGTCATCAATACACACCGGGCAATTCAGAATCAGATGACTTTTTGCCGTTTAAATCCTCACTCAGTATCAGTTGGTGTATTTCTCAAAATGCGTTCCTTAATATTAAGTGTTTTCTGCAGATTCTTTTGTGCTGTTTTCGGATCCATTTAAGTTATGAATACCTGTCCCAAATTTGACACTAGCACAAGGGCAAAATCAAAGTGCTACGACAAAATGAATGCGGAAATCAGCTTTTTCAAGGTTGCTTGTGGTAAATGCCTGGTGAACTCATTTCTGGACATAGTTGTTAGTTGCTCATCTTTAACAGTTATATGATGCAGATGTTCAAAAAGATGTCATTTTAAGGTTTTTGTTACTGTTCGTGTATTTCGATCTTTGGTTTTACTCTTAGAAGTTGTGTACATACGTATAAGCCGTATATGAAATGGCAGTTTCGTGATGATTATTAATTTTAGTTTATTGAGTTCAGGAAGATAGTCTTTTCTTAGCTAAGTGGTTATACGCAGTCATATTTGCGGAATTGTGACCCACGCCTACTTTAGGAGGTAAATACACTAAGTATTCAATTCTGTATACTCAAGGTTTACACTATGAATCTCAGTAACATTACGAGTCAATTAGTGTACCGTAATTTCTGCGCCTAAGCTTATTAAAAGTGTAGCTTACTTAACGGAAAGTGTGCAGATAAACGTTGAACTATCAATCCATGATTCATCAATACGAAACAATCTAATAAATTTAAAGATAAGTAACTAATGCATGATGTCTGTAATGTTCGAGAAATACAAATGATAGTTTGCGCTATTCTGTTAGGTTTAAACATCTGTGATATCAGTAGTATTCACTACTATTTTTTGAGCAGACTAATTATAGTGATTATGTTGCTCAGGATAAATATTGTTGTCATGTTTATATGTGTTTAATTGACTCACCTTTAATACAAGATCTTGTGTTTTCACTAGAAAGCTCAACATTTAAGAGGTTCATTGAAGTTTGTCTTCCGTTCTGTCCACTCAGTCAAAAGGACACATATACACAGGTGGGTGTATAGTAGAAGTCCACGTAGATGTTTCAGGTCGACTGGCAGTAGGGTTGTAAAGTAGTCTCTTTGTTTTCGTGGTTGGTTTGATGTTGGCAGCTGCGAATTGAAGCTGTATGTTTCCTTATGTTTGAAGTTGGTGTCAACCAACAACAGGTGGTTATCCGAGTAACATCGAAATAAACCATCACAGTTGTCGGTTTATCAGAATGAAAGTTACTTAACTATTCACTTGTTTTGTTGTATCACAATATCAAAAGTATAAGGTTTTGTGCCTTTATATTCTTGGGAGTCGATTTGACGCTTAACCAGCAGACAAATCACCGGTCATAACAGCCACATATTAACGCTGGTTTTCTGGTGTCATGAGGGACGAATCTGCACTTGATTGCATGCATGTGCTTTTCCGAATTTAGCTTTGGCAACAGTTGATGTAAATGCAGTGAGATAATTTTTACTGAATCTTAAATAAGTCGAAAAGTTGTATCTTGTTTTAAAATGAATTTTATTTCACAGTGTTTATGTGTTTCTTAACACAGCTATAAATAATGTTTCTATTAAATTCTAGTGTTTCAAATCATGGCAGTTGTACAAAATGTTCACAATGTTGAATGGAAATTGGGTCGTTCAGATGATAATTCAGACTACAATGCTCATACGCTAAACAAGTAAGTCTTTTAAGTGCAGTACCAAAGAATTTGCCACTAATAATCTCTGTACATTCATTAAATCGAGTAAATAAACATCTTTTTAGTTCTGTTACTAGATTACTTTGATATGACGTAGTTGATGATGGGCAATAACCTTCACTCTGTTCGAAAAGTATTCGTATTACCTTAGCGTTTCGGTCTGCCTGGTTAGGTGTGGATTTTCAGTTAGTTCATTTGGGTTTTTTAATTCTGATTCACATACCGATATTCTGAAATTTGTGTGTTTTGAATTCAAGTGTTGCGTTTCAAACTACGAAGCCTTTGTAGCCAAATGGGACGAAATTTATATCCTAAATGTTTCCGCTGCTGTGCATTTTTCTTGGCGAGTGATATGGGTCATGGAAGGATGCATAGCATTTCTAGCTGTTTTTCGAAGACAACCGACTTAGTAACTACAGATAGTGTGCGTATTTCAGACTCAATCTCACTAGCGTGTGAAAGCTTTGATTACTATGGTCTGCTGTAGTTAGGCTGACCTCAAGAGCTGAATGTCACTTCGTGCGTTCGTTTTCGCAAGAGTCACAAGCAGCTGCTGTTCACGATTGAGTGGAATATTGCAAAGATAAACAACTTGTCAACGATGTATGACTAAATTTGCTTTACTAATTGGGGTACCAGGTGATCGGCGTCTTATGTTACTAGCTACCATAAGAGCTAATTTCATTTTAATTTACTCAAAAACGTAAATGTTTTAAATTCATGGTAGCAGAGCTAAGAGTATAACTGTTGAATTCCATTTACCTACTTATACAGCTTTTTATTTTTTTTACCACAGAATCCTGACACAGCTAAATTCGAAGCAAAATGTGATGTTTGACATTGTACTCGCACTTCCCGTAGTGCTGCCTGTTTACACTTGTTATTATTATTTTCTGATGTGGGAGTAGCTCTAAGAAATAGCATTAGAGCCCATGTTACTCGCTCAACAAAACTATCTTCATACCTCAGATAAAGTTCATGTTTCCCAAGTACCAGAATGATTTATAAGAAGCTATTACTAGGCAAATCAATTTCAGCAAAAGTTCTACAACTTCCTAGATAAATGAAGAAGTTCAAAAATGCAATAAATCCATTCTCGAACTTCAGACTCAGCATCTGGAATTAAATCTCCATTCTATGTTAAATTCTACATTCCTTTACTTTTTTAAAAATCTTTTTTCGGGTTATCAGTGACTGTGTTTTCATAGTTTTTAAATTGTCTGGAAAAATTCCGATGACTGTAAATGTATCTTTTACAGGGCGTCATCAGTTGCCAAGGTCCGATTTTCTTCACCTGAAGATTTTGTGCGTAAATCAGGTGGAGTGAGAATAATAGAGAAGGTTAGTTTATGTAAAGCTAAAGACATTTTTACACTATGTATTCTCATAAAGGCTCTTGTGCGCCACTGGTTTATTTCACATAGGGGCTTTTATTTTCTAGCTTTGACATTTCAGTTTCACCTTGTGAATTAAACACCTGTGCTTACATCTGTCGTTAACTTTAAAAGGTTAATTAAAGCAGCATAAAAGCAGAAATCGGGCACTATTGAATTTATTTTCTTCATGACATGTTATCAGTTGAAGCGAATCATAGTAAACCAGGAAGCGATAATTAGCAGTTCTACTCTAGTTTTTGAGACACGGATTCATCTAATTTATATAGCAGAGTCATGTGTTATTATATAAAAAACCTTACGTAAAATTGAGCCACGTAACAACATACTAAAGCTAGTAGAGAGGGTGTGGCGTTCCCCTACTGTGTTTTATTATTGGTGAGTTGAGAGGGGTTGTATTTCTTCGGCTCAAAGGTTTAGAGTTCAGAGTATGTGTGCTTTATGCCATGTAAATTTATATCGATGTTTTCGTTGTCTCATCAAAATGTAGTTGGACATAACAAACTAACTTAAGAACAAAGATTCCAAGGTTGTTTTATTTGATATGGTGAAATTCATTGTTCCCCTTCTAGATGAAAGAGATAGTGAGAAAGATCAGTATAATGGAATCTTGTGGGGTAATGCATGCAACGTATCAGGGTTGCATATACATAAAAAGAAGTGAAAAGAAGTAGAATGATAATGCACTGTCAAACACCAATGCGAAAAGGAAAGAAACATTGATTAAGTAAAGATTATTATAGACTGTTTTTCAGTTAGAAAGGTAGAAAAATGGTAAATGAATACATTTTTCCCAATATTTGCTTTTTTGTTCTCAACCAAGTCATTAAGCATCTCCGACCATTTAGTTTTAAGACTGTAATTTATTTGTAAATGTAGTCCTTTTTTCAAAGTCAGCTGTTAATTTACATGCATGATCAATTCCTATTGTAGCTTGTTGATGCATCTAAGTGTGTCTGTGTTTTGTACTTCGATGACATCGTGTTGTCATCGTGCATTCTAGAACTGCAACTTATTAGGCAAATTGTTTTTCAATCACTTCGTATTCGATAGTTGGAGGCAATCAACAAGAAGCCTTGGACGTAAGTTTCGTGCTAGTTTGTGATCATCAGTCAACAAGGCGTATCTGCAACCTTGAAAGAACTCATATCCCTTCTGAGATTCGAACCCACGTCACTCATTGTTGCAGTCAGAGACGTTACCACTCGTGCCAAGTAAGTCCAAGACTTCGTGCCGATTGCCTCCAACCATCTAATACCAACAATTCATAGTACACCGTGATGGCGAGCCACCACGGCCACTTTACAAAATTGACTGGCAGAATTCAGTCTGAACCAAGGATAGAACTAAACACACTACACTAGTTGATGACTTCAGTCACTTCATTTTTGGGTTTTATTTCTCATATACATACCGACGGTAGGACAGTTTGTATGATGTTAATGTTTCTTGCAATAGATGTGGCTCACATCTTTTTGCATGGATTATTACTTTGCTAATGATATTTGATTGTCCTCTTGTATTCAGAAGATTTTCGATTGTGTCCAGGTAAATGTAACAATATGTGATCAAAAGAATGTACTCTAACCAAATACATGATGTGCACACACACTATTCTGTCTGTATTTTTTACTTCATTTAGAGGAGTTAGTATTCTTTGGTATGAGGAACCCAGAAATTACTGACTCTAGTCCTGTCGCACTCCAATAAGATTTGAAAGGTTGGCTTAAACTACTGATTTTTAAACAATATGGACACACAGCTCCTAGAGTAACTTGCTAGTAGTTACTGTCTTTCAGTCTTCTCATGACTAATTATGATTTTCAGATTGAGACAACTTGCCTGCCTATATACATGACGAATTTGTTATCATATTAGTGTTGCTGCTGTACTTCAACAAGACAATAAATCAGCAAGCCTCTTTCTGTGGAAAACCACTCAAGTATTCGTGTACATAGATACCTTTTTCTGCATGCAGCACTTTACATAAGGAGATTAAATCGACCCTGTTTACCCATCGAAGCCTATTCAGCAATTCAGAGATTAGAATAGTGTCGTATTTTTCACTTGAGTGAAGTAAAATAGGTACAGTTTAACAATGACCAGCTGACTAACAGGTTGTAAACAATTTAACGAAAGCGTAATATAACAGTAACAGAGTGGAAGATAAACTTTTTTAGAGGGTTGAATAAAAAATGATTCCATATTTGAGCGAATTGCTTTTGTGTTACAAAATGGCGATAACGAATTGTCGTGGCTTCCTCAATCTGTAAACAATTTTTTTATCATATGCATTTTGAAGATATTACCGTCTGCTTTGAAGGTGATAACACATTATTCTTGAATTGTATTCATTTCCTCCATGGACAGACAATTCGTTTTGATGGATTTTTGAATCGATTATTTTTGAAGTGAGTGATTCCTCCGGAACTGTTCTGAGCTGTGTTTTCCGTAATCAAAACTGAATTTTCACTGGTGGTATTTCCTTTCCTTTTGGAAATTCAAACTAGTAGCGAAATGCGAACCCGAATTTTGTCGACAGGATTTAAACATGAAGGGAGTTGCCGGTTCAGCGCTCCTGGCACAATCTACATAATTTGCTTTTGCTTCTATATATATACATATATATATATATATATATATATATATATAAACCTGTGGTCAGTTTCTTTTCTCTCTCTCTTTTTCACCTTCTAAAGATTCTTATCGCGAATAATGGTATTGCAGCAGTCAAGTGTATGCGTTCCCTACGGAAATGGTCGTACGCTACATTCGGTAGTTCAGATGTCCTACGTTTTGTATGCATGGCAACACCAGAAGATATACAAGCCAACGCAGAATACATTAAAATGGCTAATAAAATGGTTTTAGTCCCCGGCGGTTCAAATGTAAATAATTATGCAAATGTTGAACTAATTCTACAGACTGCTGTGACGAATAAAGTTGATGTAAGCTATACTTAAAAACTTTTCAAATATATATATATATATATATATATATATGCATTTGGCAAGTTTACCCTAGAGTCATAGGTTCGAACACACTAGCGAAGTGCACTATAATATGATCCTACTTATTTATTTATCTTTGAATTCAGAGCCTGTGAATTAACATTTACAAGTCGGTTATCGCGAGTGCTTAACTCCACAGTGTTACAATGTGATTAATCACTCAAAGGTATATCTTTCAGGTGCGTTGAAACGTACTGTCCAGAGGAGTAAATTAGCTTATATTACAACACATATTGAAATGATAATAAATTTATACCCTAAGATAATTACTAGATAAAACTCTTTGGCACTTTGTTAACAACCTAAGGAGGACTAATACTCAGAGATCAGAACCAGCTTCACTGGATGCTGATTGATTCCAATGGTGGATTATCACACTAGTAACAGAGCTGCATTTCACTTGCGAGTACAAAGTGTTGAACGATTTCTATTGATCACATTTAAACTTCTTCGTTGTTTCAAGACGTGTAATACATATATAAACACTACTGGTCTTATTGTTCTCTATCGTTTTTGTATTGATTACCTTCATATATCATTTTTACGGTGTCTTTCTTCGCTTGATGTCCTGTCTCCATGTTTGTTAACTTCTATGAACTGTTTACTGTTTACTGGTCAGTAAGTATTAACACCATTCCCGCCATTGGCGCAATATAATACATGGCAGTGGATGTCAGAAGTATTAAAACTCAATTGTCGTCCGACTATTTGTTATTGTAAACAAGTAAACTGGGGTACATATATATATGCGCAGTTGTGTACATTTACCGAATCATTTAGTTTATTGTTTCGAATTTCGAATGACTTGATTTAAGAATTTTATTGTAGCGGAGTTTTTAAATGTATAAGCTCGTCTGTGTCTCTCTGGGTGTGTGCGTGTGTGTGTGTATTTGTTCGTCTGCGTGTACATTTTAACTACTAGTATAAATGTTTGTTTCTGTTGACGTAGGCAACATCATTTTATCATGTATACATGAATATCATGTTACGTAATGTGTATTTCTAAAACATTCAGTGTAATTTCACCATTTAATGACATAAGAAATTGGATCCATGTAAACAGAACGTGTGTGTGTGCGCTTTTCACCTGTCTTTCTGTCTCTTTCCCTCTCTCTCGCGCACGCGCTCTCTTTCTCCAACTACTTCACATGATGTTTTATTAAAGTCATACTTACGCTTAGTGATATTTTTAATCACCTTTCCAGAATTTTGTTGTTTCACTTCTAGACTTTTTCTGACGATTCGTTTTCCAACATCTGCTGATTGACAAAAAGTTGTGTTATTAATGCATTATGGTAACTGGAATGATGCTTTGTCTCATTGCACCGAAATGGGGTTGAAAAGATTCAGTGTATTCCATCCTACGTGGTTTACTTTCTCTTGATGATATCAGGACTCTTTAGGTACATTTAGTCTTACCTACTTTTGCAGAGTGTATGTAATAAGCCTCAAGCAGATGTTTCGTTTACCATGAGGCTTCACAAATGTTATCCTTTGAAGAAAGGTTGGTTTTCAAGGAGTAGAATGTTGGGGTGGGGGTCCCACCATACATTTCCCATATTGATTTCTCAACAACTAATCCTTAAACATATTTTTTCTTCCTACCCCTGAGTATGAAGACGATATAGTTTTCCTGTGCGATAATTTACGGGCTGCTTAGATCGCAATTAATCAGTTAGCTAACTCTTGATGTATAAATGTAATTTAAGCTCGAATAATCGAAGTTCGGGGTAGTTTATCAACACTGAAAGGAGTATTTGTTTGCAGTCATCTTTGAAAATACATCCTTGGAAGCAGTTGAAATGTCCAGGTATTTTCAAGCGTATTTATGGTTCAGATACTCAGTTGGGCACTTTGGAGTCCTATGCCATCGGACGGACGACGGTAGTTGTCTAGTACAGTTCTACTTGGATAATCATCTTTTTCTAGTCAACACTAATTTCATACACAAGGAGACACTGACAGATCACGTAGCTGTGAGCTATCGTTGGAAACGGTCAGTAGACCATTACCACACCTCTGTAGACTCCAACCACGCACCAGTTCGTGCACATATGCGCTATAGCAATGTCTGATTTTGAAGAGATTGCCGGGAAAATATATCTCGCTAATTAAGGCACTGTACTCTCAAGACTACGGATAGTTATCATGTGAAGTGATGAAAACCAGTGGTGTCCATCAGGGATGTTCATCGTCCACATCTTTATTTAATTCCATCATATATGTACTCATGAATGTGGCCCTAGTTGACTTTAGTCACTCAAAGATTCATTGTTGCCAGGAGATTAAAAGTACACAGATGATATCGTCTTTCTAGGTGAAGATGCTGACAAAATGCTGAGTCTTCCCAACACGTTTGGCAGAAATTCTCGGATGTTTGGCTTGCGATTTGTTCCTGTTAAATGTAAGATGATCCTACAGGACTGGTCCGCACTAGCTCCTAGTTTAAACACGTAGGGAGTGAAGTGATAGAGGGCGTAGGCCACTTGCAAGTTGCATCAACCGTAATGGACTGATTGATGATGAAATCGCAGTCCTGATGCAAAAGGCTTATGTGACATTTGCTAGCTTGCGACATCTCTATCGTAAACGCGATATCTAGTTATCGCACATCAGTTCTCTTTGTCGTTCTTTACCACTGTAAGATTTGGTGGCTGTTAGTGGGACATATTGAGATGCTAACTGTCTTTGATCATAGTTGTCTGTTATAAGATTTGATAGTGTCGAAAATTCCCATATTATGAATTAAAAGTCAATCTGAACGAAGAATATTCTTTTCAATAATTTCTCTTCAGGTTCTTACAATTATAAAATATAATATTTGTTGTCGTTACAATAAGGCCAGTTATGCGGCAGATACATTTTTAACGTAGAATAACAGATTAGTTATGGGGTGTCAAAATAAATAGTCGTATTTGTGTGACAAACGTGCTAGGCTGAATTCGATTACAAAATAATGTAAAACGGGAGACAATGGTGATTAATCATAATAGATTTGTAGAGTGGGGGTAGGAAAATTGACAAGTCAGTTCTATCTCCTGTTTAACACAGACCACTTTGTACTAGCCACTCACCTGACACCCTTTTATAACCTTGAACTGACTTGTCAATTTTCCTACCCCCACTCTACAAATCTATTATGATTAATCACCATTGTCTCCCGTTTTACATTATTTTGTAATCGAATTCAGCCTAGCACGTTTGTCACACAAATACGACTATTTATTTTGACACCCCATAACTAATCTGTTATTCTACGTTAAAAATGTATCTGCCGCATAACTGGCCTTATTGTAACGACAACAAATATTATATTTTATAATTGTAAGAACCTGAAGAGAAATTATTGAAAAGAATATTCTTCGTTCAGATTGACTTTTAATAGTTGTCTGTGTTCTATCCCTCGTGGCATAATATGGTAAGTGTTATTGATCTCAACAGTAGAGTGTTAGGTAAGGAGGTGCAACTGGATGGATTGAGATGGCATGGAGATGCCTTACACATGCCAAGCCACTGCCTTCCTCGTCGAGCAATGTCAAGTGGCATAGGGTTATGTTAAAGAAGAGTTAGAGGTAGTCAAATCGAAATGTATCATCAATCCATAAAGTCCTAGACTCTTGGATTGAGCCAAATTGGGAGGTGAAGACAGTCCGGTTAGGGTCCACGAAGTGCTAAGAACCAGTGTCTGGGAACGTTTGGCGACGTCGCTCCGCATACAGTTCTCCATATTTTCACTCTTTATAAAATCTCAGATTCACTGAATTCTCATTTTACTCTTTGCGAAAATCTTTCTCCTGTACATTTGCTTTCATTATAGTTTCGTTATATTTTTCTGTCCAGTTTTATGCACAACTTTGTGAAATATGTTTACTGGAACTGCTACACTTTCTTGCAAATTTGTATGATGAAAGCTCAGTCATACAGTGAGATAATTAATAGTATACATGAGAATTTACACCTTATAAGTGACCTAGTCTTCTCGGCGTTAGCTGTTTAGTTTGCCATGTCTGTCTGTTTTCGACATAGAACTTTGCACCTATGTGCGGCAGTTCAAGTCACCACACTCCATGTAGCACACAAAGCAAGAGAAGAAAGTAGAAGAAATGCATAATAGAGACAGTAAACAGAGGTGTGAGACAAAGGATTAGTAATGACGAAGAACAATATAGTTTCATTGGAAATCAAAGGTCACAAGGAGTGGATGCATCTGCGCCACTGAGAACGATTTTGAGCCATGTCACCAATTGTTTCCAAACATTGGTTTTTACCGTCCCGAGGACCCCAACCAAGAAGCCAGTCCACACCTTCCTACGAGGCTTAGACTAACTGTTGTAGATTTCATTGACTGGTGCCATGTTTTGGTTTGACCGCCACTAGCTCTTTTCCAGCCTGACCCTATATCAGCTAACATTGCCCATCGGTCGAGGAAGGCGACGACTAGGCATACGTAACACATGTCCTAACCATCTCAGTCGATGGAATTTCACAGTCTCGTCTATTGATTTCCCCGCCTTACTTAGCACTCGACCAATGCCAAACCTCAATATTGCTCACCTTATCATACCACTTCACGCGGGAGATAGAACGCAGACACCTATGATCGAAGACAGCTAATCTTTTCATGTCTTCCCCTCTCAATGACCAGGTCTCACAGCTAGCCATAAAGGAGGAAGGAGCGAACTGCTGAGCAGTACACACGCCATGTACATAGCGGAGGGTTATATTGCATTGAATGATGGAATATTGAACTTAAGTGACTGTTGTCAAACGAAATAATGTAAACATTTTAGGCGTAGCTTTAACTATTGTCTATAGATAAGATAGTTTATACGTGTATGAGTGGTGGCTTCTTGCCTTAATGACAAAATAATCATTACACCTCTTTGTATTCGCATATTATTATTATTATTATGCATTAGTCGTCATCGTCCAGTTCTACTTTTTTTGTTTGTTTTTAGCCTTTACAAAAGTTTTTCCTTCCTTTCTTTCTTTCTTTCTGTCTTTAGACTAAATTCTATTTCAGTATATTGTAAAATATTTGTCTTTCTCATCTTCAGGCTGTATGGGCTGGATGGGGTCATGCTTCAGAAAATCCTCAGCTACCTGAAGTTCTTAGTAAACACAATATTGCATTTCTTGGTAAGTTGATTTAACGTACAATTAGTGTTGTTTACATTTTTTACATCAGTAAAATTAATTGCCTACTTGAAGTACATTCACTTCACATAATAGCGGCTAGGTAATTTAACAATAATAATACTAGTGCTAGTGATGATAATAATAATATTAATGATGACATCCATGTCAAATATGCATAGGATAATGACAACACGAACAATAGGGAATATAAATCATCAGTAGTACTTCCATACAAAGAAAGAACCTCGGAAACCTTGGGGAGAATTCTTAACAATGCAGACAGGAATAAAAGTGGCATTCAAATCCACAAACTCAATTAGAAATAAGCTTTGTCGGTTAAAGGATCCTGTGGAGCTAATTAAATAAAACAATTCTGCTTATCTAATACCCTGCTGGAATAACTGTGTGTCAGGTCAAATACATATGTCAGATTAGTAGAATGGGGTCAGTCAGTCAAACTAGCTGAACAGCACAAAAACTTAGCAAAATCTAGATTAGTTGACCCCAATAAGATAAGAAATCTGGAGGATAGTTCAGTTATAGCACTCACTACATGCAGTTACACATGACCATACAATAGGATGGGATAAGATGACAGTTTTAAAATTTAATGTAACACCAGGATGGAGGGAAAGATTGATGACGGAAGTTTTATGTATCGAATCAGCTGAAGAGAATACGTGTAATAGGAATGATTCAACACCTGTCCCAGATATCTGGAAAACTCTACTACCCCTTTGACAAATAGGAGGGAACAAAGAAAACTATAGAACTCAAGTTTCGAAGTTGTGTGATTATTGTTGATATGATTATGAACAGTAAATTGTGTTCAAAACCTTGTCGTCCAGTACATAATACTGTTTCACTGTGTGATATATCTAATAAACAAATTAATGTGGAATTCAACGTATGATTTTCGCATTTCCACTAGCAAGCGATTTATCTGCGATTTGAAGTTACCTTAGCGATAAGGGTACTTTTTTACGTCGTGGGTTGACCACCTCTATGACCAACTATCTCTGTGTTCTGGGTTTTTGACCAGCGAGCAAACTAGGTGTTATTTCGCTGCCCAACTCCCTTATTCCATTCGTAACTCAGCCAGCGAATAATGATAATTATAATAAGACTGATTATCTTGGCTTCTACTAATTGCAGTAGCTGAGGGTCAAAAATTATAGGCCGGTCAATTCAGTGAAGCTACTTGCTTCGCCTTCCTACTTTAATACGCTTAGATTTAGAGTGAAAAGATGTGCGTAATGATAATGAACGGACTCCTGTGTATCTTGTCGGCTTAGGCTACTGATTTTTGTCTGGTAATCCCTGATTTAAAGTCTCGCAACTGAATAATGTCTTACAGTGAGGATGGCTCGTGACTGCTTTCTACATATTTGGTGGAATGATTAATCCTCATTGCAAATTATATTACCTTTAGGACCTTCGCATCAAGCTATGTGGACACTTGGCGATAAGGTCGCTTCAACAATTCTCGCTCAAAGTGCCTGCGTACCAACTCTCCCTTGGAGTGGTTCTGGTAAGTATGTAGTAAGTATATTCTTACAGATTTCCTAATTACTTGTCTATTTTTGGTTTAGAAATGTATTTGAACTCTACATTCGCCTAACCATTTTCTATATTAATAATTCAAAACATCATTGTTTTTAAGATTTAATTGTGTATTTTATTTCATGTATTATGTGTAATGGCATTCACTTCTATTTTTAGCATTCTAATGTGAATATTTTTAGTGACATCTTTTAGTTGCCTGGAAGTTGCACTGCCATCTCACATGCATTCTGAGCTGTCTATTAAGGTGTCTGTACTCGATATTCTTCCACTAACAGTCGGTAGTAATATGAAATCGCTAGTATTCAGCATTTGTGTCTAATGATAGTCACATCCGTCAAAGTAATTCCTCTGCCTACTTTTCATGATTGATTTGTGTAAAGATTTCTACGGTAATATAAAAGAAAAGGCTTTCAGCGAAGAGTTATTTTTTTCGGCGATATCATTCTCAAGCTGTACAGTCGCATATATATAAGTAGTGAATTTTCTTAGCAACAAAAGAAATATTTCCAAAGGTGTGTCATTAAAATTGCAAGTTTTCGATGACAAATTACGTAATGTAGAAAGCGCTAATCGGGTAGTAACTGAAATTAAATTAAATAAGTAAGATGAGTAACTTAATATAATTATTGACTGGGTTGAGTAAAATTCAACTAAAATTGAACGCGATTCAAGTTAACAAGAGTGGTAGTAAGGGTTAGAAATTTATTTGGGAGTGAGAGAAGAAAATAATACAGTTAAGAAACCAAAAATAAGAATTACGCACTTGATGTTAAGATAGATCGAGCCCACTGCATATTTAATGACATTGAACAGACTTCTTTTGCATACAGAGTTCAGGATTTAACATGTGAATCGTCATTGCTTCTGCGATTTGGAGAAGTTCGATTCGTACTCTTTTAGCGAGATTCCCACATATTCTGTAGATAACTGTGAAGTTTCTTTGTGGGTTAGCTTGGTGTCCAGATTCGATCAGATGTTCCAAGATAGAGCTGTTGTGCAGGGGGATCTTTTTCCTTTTTTATAAAACCATGACTGTGGATGGGTAAGTGTTCGGGGATAATACGCTTGGATAGCAAACGCTGGGTACAGCCGAAATACCTAGCTCCAGCCGAGCGGGTGAATTGGTAGATACACGTTGGTGAGGCCAACAGTGGTGGCTTATCCCTCACGTTCATGCGAATCATAGGTTTCGTAGGGAAAGTTATTCGAAGTTCACGCGCCAAGAAGGTTTTCTTCAGTTAGCAGCTGAATAGGCGGTTTCTCAGTATTTTTGCTGGTGAGTCTCCATTAAATTGTAGATTCAGGTAGATAAGTTTTTTGGGAGCAGAAAGTGTGGGCGGTTTTGGTGGTTCAGGTTTCATAGATTTCGTGAAGAAACGTTCTGGATAACCATTTCCGAGGAGGATTCTTTTCAGAGTTTTCAGCTTCTCTTCCATGGTGTCAGGCCTGCAAATTCTTCAGATTCTGTGGCTCAGTGAATGGATCAATTTTCGTTTCGTATATAGACAGAGACACCTAACTATGCGAGTTGTTGAGTTGTCCGATCCATGTTGGTTTTCTATAGATGGATCCTTTTAGTGTTCCATCGTGTTCTCGTCTTGTCAAGTTGCTACTACACTAATGTTTATAAAACACAAAGTGTTTCGCAAAGAAATAAAGGGAATGTTCGTTAGCGAATCGATTCTTGAAATGTTAACTACCAATAATGTTACTCTCGTATCACCTTTTTTGTTTTGTGTGTATCACTATTATATGTTTTTGTGAAGTTCATTTTTTTGCATTCAATGCTACACGTGTGTGCGTTAAATACTGAGGCTTATAGATATAACTTATTGATTCAGCTATTCAGCCCCGTGAAATATCCGACACCCTCTCCACCTGTTTCGGTTTGAACGACTGGTTAGTGTCGTCAATCATAGCACATTACGTGTTGTGGTTAAGTTCTAACTAACTTCAGCTTATTAGATTAAGCATTTAACTTTTAAGTAGTAATTTGTGATTTGGAATCCAGCTTTACTTACTAAGGTTTGAACATCTACATGGCTGTTGCAATACATATGTTATCGATAGTCAAAATTACATGTCACCATACAACCAAACATATATGATGTATATAACCACAGGCATGTAAATTTACTAAGGCAGTGAAACACACTTGTAGTAACTGATATAAGCGGATAGTGTTGGAGAGTTACTTATGTAACGTTATGTTACTATGGAGCGATGTGTGGGGACCCTCTCTATTATATAGTTAGCACGCCCCATCTGTACCAATTCACTCATATTTTTTTTGTTCTTAAGGGCTGACTTCCTCAGCTAAACATCTACAACAACTGAAAACACTCTTTATTGAGATTTTCAGAACACACGCACACACTCGGAAGCAAATGAATTCTATGCCTGAGATTATATTTCACCAATGAAGGATGCATGTGAGAATCTCAAAGAGAATATCCATTTCACAGTAAGATCACAAATGCCTTATGCTAATGAATATCTTTCACTACGAAGTATAACTTTGTCGAGGGTACCTGAAAATTGTTCTATTTTTTCTTAACATATAGCAAGAGTAAAAACAAAACACCTAATGGATAAGTTTCAATTAGCTCTTATATCTTGTCATTATTTACTAATCACTCTTTTTGTGAATAAAGGAATGAATGTGCAGCATTATGCAGTATGTATTGTGCATTACTCCTACCATTCCGTGGGCCAAATCAACCAGTCAATTAATGCAATAGCAAAGTCAGAGATGAACTGTGCACAGTATCACTCGAATTAATCTGCCTGAAAGAACTTAGCTTCTCCTGCCTCTTAATTCATTACACCTCACTGTCTGATTGTTTTATAGATATAACTATACCACTTGACCGATTGGCTAATGGACAGTCGACTGCAAAACATTCAGAAGCTGATGATTCTATTCCACATATTATAAAGTCATCTGGTGGTTTCCCTCAAAGATCATCTATACCCACTAGTCCGATATCTGAAGAACTATATCGTTCTGGTTGTGTTGCAGACTTGACAAGTTGTCTGCAATGCGCTGAGAAAATTGGCTATCCAGTTATGATTAAAGCGTCTGGTGGTGGAGGGGGCAAAGGCATTCGAAAAGCAATGAACAGTACCGATGTTGAACGATTCTTTCCACAGGTTTGTAATGCTTTTTAAAGATGTCTGTAAAGCAGAGAAATAATTTTTACACGACTAAACAATTTGCATAAGTTATTATTAGATGTAGGCAAATGGCATTTCAAGGAAATAATAAGATAAACCAACCTTTTTTAATTCAAGCATTATGTAATTTGACCTACCATCCGTTGTTATACGTAGACTTTTAAGTCTCCAGCAAGTTGGGGTTGTACTTTTTAAGTGAATTCTGTGTTCTTATTATGAAACTTAGTCCTCATATCCATGGAAATCTACTGGTTATCGTTGAAAAGTATCCTTGCCAATTCAGGTGTAACATGTGTTGCAGTGTTAAATTTGTCTTTCTACTTGGTAAACTTGCCACCTTCCTTGTACATTCATCTTCGTCACAAAGATGGCTAATTTGATGTAGTAACTGTATCGGTATTATCAATTGAATAATCAACTTGTTGACTGAAAGTTGTTTGGTGTATGATTGAGTAAAGTGATTTGTACTCATAAGACATCATAATTGGTCGTATATACAGCCTGATTAGTGAGTAGTCAAGGCGAATAATTAGTTTGAAATATTGTTTACATCGTCAAATTATCAAGAAAGACAATGAACACTAATCAAAATGCAACTAAGTCAGTGAAGCATAGTAAGTTTAAACTAAAGATTGCGTAATATGAAGGAGGGACTTTCAGAAATAGTGAATGTTAGTGAAAGAACATGGGGACAACCGGAATAGAGAAAAGCTTAAGCAACCGATGTTAATAAATGTCATACGTAAAATCCATAAAAAGCAATAATAACCAAAATATTGATGACAGCGGAGCCTGAAATTATACCCAAAGTGGAAGGTGGGGTTGTAAATAAACCAGGGAGTGTTCCTTGAGTTTAAGCTCACTAATCTTCACACACCTTTAATTACGATTTGATTAGTCTTCACTGTTTTGGAACATTTTGATGAAGTAAACAACATTTCAAACTAATTTATTATTATTATGCTGTGTTTATCTGTAACAACAGAAGACAAGGGCCAGGCAACAGATCATTTATTAAGGAAAATCAACACATATTTAGAGATTTTAATATACATTATTGTAAATTATTGTTAGTAGAAAATACAGTCGTTTGATTGGTTGTTTCTCACCGAAAGTTAACCTTGCATCTCTTTGTGGCTGTGTCAGATCATCCATATGCTAACTGTATCCGCCCACGCGAAGCCTTTGTTCTCAATTTCTCACCACCAATATTGGAGACATAAACATTGACGTCAATTACTGTCTACCAACTTTGGCTAGCAGGCAGCTCTCACCACATATCTAGCTGAATCATGGTAATCGACAAATCACTTGTCGTTATCTTTTAGAGGAATTTTAGTCATTTTTTGTGCACCGGATCAAAATCATAATAGTGTGAATACATGTCATTTACCTAATAACACACAGAAATTTTTAATCATGCATTATTTTACACAACGAATGGGATCAGTTTCCATTGACCTGTAAGAACATGTATCACGATGTTTGTGATTCTATTGGCTAGATGATGGTTAGCAGTAGCATCCAGGAGAATTACGGGTACCAGTAAGTCTCCGTTGATATTTGCTGGACAGGAGGTTGTTCCAATGACTCACTAGCCAAGTGAATAACGACTTGGACTGTGTAACAAGGGATGCTGGTTTCGAATCACAGCTCGGAAATGACCACTCATTGGAATGCAGATACTCCTTGCTTACAAGTCTCGAGAATTCCTGCCAAATGACATCAAATACGTATTCAATCAGTAGTATGGGTAAAGGTTACAGAATAGCCAACACACTCTTATCATTAAATATAATTTTCTACGGCATTACATGATTATTGGGTTCCGAGTGGAACATAGAGCCTCAACAGTACAATTTTTACGGTACATTCCGAGTGCAACATAGGTCTTGAGTCTCGGAAGTTCCAGTAACGATGTTGTTTTATATGTTGGGATTACCTGCCTCTAGCCCAGCCTTCTAATATTTTTGGATTCGTTAGCCACTAGGCGCGAAGTTTATCTGTTCTCTAGTGGGTTGCATGCTAACTACCACTGTGACATTTCGTTTTTTCTTATAGTTTTGTTCATTCCAGTCATTAAACTATCACGTCAGGGGTTAATATATATGTTTATACATATCTGTTTTGTATCTACCTGAGCTACAAATCTTCTCTATTATTTCAATACATATACTGGACATTGGTCACATTGTGGACAATCTGTAGTTGTTCGAAATAATCACCAGGCAAAAGAAACCTGGCCTGCTACATTTTGCTTAGGTAACCACCATCAAGGGGTTAAACTTGTAAAACAAACTTGCAAATTATCCATTGCATCGTAAATTCTGTACTTCTGTTGCGTTTAAACATTTTTATTGCTTCACCTTACTAATTTTCAAATTACTTCCATTTGCTAATACCTGAGTTGTTGTTTGAACTCAGTTATCCGGAACAGAATTTGCTGGTGCCAGGCTAAAAGCCACACTCTTCGAGAGAGAGAGAGCTTAAGATACTGCCCAGTCGTCCAGGCTGAATAAGGTGGAGTGAGACTGGAAATAGTAACCCATAGGCTGAAACTACATGTTAGAGCCAATAAACCACACATCCACATGAGCGATGACTACTATTAGGTGAGAAAAGGAAAAGTAGCATTACATTTAATAATTGTGGTACTTAATGCATCGGTGGTTCAACGTCAAAATGCTCACCGTGCCACGCACGTGGTTCGGGGTTCGATTCCCACTGGACGCACTCCTAAACCTCACCTATCCTCTGGTGATCCTGGGAGAGGGATGGTTAGGCGTGAGACTAACGACTCTACCCCATAGAAACAACATCACTGCTACTGAGTTCAGTGAATCAAGCCTGCTGCCCTACGTTCCAGTGGAAACGAAATCGATAAAAACAAAAAGGCATTTCTTCAGTCTAATATCTCTACTGTTAAACTCTTATTTTAGGTGCAAGCTGAAGTACCTGGTTCACCGATTTTTGTAATGAAATGTGCAAGTTCTGTCCGTCATCTAGAAGTTCAAATACTCGGTGATAATTATGGTCAGGCTATTAGTTTATTCGGTCGTGATTGTTCAGTTCAACGGAGGCATCAAAAAATCATTGAAGAGGCACCTGTTATTGTAGCACCAAAAGAAATTATTGAAAAAATGGAACAGGTATGCTTGCCGGTCTTTTTAGTTTCGCATGTACTTTTCTTCTGTATCAGTGTCATTCTAATTTTTTTTCATTTTCTGTTTTATTGTAGCTAAGTATAGTAAACTGAATGAATGCATGATTGATTTGTACATGTGTTTGATAGACATTTGTATTTATTTTTGGTAGTCGATATGTTTTACCTGTTCCAGCTATGACAGGTATAGGACTGGTCCTATTCAAGTAGGTAGTTACCTGGGGTTCCAGTGGGAAGTCGTGACCAGGTCGGGTGTGAGGACAAATACTCGCCAAAGACATTGGCTAGCGGTTGCGCTATATCGTGAATTGGCAGAAGTTAGAATTCATGGGCCATTGGATCGGGTCCCAGTGGCATAATGGTCTACGGGCTCGCTAGCCTTGTAACCAGAAGGTCCTGGGTTCGAACCCCGGTGGGTACGTACTGATGAAGAGTCCCAAACTAGGACGAAACAGCCGTCCAGTACTCCCAGCTGGTTTTCCAATGGCTCTCTAACCAATGTCAGTTCATGATGAAATCCTGTAACCAAGGAAGGACATAGTTTAACTGGATCCTTGGTTTATCTATATAAACCGCGATCTTTCAACAACCAGATACCCCCAACTCCGAACTTTACTTATCCGGTATTGAGAATTAGGTGATGAGCACCAGGAGCCTTCAACGTACATATACATCGGTCGACATTATACGAATGACCGAGTGTTTAGCTATATGCCTTTGTGTTTTAACTGGGAGAGCACAGGATTAAGAATTTATCCCAATAAAAAACTGGATTTGCGGGTAGCGCATTCACTTATCGGTTTCATGTCATGCTTTGCTTACTTAGTAAAATATTATATCGTGAACAGTACTGGAGATCAATTAATTATTCGGACTTATAAGGTATTTATCGTTCTCACTGCAGTATTTATAAGTCCGAGCACTGTTGATAGCTGGAAAACGACGGATATCTTCTTTAACTGATGCGTTCGCTGATACACATGCATGCACCCACAGTTTTATAGTCCGCGTCAATCTTCTACATGTTAAGTAAATCCACTGCGGATCAATCTGCTGTATGCATACAAATAATTAACCTCTGGATGCATTCCTCATGCCTCTCGTAGAAGGATTTGATTTGAACAGTAAACCGAGTTGAGTGTAAATATGCTTACTTACTGATTACACTTAGTGATGCTTACGTTTTCTCATTAATTTGTGAAATCTGGAAAATATAACTTCCCTCTGTTTCAACTCAAGGATAAAAGTGGTCCCTTAACATTCCCGACTTTGATCAAAAGTGCGGTTCTGAATCCTTACTGCTGAGTGGTGGTTTTGATCGTTGTTAAAATATCCCTTCTGCACACATCCCATGGTGATACATACCAGTATGCTGTGTGATTAAATTCTGTTTTTTGTTTTCCCGCATTGATTCTTAGTTATTTATCAATTGTTTTTACTCTTTACAGGCTGCCGTACGTCTTTCAAAATTAGTTGGTTATGTCAGTGCTGGAACAGTAGAATATTTGTATGATCCTACTTCTAACGAATTCTACTTTTTGGAATTAAATCCACGTCTTCAAGTTGAACATCCTTGTACTGAAGTAGTTGCTGAAGTCAATTTACCAGCCTGTCAGCTACAGGTATGTTACATGTATGCGTGTATACGTGTGTGAAAATGTTTTTTATTTATTGATTAGACAATAATTCAAACCAACAGTCGTTAAGCAGAAATCCTTATGTAAATACCCCATTCTACCAATCGCATCTCAGTTTATTTCAGGCAGTTTTACCAACCTTTCTTGTTATTTTATTTTTAGGAAACTAAAGGTGATATTTGTTTCATTCACTGGTTTTATTAATGTAAAAATATCTGATCATATAGAGTAGAAAAGAATTGGTCTTAACCAGGGCCTGATGAGTTTGGAAGTCACTTAAACTCGTACGTTGTTTGTGGGCCTTGCTAGTTATGCGTAGGTTCATTGAAAAGGGAAGCACCATTTTTAGACAGTGAGAATAGACACTTGGAGATGAAAGAGATTAGGTTACTTTGAACAGCTAACTTAATGCTTAACAGTTAACTACCTATCTGACTAAGCTGTATTGTAATTCAGTGATGCATAAAACGAATATATGATATCATTCTCCTGGCGTAGACATCTTGATACCTGCATTATTTGTCTTCACTCAGATTTTTTCAAAGGTGGTTAGTTTTATTAAGCACTCTACTTCTAGGCATTGAGCTTCGGGCTAGAATCCAACTCCACCTGCTTCAGCTCTTGCAAATGGCATAATGTTATTGATCTTCACACGTAAAGTGTGGCTCCAAAGCCTTGCACATGAGATATATAGAGTTCTAATATCTTTGCACAGTGTTACAATGAATAATCAGCAGTTGAGTCGAAGTTATGCAGCATATAACTACTAAGCTTTCAGATTATTCGAAATCCTGGATCGGACTCTTTACTCCATTTTCTCATAGTGACGATCCTGATTTTACATAGCCATATTGACGAAAACCAAAACATGTGATACATACGCATATACAGTATCATCCTGTAAGAGACCAGGTGAAACGTTATAGTTCATTGGTTGGATTAGATAACTAACTGTTTTGCCACAGATTCAGTAATTGGTTGCGTACGATTGTCTGTTCGCCTTCTTCGTCGTCAGTCAAGAATAAAATGCATTAGACCGCAGTATGTGGTGAAGTAAATACTACTCTGGATCTCCGAAAACAAGTAGTCTGTGGTCCTCTTTAATATCGATCTGTTTATAGTTCATGACCTTACATTAGTAACTGTCTTTCTGATTTGAGAAGTTTTCAATAGCCCAGAAACACACAGACCGTATTAACGTCATTGTTTCTTTGCGTTCCAACTGGGGCGTAGAGCTTCATGCTCTCTAAGCTTTGAATTTCCAGTAGCGGTGGGGTAATGTTGTGTTTACAGGGTGGGTTCTCTAGCCTAGTGTCTAACCTTTCCTCTTTTCCGGGCTTACTATAGGCTTGGCGAGGTTTCGGAATGTGTTAGCTTGGAATGGAACCAGGACCGTGTACGTGGCTGGCGAGCAACTCCTTATTGAACTACTGACCCACGTCGTTATTTCCTAACAAATACTACTTAGTTTCAAGATGGCACATACAAGAGTAGACTGTAATTACTCACGTCAATCAGTAGTGTACTTGATAATTAGATGAAGGCGATCTAAACACTTACTACCGTTGCATTTGTTTTGTATTAAGTTTATCTGACCTACTGTGTTCTACATATTTTCAGTTCTAAAGGGTAACCGAAGTGAAGTTTTACTTTGACCTGTGTTATTTGCAAATGACGAGTTTCCTTTTATTTCATACTAGAGCTGAATGTTGTTCAGTTACCAATCAACGCAACACAAACAAGAATATTAGCCTACTTAACCTTGTTAGCCTGTCTAAAATATTCATGTTAATCTCTATTTAGTTACTAAGTAGCGCCACTTTGTTAAGTGTACTAGTTCAGTTTTGGTTGACTGATATGTATTCAACTTCTTAGCTCTGATCAGCATAACTCGATGATGACTTTTTTCTCTGTTGTAGATTGCTATGGGTATTCCCCTACATCGCATTAAAGATATACGCGAGCTGTACCTTGTTTCTCCATGGTCTGAATCAAACATTGATTTTGATGATCCCAACATTAATCGACGACCGCCGAGTTGTTATGTAATAGCTGCTCGTATTACAAGTGAAGATCCTGATGAGGGTTTTAAACCTCGGCCTGGTGGTGTACGCGAGTTAAACTTTCGAAGTAATCAGTCTGTTTGGGGATATTTCAGTGTTGGAAGTGCTGGTGGCATTCATGAATTCGCTGATTCACAGTTCGGTCATATATTCTCAGCAGGTGAGAATAGAGAACATGCTAGAGAGTAAGTCTCTTTATACTTGAATATCTTCTTGCACTAACTGTTTAAGCATTGAAAGGAAAATGTTCATCGATTTCAAGTTAAGCGAATGAATAATATTGTTTGTGAATGTAGACGGATTAGTTTGTGTGCGCATGATAGCAGTATTTGCTATTCAAGTGATGTGAATATCCGAGGTCAAATTGCTGTATCCGAGACGCTTAATAATTTTTTTCGGTTTTATTGCATGGAGGATTCAATCATGAGCTGACATCAGTTAGAGAACCACTGGAAAACCTGGAAGTACTGGACAGCTGTTTCATCCTAGTTTTGGGACTCTTCAGTAGTACGCACCCACCGGGATAGGAACCCAGGACCTTCTGGTTACAAGGCGAGCGAGCTCGTAGACCATTAAGCCACCGGAACCCGATCCAATGGTCAGCCCATGAATTCTAACTTCTATGAATTCATGACGTTTCACGACCACTTCGTAATGTCTTCTTCGATGAGTTACTGCCTCATCTTCAACCTGCTGCACCCTACTGGTCACGGCTTCCCACTAGAATTCCAGGTCACTGTCTGAATTTCAGCTCACGATGAAATGCTGCGACAAATAAAACAAAATCCAATACTTGAAAATACGTTATGTGTTGTTCCAACGAATCACTGACTGAGGTGTCCACCACCTTAGTTTGTCCGTTAAATGGCCTGATCTCTTGTATTGTAGCTTCTTGAGTGTTTCCGAATTCCCAATCACACTTTAAGAGAAGCTGTTATTGTTATTTTTCATTAATCATGGATTTCCAACTCACATGATCTTCTCTGTCACCTTCAGACGCCCAACTAGTTGCTTCCCAGTCACTTTACACTGAAGTGCTTCGTGTCTGGTGATTTTCTTCGCAGCGTGCATGCAATCCATCTCTGTTCTCTTCTGCATATTTGTTGGGAAATAAGTTCTTGCTCGACTGGTGTGTTGTCATAGTTTCCTGCTACTTATACTTTCCGGCCGTTCATTTCATCTTCATTGTGGAGCGACGAAATCTTTTAATGAAATCCTGCAACAGCCTGTTGGAAACGCTTTCGATGACGTCTGGGCTAAAAGCATTGACTTGATATCAGTGTTTAGAATTCATTCATTGTTCTATGCACCGAATACTGTAATTCTTCACACTGATTTCGAAGTAATGGAGTCTAAACTTCCTTGACCCCATCCTGCTTGTCTTAGATATCCTCATCCGTGCCGCATGTAGTTGGAACGATGATGCCTAGGTGAGTAAGTGAAATAGATGATTTTTTTCTTAGATTCTTCTTATCAGTAGTTGTTGGTGTTTGTTGTCAGTAGTTGAGCATCCTCATCACCACCTCCTTCTTGTCCATATTCAGCTAAAGTCCTGTTTCCACCTCCTCTTCTTCCGCTTGTTAGTCTTCGAATTTGTGCGACATGAAGTATAAATCATCTGCGAAATCCAGATCCTCTAGGCTTTTTTATTGGTGCTATCTATGTCCGCCTTCTCAATCTCCTCAGCATTTTGCATGATACAGTCCACCGTAATCAGGAATATCATCGATAACAGTCTTACAATGCCTCTGCCTTGACTTCATAGTCCTCGGGGAGTTTTATGTTGTGAATCACTTACCATATGGCATCATCATATATCTGATGAATGAGATTTATTAGTGTTAGCTGTACTGTACTCCGTATTGTTGAAGCAGAGTTACTAAATTATTTCAATATACTAAATATTCCCATAGTAAAATTTAGAACAACACATTTAAGCGAACAATATTGTTTTCAATTAGATCTCATCAGGCTTAACTCTAATATATATAAGTTTACAAATAAAATTCAAATATAAACCAATCATGGTGTTTTTGTCTATAGGATAATACGATGGTGAATATAAACAGTTGTTTGTTTAATCATGCTGTTTTTCATTATTCGTGTTATCACAAATTGCCTCACTTTTTCATCCTTATTATTGATAAGAACATTCCTATTATTGCTATAATTATTATTATCATTACTACTATTATGACTAAATTATTTACCTTTCTACTTAACTGTTGAAGGTTTTGTAAAAGTCAATGAAGTTGAGGAAAATAGCTGACTGCCATTCTAGTCTCTGTTCACTGATGGTGATATTTAGTGTCAAGATTCGGTCTGCACACGATTTGTTTTCCTTGATACCTACCTGTTCCTAGCTAAATCTTCTATCTGGATCATCTTTTCGTATATCCAGGATAATGCGGCTTAATATTTTGCTTGTGGTGCGCATAAGCTGATGCCTTAGACCCTTTGGCCCCCCCACCGACTTTAATAACGATGATTTAAGCTAATTGTACGCAGTAGGTTTCTTCGTTCATTTAGTCTTACTTGGTTTCAATTATTACGGGTTAATGCATGCAGACTTATGTTTCTTAAATTTCGTTTTACTTTCATTTGTTTTTTTTCTTTCACTGTCATCTATCCTGTTTTTGTGATTTTTCACCTCTTCTAGGAATATTGTTTTAGCCTTGAAAGAATTATCTATTCGTGGAGATTTTAGAACTACAGTTGAATATCTGATCAAGGTTATGGAATCGGAGGCGTTTATGAATCATAAAATTGATACAGATTGGTTGGATACACGTATCGCTCAAAATGACCAGGTGAATTTGGTTCCCTTTTTTTCTCCTTCGGGTTCTAGTCCTTGATTGTTCTGACACACACACACACACTTCACAACCTTTTTATTTACCCTCAAGAACACAAAAATAATTAGCTTCACATGTTGTTAAGGCTGTCAGCTGATGTTGATGATAATAACGATCGTGAGTCGAACACTTTTAAACATTCTTTGATGGTATGCCATACATATCAGTTCCAGTCTGGAAAGTAATCTGCTTATATGAATGAAGTAACCCGAAAGTTTTCTTTTTGTTCACCCCCCCTCACCCTTATTCACACTTTCACACACTTTTCACCTCTGCTTAGGATAATATTAAATTATAGAAGTGAATTTCTAGAAATATTTACATTTGTCTGCTGCATGAATGTTGTTTAAGAGCTTTCCATAATCAACCAGATGAAATTAGAAGTTGTGTACATCTATTGTTAGGAAACAACGATAAAATCACTTCCTAAAAAAAACCCATCACACATGGTAGATCATTGAAAGCACTGAACATATGTTTCGTCCTATCTTAGGACTTTTCAGTACTGCGCATTCACGACAGTACTAGGCATCGAAACTCAGACATTCAGGTTACGAGACCAGGTTTGTTAACTTTTTAGTTATTAGGTCAGAATGAAATGACTCGTGAGTTCTAACTCTTGCTGCCTCAGTAGAGGTGAAGCTGGATCCAAACCCGTAACCAACTAACTGGTTGGCAGTCGAGCGTCTAGACCAGTGAACCACAGCTCTACAGATTGTAGCATAATGTCCAAGTTTTTTTTCTCTTAACAATTCAATGATCAGTTGATTAGTTAGTAGAACACAAATAGTATGGTTGATAAGCTGTACGCTGTCACAGAATCTTTCAAGATGTTTTCCCTGGGAACTCATCTTGATGCGACTTGTTGACGCCAAGTAAAATTCTGAGTCGCATCATCCTGGAGAGAGTAAAAGACGCACTGGATACAGAATTCCGACCAGAACAAGCTGGATTCAGGAAAGGCAAATCACGTTCTGACCAAATCGCAACTCTACGCATCATCATCGAACAAAGCATGGAATGGCAATCAAACCTCTACCTCAACTTTATAGACTTTGAGAAGGCCTTCGACGGCGTTGTCTGCGAAGTAATTTGGAAACTACTCGAGTACTACGACGTACCCCAAATATTCATCAAACTTATTCAACAGCTGTACGACATCGGCACATGTCAAGTGATCCACAATGGAAAACTCAGCGAGGCGTTTGGAGTAAACACAGGAGTCAGACAAGGGTGCTTTTTATCACCAATGATGTTCCTAATTGTGGTGGACTGGATTATGCGTCAGACAGTGGGAAACGAGAAGAAAGGGATATCCTGGACCGACGTGAAGAACCTAGAAGACCTAGATTTCGCGCGTGGATGATTTATGTTTGATGTCACACAAAATCGAAGACTTACAAGCGAAAACCGACAAACTGGTCGAAGAGGCTGGCAGCAAAGACAGGACTCCAGGTGAACATAGACAAGACGGAGGTTATGAAAATAACCAATCAGCAACAACAAACAACAGCAGCAACATCCAGTGCCAATCACCATCAACGGGAGGGATTTGAAAGAGGTTACTTCATTCACTTATCTAGGGAGCATTGTCTCAACCACAGGAGGAACGGATGAGGATGTCAAATCGAGAATCGGGAAGGCGAGAAACACATTCATCAACCTGATACCAATCTGGGAATCTTCTTCACTCAGCATCAACAACAAAATTCCGATTTTCAATACAAACATCAAGTCAGTTCTTCTATATAGATCAGATACTTGGCGGATCACAAAGAATATTTTCAACAGGTTGCAGACCTTTATCAACAACTGTCTTCACTGAATACTCAAGATCAGTTGGCCGGAAAGAATCACCAACAAGAAACTATGGGAACAAACAAAACAAGAGCCAATCGCTCAACAAATATGCAGGAGAAAGTGGAGATGGATCGGACACTCGCTGAGGAGGCCGTTGGGTGACATCGCGCGTCAGGCCAACGCTCGAGTAGAACCCGAAAGGGAAGTGGCGAGTGGAATGTCCAAGAGTGACATGGAGGAGGTCGTGTGAAGAAGAGTTGAAGCAGTATGGATTAACATGGATGCAGGTGAAAAGTACAGCAGAAGACAGAAGCAAGTGGAGACGTGTGGTTGAAGCCCTATGTTCCACTAGGAACCCAAGAGAACAATAATAATAATACTCATCTGCATTAAAATGCGTGCACCTGATGGTGTAGTAAGAAGACGATTACTGTGTTAAGAAATTACAAAAGGAAATTCAATGCTTCTAATGTACAATATGTAATTTTCAACAGTTTAATTTTACAAGAGAAAATTTTCTCCTTCAAGAGTTATTATTCTGTTGGGTTTTGAGTGGAACATAGAGCTTCAGCACCACAAACGGCATTTCACTCTGTCTCCTGCATTAAGTTTTTCATAATTGCTTCTAGTTTTGCTGAGGAGTTACAATGGTTTAGTTGTGAATAAACGCGGTATTCAGAGTCCGATTAGATAACTTTTTCCAATTTCTTGCATGATTTCAAACATCTGTGAACAACAATATCGAGTTGGCTTAGAGGGACACCGCCCGCCCTACCGACAATTTTTAGTTCCCTTAGCAATGTAACAAAGTCTTTTCTAAGTTTCCCAGAAAAAATTGAGGGGGAGTAATCAAGAAGAGGCTGAATAATTCTAGGTGCTCATCACTTCCTTATCTAGAAGGTTAGACACAATGTTTTCTCACGGGTCAACGGGATGACGGATGACCAGGGAAAGACACACAATCCAAGATACTTAACATCCGAATTAGTTTCAACTTCACTTCACTCCATATTACAAACATCATGGGGATGATGCAGTTCATGTAAATCTTGGTTATGTCTCAAAGTGAAATTAACAATCTGACATTTTCTGCAGTTTGGTTTCTAAGGGTTAGTTTTGTTTTTACGAGTTGATCACGCATTAATATCAATTAGAGAGAACCATTGAAAACCAACAGGGAGTACTGGACAGCTAGTTTCATCCTAGTTTGTAACGGCAGGTCCTGGGTTCGAACCCTAGTGGTGGGTGCGTACTGCCGATGATTCCCAATCTGACATTTGTAGGCCCACTGGCTAATTTTTGTGATAAAAAAACTGAATGGAAAATAACCGGTATAGAAACAGTCTCAGATAACATCCTCAGTACACTTAACAAAATTGATTTCATTAGAATGTGTAAACTGACTACACTTTCTTCACTGCAATGTTAATGTTAAACACACACACAAATCATGCTGTGTAGAAAGTAAAAAAATAATTTTAAAGTCAAGCAAATGAGATCATTTAAGGTTTTAGAAAGTATGTAAATATAATGGAAGTACAATAAAAGAAAAGAAGAAGAGAAGATGAAAAAAGATGGAGTGACACTGCCTCTTTTTAATACGTGGAGAAAAGCTATGAGTGGATCGTTGCTTCAGGCACGCTCACACACACATACACACACAATGTTGATATCTGATATACTAAGCTATCGCCAATGCATACGGTTGTCCGTGCCACAGATGCATATGTATATTCACTCTTTAATATATATCTATAATCTCCTAGGTGTATTAAATCCTTGTTATTCATCATGTGATTATTCTTTTTCGCGCAGATTTCTGCTTATTGTAGTTCTTTTCTAACTTTATGCGTAGATGCACTTAAGTATAGTAACTTGAACTGCTTCATTTCTGTGCTAAGTTCTGCGTTGAAAATTTAATCACCAGTTCATTTCAGTTTGTTTTAAAACCACAAAATCGATACACCAAGAGTTGATTCATACAAAAATAAATACCATAGCTGAATTATATATATATATATAAAAGTTGGAAATCGTAGTAGTATGTTAGCCTTTGATTTCTATTCTCAATCTTACCTAATAATGTGCTGACCCATGGAGTCAAATGATCTCTCGAACTCTCCATAGGATGTAGTCGTACTACGCCAGTATGAGGCCAACATCAACACAACTACACTTCCTAAAATCGTGACTGTAATCTTCAGACACTTATAACTTTAATATAGTAGTAGTATTGTAGCAACAGAAGACAAGGGCCAGGCAACAGATCGTTTATTAAGGAAAATCAACACATATTTAGAGATTTTAATATACATTATTGTAAATTATTGTTAGTAGAAAATACAGTCTTTTGATTGGTTGTTTCTCACCGAAAGTTAACCTTGCATCTCTTGTGGCTGTGTCAGATCATCCATATGCTAACTGTATCCGCCTACGCAAGGCCTTTGTTCTCATTTTCTGACCACCGATATTGGGGACATAAACATTGACGTCAATTACTGTCTACCAACTTTGGCTAGCAGCCAGCTCTCACCATAATACTATAACAGCAGACGGCAAGACACGGAAGCCAGGGTATATTTTCAAGTGATCAAACCGCTAATTGTATATACATACAGTTCAAATTCTTTAACCAATCACTGAGCGTGTGATTTTGGTTTACACTAAACGACACTGAAACAGAAGGCTTAAATACATATAGAATTCTGTTGCTAATGCAGTGTTGAACTGTTGGAATAGTATTCAGACGTCAGCACCAAGAAGTACAATGATTCTTACTGTGAGAATAATATTCCATTGGAACCCATTGTCTGTATCACACCATCAAAATAGTAACAAATGTAAGGCTCGCTTTACAAAATTTTCTCATCTAATCGTATTCATTTTTTTCCCTAAAACAAATTCTGATCACATCGTCAATTTACCGAATTTCTTACTAAAGTCTGTGATCAAATATATCAGGTATTAATAGACGTCCTTAAGCCAGTCAACTCTGATTCTATTCTACAATCTTAGTGGAGTTTTTTTTTTTCAGAAAGGAATTTTGTGAACGCATTCACAGTTTCCCTTTGGTAGTACATCATATATGTACATATATAAATTACCTTCTTGTATCCCGTGTTAATATATTGCTTAGCCTTTTCCCATATTTCACTTTCACCGGTATGGCACGACTAACACGCCATCGATTTGTATTGTTCCTCCTTTTTTTCATAGATTTCACACTCTTGTTTAGTTTTCTATCGAAATCTAGCGAATTCAGTAAATATTTCGTTACTTTACAAGGTTCTCTGTGGTAATTGCTTTGTACACATGTGTCTGCTTGTGTTTGTGTAGCTTTCGTTGCAGCCCAGATGTTTTCGTGTTTGAAAAATAATAATGAATGTTAATAATTAACATCATAATGAAATTATGCTCTTTACCCACATCGTCGTCATCACTTACGTTTTCATGTGAATAATATACAGCCTCAGTAATTATTGTCTTGTCCTTGGTACATTATGCAAAACTACCACCTTGAAAGCGTTCTGTGCTTCAGTTTATGTGTGTGTGCGTATGTTTTGGCCTATGTTATCGATTTATTTATGTACACACACATACTGTCTTCATGGTTTTCACCGTGGAACAATTACAATGCAAATGAAATAATAGACGTTCAGTAAAGCTTTACATTTGTTTACCCTGGACACGGTACACAATCAAAAGTCGTATTGAACACTTTTAGAACTGTCGTCATTCGGTTAAAACCTAACTTCTTTAATGTAGGGCAAAAATAAGCCTATAGTTAGAGAGAGATGCAAAGGTGAGGGTACGGTAGGCAGGAGTTAGCGAGAACCTCTACTTTCATCATCTCTATATTTAATTCTTGGCCTTCTTCTCTTGTTTTCAACACCTTTTTATTTTCGCATAGATTGTCGCTTTTATTTTATATGGTTGACAAAAGTATAGTTTTTTTATGTAGTTGTGTTCTCTGAGCTGGGTAGTTTATTTGTGAAGCTTTCATTGCCCTACTAGGTAACATCTTCAGAGCATACTTCAATTTGATGAAGTGAGCTTTTAGATTTCTTCACGAGTTTATTTGTCATCTCTCCTGGCGACCTTGAACGTGATTGGTTGTCTTTGTGTGTTTTCACACCCTCTAGGCTACTTGTATTGGAACTGATTGTTTCCTTGACTTGAACTTTGACGGTTTGTGTGTGAGATTTCCTTCTTATCGAGTGGTAAATCTTGTCTATCTCGATGTATCTATTGATTGACGATTCACTGGAATACCAGGCTTCTAAATATTCTCTAGCATTCTTGGTGCTTCCTCTGTCTAATATTTGAACGCTGGTTGTCCCTTATTTGAATTGATGTCCGTGGTTGTCTGTATGCAGTGATCTGATCGAGGAAGTGGATGTCATGTCTTTTGATGGCTAGTTCATGATCATGGATACGAAGACGAAGGGGACATCCACTTTGGCCAATGTAATATTTTTTCTCAGTTCTTACAATTTATTTTGTAGATAATGTTGGTTTTATCTTCTTTCGTTGTTAAGTCTTTGGATTTGTTCGCCTACATTGGAGCTAATAGATAATGAATAAGTTGGCTGGTGTCTTCAAATATTATCATCTGTTTTTTCGTTTGTTTTACGAAGCAAGTCATAATTATCGACTGTCCTGCGTTTGTGTTCTAATTAAATGTAATGAATTTTTTCCAGAGCTCTTGTTTGTCTTCCTGAACAAAATTCCCAGCTCCAACTTCATAAAATCATCCACTTGAGTTACAAATCTGTATTATTGGTTTGTAAACTGAATTTCTCTGCATCCTTCATCTTAATTGTATTTGGTTTTATTCCTTAAGCTTCACGCAACGTATTTACTGTATTCCGTTAAGAAGTATAGGCATATTAATGTGTTTTAGAGAGAGCTTCTTATGTTGTTTCCTCTACAATATTTGAATTAACATCTAGCCTCTTTATCTTATAGTGTGACTCGTGTTTCGGTGTATCTGTTCTGTTCAAGAATGTTTCTTTATTAGCTTTTGTTGGAATAGTCTAGCTCATTGGAAGCAATGCTCATTGTTCTAGATCCGAAGAATAATCTCAATACATATGAGATATTTAAGCTGTAAACCTTGATGATACTATCTAACTGAACCACAGTTTTAACGTTTAGTGTATTCCCTACCCTCTGACAACTGTTGTTTATTCACAGTCTAACCCAAGGTTCTTATCCTAAAGAGTCTTTATTGCTGTTGGCGGTGGCTCTACATCACGAACTGACAAAGTCAGATTTCATGGGTCGTTGAATTGCAGCCCAAATGGCTTATAGTTAACCAGTTAGCCTCAAGCCCCCGGTTGCTATTCCGAGCACGGCCGTGAGTACGCACTGGTAAAGAGTACCAAAGTAGGACGAGGCAGCTTGTTCCCTAGTTTTCTTCTAACCATTTTAAAATCCACTTTGAGATTAGTCCAAATCTCAACAGAATCTATAATGTAAATAAAGTCTCAATATACAAATTTACCAATCGTAATTGCTTCTGACGCTCTTGTAATTGACCCTGTCGCCATCGAGAATCCAGGTCGACTTATCCTATAGCTGTTCTTACCATTTTCCCTAGAACCATTTGAATCAATCTTTGTTTATTTCGATCCATTATGTTGCTGTTTTCAAAGTTTCAATAAGGTGTGTATTTGTATGTTTTATTATTTAATGAATCTGCTTACCCTTATACAATGACTTGTTTTCTTTACTTTTAAATATTGCATATATTATAGGTTGAAAAACCCGACACTTTACTTGGAGTGATTTGCACTGCTCTGCACATCGCAGATAATTGCTTGAAACAACTATTTCTTAACTACGAATTGCATTTAGAAAGGTGAGTAGTTACTTTATTGGCTGTGATTTAATAGGCTTTTTTTGGATGTTTGATTGGTTTATTTCTCATGAATCATTTGCTTTACCCATTACCATTGGTTTTCATTTATTGCTCATACTCAGTTACCGCCTTGCTCTTTGGGCAATGTTGGCTCACATGAGATTTGCTTAGCTGTGAGGGTTAGGGTTGGTCGTCTGATCAAAAACTGGCATCAGTCCCTGATTTCTTTGAATGGTGTGGACTGCCTGGTTTGGATCCTCGAGATACAATGAAGCAACTTCATGAGACCATTGGTGATATGGCTGGAAATCGTTCTCAGTGGTGCGGAAGCACCCACTCTTTGCCATCTCTGATGTTTTTCCATGTTACTATTCCTACTCCCGCATGTTTTACCCCATTATAGGTCTTTTGAGTCTTTTTGTCCCTCTATTTTCTCTGCCTTTGTGAGCCGCCGCATGACATGCGGTGTCCTGGACTCTTACATTTCTGGGCAGTGTTCGTTGTTTAAACTCAGTCCAGTCATTGCTATTGATTTCAGTTGTGTAAGAAAACCAATATTCTTTCTATTTCTGTTTGTAACATTTATTGCCTATTTTAATCGACATTGTTAGTTCTTGTCATCCATTTATGTATGGCTTTAACTACCACAGTCATACAGTCCTTTCAACGCTTTATTTATCAACATGACAAAACCATGAATGGACCAAAGGCGAATGATTTTATTTGGAGCATTTTAACTGTTGTTATGTTATAACCATGTTTGACAATTTCATGTGGCATTTCATGCTATTATCACCTGTATGTGTTTTATCTGCAGTCCCGAAAGGTTGAATAAAGTGTATATGAAGGTATATCATTCTGAATAATTTTAATGTTCTGCTCACTACTTCTGTGAAAGTTAAAAATAAGGTATATATTCGTTGTCTCTCTGACTTTTCAGCTTTACTTTATTATCGTTTTCATTGTGGTATGAAGATTAGTCAGTTGTTGTTTTTCTGTTGATTTCTTACCAACTGTTTCCTTAATATGACGCTAGGAACCCTACCCCGGTAAAGCGATAGCTCTACCGAAATTTCGAAGCTAAAGCTTAAAGCATCATATTCAACCCTGACTGACTGACTGAACTTTGCACCGATGTGCAGCATTTCGAGTCGGCACACTACACTTAGCACACAAAGCAAGAGAAGAAAGTAGAAAGAAATGCAAAACGGAAACAGTAAGTGGAGGTATAAGGCAAAAAGAATAGTAATAAGGGAGAACAATATAATTTTATTAGAAATTATAAGTCACAAGGAGTGTATGCATCTGCGCTAGCCATTGAGAACGATTTTGAGCCATGTCACCAATTGTCTCCAGCCATTGGTGTTTACCGTCCCGAGGACCAAGAAGTCTATACCTTTCTACGTTGCTGGTTCAAGCCAACGGTTGTGGATTCTGATGAAACCATGTTTTCGTTTGACCACCACTAGCTCTTTTCCAACCTGATCCATCCTATGTCGGCTAACATTGCCCATTGTTGAGGAAGGCGATGGCTATGCATACGTAATACATTTCCTAACCATCTCAATCGATGTAACTTCACAGCCTCGTCTATTGATTCCCCCTCCTTACCTAGCACTCGACGCCTAACTTCAATATTGCTCACCCTATTATACCACTTCACACGGGAGGCAGAATGCAGACACTTATGTTCGTATCTTCCACTTTCAATGCCCATGTCTCTCAGCTAGCCATAAAGGAGGACGGAGCGGACTGTTGAGCATATTCAACCCGGAACGCCGAGGAATGAATATATATGTACATATATACTTTTTAAAATACTGTTTAATATTTGTTTGAAAAGCAGTTTTTCTTCCTTACAGCATATGCCACGTCTACCTTTTTTAAAACCTAATCTAAACATCACTCAAAAGACCGGAAGCTATTTGTCCATTTTAAGCAGTATTATTATAAGTAGCAGTAGCATTATAACAGGGTTTTACTTAGTAATGTCTGTAGGGTAGGTATATCACTGTGTGAGGTGTAAGTTGCGTATATCATATATCATATGAGTGATTTTCACCAAGTTAATTAAGCGGTAAATTCTTTGCACACATATATGGACATAATGTTTATTTCTGAAGTACAAAGTTGAAATACTTTTGTAACGGTAGCAGACAAGAGAATTGGTAAAGGAATGTGTATATTTGGAATTTGACATCTCTATGTAAGAAGATGTGAAAATCATCATTTGCACAGATATTCCGTGTTGTGCTACTTCTGTCCTTTGTGTTGTTTTTCTCCTCTTTCTTCTTTTCGTGTTTCCCATGTTTTACCGTAATCCTGAATCATTTGCTCTCTTTGACGTGAAATCTATGTCTCCGTGATTTGATATTACTTTTTTGCAGATGAACGTCTCTTTATGTACTACTGATAAATCTTATCAGCAGTAGACGATACACTTCCAGCTCAAAATGTTAGACTGTTAATCTTGTTTTTGAGATGCCTGTCGTAACAAAAAAAATAATGTCTAACCAAGTTGAGTTAGCCTTGGAAATATATATATATATATATATATATATATATATATATATATGTATATATATATATGAATGAAGTTGTGCCATCTTCACTACTCTGTGATTACCTATTAGTGGGCTACACTTATTTTTATCTGTATATGTAAAAACGAAGCCGTGCATAATTAATAATGGTTACAAATGCTTCCGTGAACAATCTTTACTTCTACTTCTTCTTTAGTGTTATTCAGCAACACACATCCGCTGGAAATTCTTTAGAATTTTGATAGTAAAAATCAGTGTTTAATTCGCTCTAGGCAACCTGAGTTGTGTGTTTCACTTATTCTAGTTTTTGATGTACTTGGTAGACGTCGACTGGATTAAGATTTCTACCCATTAGTGTTCAGGTTGTCAACTGATGAGGTCCAAGCATTTTATACTAATGTGGCGCGTACAGCTGATCAGATAAATCAGTAATGTATGAAGAGGCGTTGTTCAGCGCGAAAATATCAATTAGCGCAGACATAGATTTCACGTCAACGAGAGCAAATGATTCAGGATTACGGTAAAACATGGGAGACACGAAAAGAAAAGAGAGGAGAAACACAACACAAAGAAAAGGAGTAGCACAACACGGAATATCTGTGCAAATGACGTTTTTCAGATAGGGTGTACACGATTTCGCTGTTTTTTTTGTTTTTTTCCTTCACGTTCCCCAGTGGGACGTAGGGCTTCAAGCTAGTGGCTTGAAGTTTCTGTAGCAGTGTTTATTATTTTACAGGATGGGGTTGCTAGCCTCATGCCGAACCTTTCCTCTTCACTAGCATTATTTCTGGCTTAGCGAGGGAAAGCTGTGCGTCGGCCGGGGATTGAACCCCAGACCGTGTGCATGGTCAGCAAGCGTCCTAACCGCTATGCCACCGACGCTGATTTCGCTATGTAGAGATATCAAATTCCAAATACACATCCCTTTAACAAGTCTCTTGTGTTCTACCGTTACACAACTAGTAGTAGTATTAGTATTCACTGTCACACGAAAGGGGAGGCAGACATACTATCAATTGGGCAAACACGTACTACTATAATTCTGCTGATTGCTTAAAACAGCTGTTTGATGAAAACTAGAATTGCCTCTCTATTTATGATTAGTGTACTGCTAACACAGGTGTGTAACATTATTGTTAAAACTATGTGCAACAGTTTAGTTGAAGCCCACACACTTGGCGATAAATCACAACTATTCAATGTTTAATGCATGTGTAGAAGTGGTTGGTTGACGGTGTAGTTAATTAGTTGAAAATTGACTGTCCCTTGCATCAGTCAGTCACACTTTTGACACTGGCCACTGCAAAGGGAAGAATGACCTGCCAAATGAAAATATTCTTTTACTTCGTGTCAATGTCCAGGTCTAACTACATTGGGCTTGACGCTGTCCTTAGAAGACCTTCAGCAACAATGTGCAATAATCAACGCGAAAAATGAATGTAGTATTGGTGACTTCCGCCAAAATGTGGAGTTGGTTTTGAGTAAACAACCATGATTTGATCGTTCATTCTTCAACTACATTGACACATCCTTTGCATTACTGAAGCACTAGCTAGCCAGATAGATAAACTGGAACTTTGCATATGCAAAAGAGAATTCTTCTACCATGATCACCTTCTTGTTCTCATCTGGTTTGCTGCGCCTTTTTAAAAAAGTTCTTATTGACTTTTATGTAGTGTCACATTTTTTTCTCGTTTCTATTTGCATTCTGATTACAACTCATTCGTGAAGTTATTTATCTCACTAGGTAAATCCATCACCCTTGTTCAACTTTTCTTACTTATTGATTAATACTAGCTACTGTGTTTATGACACATTCATATATCTTGTTGCTATCCCCTCTTGTAAAAGAAAGTTGTATGCAAGTGTACAGTTAAAGAACCTGATATCGTCGAAAGTGTGCCTTCTCACTGAAATGTCTTTTTTTTGTTGTTGTTCAATAAAGCTTGCAATGAAGATTATTCATGTAATGAGTTACTTTTTGTAAGTGTTTGTAAGTGCTTATTTTATATCTTTCTACTACCTACGTAAAAGCTTTTTTTTGTTTTTTCACTATGTAATTTTACTTAGAGGTCAATTTCTACCGTCGAAAACACTGACCAATAGTGTTGATGTTGTTCTAGTGTCAGATTCCGTTAAATTTGTCGTCAAAGTAAGTACATTGTTTTTTTCTTCTTCTTTTCGTTGGTTTTATTGTTGAGTTAATTAGTTTGTATATAAACTTGCCCATTAGTTAGTTGGTGGAGTCCACTGTATTAACCTGTTTCGTCCTAAGTATACATCATAAGGCTGCATCAGCCGTTTTAATCCATGATTGTGTCAGTTACCATGGAAGGTTTTTCCAGAGTCAGAGTTTACAATTGACATGAAATGATTCCCATCCTACTCTTCTAGAATTGAACACTCACCAACCACGAATGTCGTCCGGAATTGGATTCCCGGCCTAGACTTCGCTTTCTAGGTAGCAAGCTCGGTCGGTAACTAGGATAGGTGGGCATCAGGGTGGTAACCTCATCTCGTAAAACTGAACACCACTGATACTGAAGCTTCAGAGCTCAAACTTGGAGTCTTATATTCCGCCCGGAACTGAAGGAAATATATATATATATATACATAATAAAATTCAGATGTTCACATTCAACTCAACCCAATGAGAAGTGAGGTTTATCCGATCGATTAAACATGTCATATCGTGATATTTGTAAAGAAGTTTATGGATTTCTGTAGTTTTTGATTATTGTATTATGTGATAGCTTTTTCTCTAAATACACACACACACTCACGAAATTTGAATTAATTGTCTCCTATAACAATCAACACTAAATTGCTATACACTGAGTAAATGTTTCAATTAACTGTGTGCTCCATTTTGCTGATATAATCTATGAACTTTGATCAGAATCATAGATGTGAATGCTTTATGCATTATCATCCAGTTAATTAATTTTCGTGATGTTTATTAATGTGAATGCCCACATGCTTTTATTTGTCTTACTTGTGTTAGGTGGTAAAGCAAATGAAAGATACCTTCAAGTGTACGTCTATTTTGTGTCTGGTAATGCCACTCTGAGTGGGGTACTAATAACTTGGACTAATTGGTGGATGGTGACTAGCAGTGGAATCCAGGGATTTACCTGCATTCCCCAGTGAGTGATGGTGTTCCCACCACCGAGGCTCGAACCCAGTGCCCATAGTTTCAAACGCCAAAGCGTTATCCACTAGACCGTTTGGGCTACGAGAGCCACCTCTTGTGCAACGGGTAGTATTAATTATTTAACTCATTCCGGATTTTCCCGTCGATTGATTGGACCGAAGTGCTCGATCTCAGGTTGACATGTAGACGGAAAAATCTAAACTAAATTACATAAAAGTGGGCTATGTCTATATTACATAGTCATCAAAGTAATCTTGATGGTAATCTTTTCTGTGGCTATGCAAGTAGGCAAAGAGACTGTTTAAGTCTCACCGCAATGCGTCGTACATGTTTTTCTTATAAGCTTATCTTCTGTAATATTTTTATTTTTTCTAAAAAAAAATTTAAGGTCTTGCGCACTGGACCGTCAAATTTCAGTCTTATCTGCTGTGACACTGTATTGGACTTAGAAGTGCATCGAATGCCCGGTGATGGCTTACTTGTTTGTCATGAAGCTGCTAGCTACATGACCTATTGTCATGAAGAAGCTCAAGGCTATCGAACTGTAATCAACAATCGTACAATGATGCTGTGTAAAGAAACTGATCCTACTGTATTGAGGTTTGTCCTACATTTTTAATGATGTTAATGCATTCTATGTGGTGCTCTACTATTACTGTGATGCCTTGAATTATTGAATTTAATTTTCACCTTCATCAGTTTGCTTTATCTGAACAGAATAAAGCACCCTTGGCTTAAGACCTTGACTCCTCAGACAATGGATCCCAGCTTGGCATCCTGTTGCTTCTCGTTCAGTCTGTTTAACTGATAGGTGTCATCAGACCTTAAGGAATAAATGTAACTCGTAGCGCAGTACTTAAAAAAAAGTCAGTAGTGGGTAGCTGAATTCTAACTAATTAATAAATACCGATACTTGACACTCGTTAAAATTAATATGACTGTTGTGTCACTGTAAATTAACAACTACCACTCTAGGACTCAGAATGTGATGCTTGCTGGCTCCCAGTTTTAACAGCAACAACAACAACAGGACTGGAAAAATGGTGAAGCTAGTCTTTAGACGCCCAACAGGCGGAAACGCACCTATAACTTTGGAGTGTCCAATCAGAGCGAGGCCATGAAGCCAGGTAAATAACACTATATTCATGAAAACAAGCCTTAAATAAAGTGTATTGTTATTATGCAGGATTATCTGTTTATTTTTAGATTAGGTTAGGTTCAGGCTTGGGTTAGGAGCAGACTAGGGTTAGGGTAATGGAAGATTAGGGTTGGGGTTAATTTAGAGTCCCAAATTCGCATTTTAGCGCATTTGTTCCTTTCGAAGTCACTGCTCATCCGCGCCCCTTGAATGTCTAAAATTGAACTTTGCTCAGGCATTGAAATATAAAGTTGAAAAGACCTTATTAGGATGAAGCACTTGTCCAGCTAACTGTCACCGAAATATGTCTCCAAATCGAATAATAGTTGACTGATTGGCCTGCTTACATGTTGTTATTAGATATAACTGTGTGTACATCTTTTATTAAAACGGATTGATCATTACAAAAGTTTGATACTCATCCGAATATGGAGGTGAATACCATAGGCTTACTTTTTCACTGGATTATGAGGAATATGTCGGTTTCCACAACAATGGTATTGCTACAAACATCTCAAAAACTGAATTTTTTTCTGCTTGTTTCTCTTTATTACCTAACGAAGTCTTAGTCCGGGCGACTACTTTTCGGTGTATTTGTTCCCTGTAGTGTCTAGCGTGATTCTCCTATCAACCAATCAGTGTTACTCAACAACCACTTGTGATTCCTTGAAGTTGGCAGTGAGCCACATCTATCGTATTAGAGCTGGTTGTACTACCTATGGTTATCCAAAGGTCTGGGTGTGAGTTGGGGTTCGAACCCGTAACCCCGCTCGTTGGAAGTCGAGCAGCTGGACTGATGAACCACAACCCTACTTCTCTTATTGTGGATAGATTGTATTCAGATATTGCCGACCTCACTATACTTTTTTTTCTTTTTTTCCCCTCGTTGACATCCTATGTGTTCTTAAATCTTTATATTTCATTCCAATTTTAATAATTATCCGGTCAGATCTCATTCAGCTGGTAAACTTTTACAATACTGTGTCACTGAAAGATCACATGTCTGCGCTAATGAAGTGTATGCTCTTATTGAAGTTATGAAAATGGTGTTGGAATTGCGTGTCCCAACGTCTGGAATTATAACATTAAAACGAATTCCCGGTGCTGTTCTAGAACCAGGCACAGAATTGGCACGTATTGAATTGGATGAATCGAGTCAATTGAAACCTTTGCATATATTCACGTTAGTTATTATTATTATTACTTTTCCATTTCCATTTTTTGTACCTGCTTAAGTCATTATTATTTCTAGCCTAATCTAGACTTTTATAAGGCCTTCACAGTACGCATAACTGCAAGACGCTGTATATTGCTGATTAGTTGATATAACTAGTTGCACATTACTCACGTCAAACAGTAATGCTTGCTAGCCAGATCGATGTGATTTAAACAGCGGATGGCGGGTTTGGGGGCGATCGCATCAGTGATGTCCCCGGTTTCATTCAACCCATAGTGTGGAATCAGTTTAAAGCAACTGAATTCTGTCTGGCATTTATAGTAGATTTGAACAAATAGAAAAAATAGTTAGGTAGGTTTTCCAAATCCTTTTGTGAACTACAGAACAACTGGAGGATAGAAAGAATGATGGTATCTGACAATAACTGTACGGTGAACTCATATATTCAGCTCATTGACTTAGATGCTCATTTTTCAGCCATTGCGTCCCAGTGTGGTGTGTGCTACTGACAAGACTTATCAGTAGTATATATAAGGAGACATTTATCAGCGCAAAAAAAAAGAGAGAGAATGAACCAGTGTCACAGCGAAGCATAGGAGATACGAAAAGAAGAAAAAGAAACCCAATACATAGGACAGAAATAGCACAACGCGGAAGATCTGTGTAAATGACGTTTTTCAGATAGGGTGTACATAATTTCGCTATATTGAGGTATCAAGTTCCAAATAAATATTCCTTTACTGAGTCTCTTGTCTTCTCCTGTTACACCATGTTTGAATCCTAAACCACCTATTTCTTGATGGCAACTAGGTAGTTTCATCATCAGTCATATAGTATGCATTTGTCTCAACCTTGTAGCCTAGAATCCGTAGGAGGAATCAATGAGCATTATGCACACAGTTCTTTTGTTTTCTTTTCGTATCGAACTCACTGACTATCACGTGTGATGTATGGTGACGTAGTTTTTAGGGCTTAAATGTTTAACTTGAAGTTAAGTAATCAAATCCTTGTTTGTTAAACTAATGTAAAGAAAAAAAAAATCGGATTGAGTGCCTCGAATCCACTCTACACTGTTGCATTTGTTCTGATATTCGGACAATGGATAGAATTTTTTATGAAGATATAAGTGATTGGCTTTGATACATCTAACTATAAGTCTTTTTTATAATGTTAGTGATATTATATCTGTTCAGGTATTAAGCACTCACTTTTTCTTCCTCCCTCAATGTTTAGTGGACCATTTAGTCTGCCAACAGAATACGGTGATTTCAGTCAATCGTCATGTTCTCGAAAGTTATTGTTTCCTCCACAGTCTAACATTCTTTATTCAACAGCGAATATATCTTATCAGTCATCTGGACAATCGACGACGACGAGTCATCCTGTTGAAGTTGAAAACCCAGTCGATGATAACCTAAACTACTGGAATTGTATGACCTCTAAACTGCATAATAGAAATGAGTCAGTATCGAATGGTGACTCAGGCTTCAACTCATCGAGTACGCACAGTTTGTCAGGTTTAACTTCGAATTCAGTTGGTGGGAAATTACACCTGCAATTCTCCAGATTACTTGAATCATTGGAACAAATATTATTTGGTTATTGCCTATCAGAACCATATTTTAGTAAATCGTTAGTAAAGAATTTAAATCAACTGTTTGGATTGTTATATGATCCACGTCTGCCGCTGCTTGAACTACAGGTTAGACTATATATATATATATATATATATATATATATATATATATATATATATATATATATATATATATATATATATATATATATATAATTTGTTATTATTATTATTTCCTTTACCTCCCTAGGGGAACATGGGGCTTCATGTTTGCCCGCATGCTTTCATCTCCTCTTCACATGACCTCTTCCATGTCACCGTCGCACTGACGATCAACTCACCACGTTCCATTTGGGTTTCACTCGAGAGCCTAGCGTGTTATATCACGTGATGGTTTCCTCAGAGTATGGCCAATCCACCTCCATTTCTTCCTGGTTGGTTCGCTCTCAGAGATTCCTGTTGCTGATCTTTTCTGGCCATCTGATCTTGAGTATTGAGCTGTTGATGAAGGTCTGTAGTTTGTTCGAAATGCCCTTTCGTTACGCACCAAGTCTCTGATCCGTATAGTAGCACTGACTTCACATTGGAGTTGAAAATCCGGATCCTACTTTTCATGTTGAGTGCTGTTGATTTCCACACAGACGCGAGGCTATAAAGTTACTTAGATTGAGATGGCTAGGTCACGTGCTGCGCATGCCTAACCATCGCCTCCCCCGACGGGCATTACCAGCTGATATAGGTGCAGGTTGGAAAAGAGTAAGTGGTGGCCAAACAAAAACATGGCATCAATCCATGAAATCCCTGATAGTTAAACTGAGTCAGGTAGGGAGATGCAGACTTCCGGGTTGGGTCTCTCGGGACTCTAAGAATCAATGGCTGGAGACAATAGGCGACATGGCTCAAAATCGTTGTCAATGGCTTACGCAGATGTATTCAGTCTCTGTAATGCTTCATATTCCTTTCTACTATTACTCATTCTGTTTCACTCTTATACTTGTCAAAACTCTATTGATTCTCTTCACTCATTTTCTTGTCTACCTTTGTGTGCTATTTGGAACGTGGCAACTCGAACTGCTGCACTTCGGTGCCATGTTCTATATTGAATCCAGCCACCCAGCCACACAGACTCGAGAAAAATGAAAGCTTGCCTTGCTTTCCAAATCCTCACTTTGATATCTTCATCAGTTTCATCCGCCTGTAGTTGAAACGATGCTTCCCAGGTCGGTAGGTAAAAGAGGTTGTTTCTTTCAGGTTCCTCCCATTTATTCTGATTGTTGTCTTTTGTTGTTGTTGCTCTTGTCCAGGAGTCTTCATCACCTCTGTTTTCTCTATGTTCACCTGAAGTCCCATCTTTGATGCTTCTTCTGCCAACTTGTTGCTGCTTTTCATTTGCATATCTTCCAGTTTGTGGGAAATCAGACATATATATATATATATATTCATGTATTCACTTTACATTCCTTTGTTTGTATATTCTCACAGCACATAGATTTCAAGCTTCTTGTTGTTCTCCACAGGTGTTCATTTCCACTCAGTTTCCTAACCAACAGAGTTGTATCGCATAAAAGGGCACATATAAAATATGACTCACAGCTCATACCTCTGCTATATGAAAAAAAAAAAAATCTCACTGGCATCCTGTAAAGTATTTCATGAGACATAAATGTTAATCTGTGTATAGTTACTGCTGAGGATTTTCTGAGTAGACTATGAATGTTCATGAAATGAGAAGTTTTATCACACAACATACTAATAAAATTGTCTAATTACAATTTTTTCTTTCTGTTGACGTTGACAGTGCAGATTTCCACACTGTTAATAAATTAATATATACGTTACATTCCCATTTGTTAACGTTTATGAATTAATAAAATTACAAAGTGTAATAAATACGAAGATCGGATATGGAATATGGTAAGGTAGATAGATTATTTGAGTTCAAAGGTCATACTAGTAAAATTACATAATAAATGGGCGAGAAAGTTCCAGAATAATTTCCGGTCAAGGGTCAAATTAATAAAATTACAATTAAGAATTAAAATGTCATAATAAACAGGGGGACAGATAAAACTCAAACAGAGTAGCACCATAATTGCTGAGAAGATTGACATATTGTGCAACTAGGGGTTAAAAATTTAGAAATAACAAAATAGACAGGATAGTTGGATAAAAATCTAGCGGGATCATAACTAATGTGACGAATAATTGTTTATGCAATTTTGTTTATAAATTAATTCCATTTTTTCTAAGCAATGTTAGTAAAGCTTAATGTATATAAACCGTAGGAACACAACCAAATTGACCTTTGTCAGAGACTAAATTACCAATATTGAAAAAAATTCAAGCAGTTCGGTGAAGAGTCTCTGTTACAAGACTCGGCAGTTGGATGTTCACCAGATCCCTAGTGATTTATAGTGTTCCGAATGAGACTGCAACCCGACTGCTGTCTTTTTAAGCGCTAAGGCGTTATCTCCTGTGACAAGAGGACAGCCTCTTGTCTTGGAGATTAGCATTACCGAATTTCAAATTTTCTTCTGACTTACTTCAAAGAAAATACGTGTGTATGTATCGTGGCACTGTCTAAATGAATTATTTCACAGTTCTTATTATCGAAATAAGTGGGTGTACTATAAGCCCTATTGAAGTTGATTAGAGTTTATTAATGAATAGTATTCATTCAACATATCAACCTCATGGAAGTAAAGTAAAGGTCAGGTGAGATTGTATAATTAGACTTGAAATTAGAGTAGTGTGTATCAGTAGGATAATAACAGTGATAATAGTTCCAAGTGAATTGTACATGTGCATGGGATTTCTTGATTACAAAGTTGACCAAAGTAGTGATACCTATTTCTTCTGGATACATAATTTGGTTTTTTCTATTCGAAATATTATCGCTTCCCTTGCTTCTAGGTTCCAAAGTCTAACCTCTTTCGCCAAGTTAGCAGGAACAAATTAAATAATCCTCACTCTGTTATTACTAAGCATTCTTTGCTTCCAAGTGGAATAGAGAGAGCTTTAACAGCACATATTCGTTACATTCAGCACTCGGGCATAGCTTTCAGATGGCTCTCACATGGTCCTTTTAATGTTGTCTTCGGATCCACCTCCAACTCGTCCCGCCTTATTAAAGGATTTGATGTGTGATGTCACTCAACGGTCTCGTCAGACTACGTCCAAATCAACTCTATTGCGTTCACCGTATTTATTTGTTACGCGATAGCTGGTTATTGGCTAGTTCACTACACTGCCAAAGTTCTTGATTGTCTATCCTTTCTGGTCGGCCATCTGATCAGTATCGAAAAAAGTGAGCAGGTGTTGGTAAAAGGCGCATATCCAGTCTCTGAACTTAGGAATGATCTACACCCGGCACGCCTTATTCATTCTGTTGTGTTCACAACCAAGGAATTCCCAAGCGTTATTGGCATGAAGTCGTTTACTCTACATCCACCAATAACTTATGCACACAGTTGCCGATTTCAGCTTAGAAATAATGTTCAATTAAGAATTCTTGGAATAAAAGGGGTTTATTATGTATTGTTGTGTAATATAGGTATACGTATGTATGTGTACCTTCAATTACGTAGTCATATCTTACAAATATTGTACACTTGCTTACTTATTACTATATGCTACACTGTATGTAATTTGTCAAATCTGTATATGCGTACACATCATGTGACATCATAGTTAAGGTTTCCATGTAGAAAATAAACTCTTTTGTTTCATTCTCTCTGTATATCTTTCATCGCCATTGTGTAAACAAAATTTTAAGAAATGTGTGCGTGTACGCATCACTGACTTTAAGAATTTGCATAAATCAGGATTATTTTAATTGTTAGAAGTGATATATATATATATATATATACGTAAACAGTGTATAATGGACAGCGTTTCCATTCCTTGTTTAAGCGTGTCTTTTTAAAAAAAATTAGTAGCATCGCTAATCAATGCAATGTGATTTCCTTTTGAATGAAAGCGATCTTTTCCGTGTTTAAGGCAGCATTTATCGATCGGTCTAACCTTTACCCAATGACGTAATACATTTTATTTTAAGACATTGACATCCCACATTGCACTGCATTGCCTGATATGTTGGTTTTCGTCAGCAAAAACAAACAGCAAACAGATGTTTTCATCATGTGCTGACATTAGTTGGAGAACCATTGGAAAACCTACAGGGAGTACTGGGCGTCTGTTTCGTCCTAGTTTCGGGACTCTTCAACAGTACGCACCCACCACTGGTGTTCGAAGCAAGGACTTTCTAGTTACTAGGCGAGCTAGCTCGTAGACCATTAAGCCACTGGAACCCGATCCAACGGTCAGCCGATGAATTCTAACTTCTGCGAATCCATGACATAGCGCGACCAGTTCGTAAAGTCTTCTTCAATGAGTTACTGCCTCATTCTCAACCTGCTGCACCCTACTGGTCACGACTTCCCACTAGAACCCCAGGTAACTGCCTGAATAGGGTCAGTCGCTAGTGAGCCTCAGATTAATTTTCCAGTATTGGTTTTGCAGGGATTTCGCTTGATTGTTTGGAGGATTTCATCATGAGCTGACATCAGTCGCAAAGTAGGGCGAAACAGCTGTCCAGTACTCCCTGCAGGTTTTCCAATGCTTCTCTAACTGATGTCAGCTCATGATGAAGTCCTCCAACCAATCAAACAAAATCCCTACAAAACCAATCCTCGAAAAAGCAAACAGTTGTAATGTTGATTTAACCATCCAGAAATTAGTTTCTATTCCAATTAGAGTATCGTCTAAGTTTTTCCTGAGTGTCTCAATTCATTTAAGCATCTTTTGCAGATTGTTTTCTCTTTATAATTCCTGCTTTTTTTACTTTTGACAGTTGATTCGCTACATAATTTACACTGATTAAATCATTCGGTTGTTCACACTTCGTTTGTTTAATTTTTCTTTTTTTGCTTGATTTCCGTAGGATACAATCGCTCATTTGAAAGGTCAACTACCACCAGCTATGGAGAAAGCTTTGCGTCTTCATGCCAAAGTCTACGCCGATCAAGCAACTTCAGTTTTAGCCAACTTTCCATCAGATCAAATTCTTCAAATAACTGAAAAGCATTTAAAACAAATCAATCCTGATGCAAGTATTAACTGTACATCAACTGATCCAAATGTAATAGAATTCCAACGAATTACTCAACGATTAGTCGATTTATCTGAACGTTATCGAAATGGCCTACGTGGTCATACTGTTCGTGTTATATCTCAATTATTTATGGGCTATGTTGTCATTGAGAAACATTTTCAACATGGTTAGCCTTACTGTTTTCTGAGTGAAATTCATCTTCTTTTTTTCTCAACATCTTTGCAATGTTTGTAGGTATTTTTGAGCAACCAATTATGGCAGTTAATTCCCGATATGCACAGCAGTTTTGATGTAGTTTTCAAGGTCTGGGGATCAAGTTTCACTGCCTACTGTCTTGATAAGTCAAGTGTAATTGATCTGAATGTGTCGCACACAACACTTAGAATGTGATTTAATTAGCTGACGAGATACTGCTGCCGGGTTTTTTTATAGGTGCAATTTCTGCTAGGTGTTAGAATCGTCAATGCCATGAATATTTAGTCATTTTATGCATAATTCTGACGACTTTCAAGATTAGGACCCGTTGGGATATTATGTACTTTATAGTTTTCAATACTTGTTTGATTTAGTTTTAACAAAAGTCACATGCCAAATTTCCTGTGTACGTGATAACACTGATTCTGTAAGAGCAGGTTAAGCAGTACTAAATTCCTTGCATTTCCCGTTATTCCGTTGTGCTGTAGATAAGCATTGCTATAAACTCACCATTGTGTGTGCGTGTGTCTATATGTGTGTATGAGACGGTAGATACTCTCACATCGATTTCGTAATAACCACGTCTCATTATCATGAAGTAGGCAAGCTGTAGATGGACTTTGGATTTATGAATTATTAACCACACGATGGTGTCTACTTTAGTCTCCAGTGTACACAGTGCACGATGCTTCTCTAACTCCACCTCACCTGGTTCCAACTGGCCAGTATTAAGCCTGGAAGAGAGAGTAGGTTAAGAGTGAGGCTAACCACCCCACTCCGTCAAGAATTATCGACACTGAAACTTCAAGGCTTAAAGCGCTGTGTTTCTTTAGCAACTCGAAGACTGAAAAAAGTTGGTGACCGCCGTTGGGGATAAATAAATGTACATAACTTTTTGAAGACGAAAGTATGAGCTTGTCTGAGAAAGGAACTCAGAGCTTCCCCATTTCATCGGTTTCAGATCCTACAATTCATTGCTGTTATGCAATTTATCCTCTCCTCTAGATTCCTAATACATGTATAGAAATGCCTTCAAACAAATTGTTTATTGTGCACTTTTCCAACTAATTGTTTCTGAGGCGAAGTCTTTGACGCTGTAGACATAGAGATGGCTTGTGTGTTCGCTTATTATTAACCTCTTGACTGTTGAGTAAAATTATAGGCGCAAAATTAAAACGAGTGGTTTTTTAAAAACTCTATGTCTGAAAATGCTGACAAAATATTTTTTTCCGTATGCCTGAAAATCAGTTTTCTTCAACTTTTTGTGCTAGTAACTTATAATAAGTTTTGGTTTTAATGCTTAGGTCAGTATGATAAGTGTATCCGACATCTACTCGCCAGATGCCAAGGTTCCAATCTATGGGGTAATGCACCGAAATCGGGTATATGCCCTGGTGACAATACTGCTGTTCAAGATGACGGATTGAATAATCTCACCTTTCACTTGGTCCCATTCAACTTTCGTAATTTAATTCAACCAAATTCAATCTCAGATATTGTCTCAGTCATCTTTTCACATCGTCAGTCAGCGATGAAAAATGTTTTAATTATTAACCTAATCAATGCTTTGACTGAACGACGTGAATTAAGCATGGCAGATAATTTACAAAGTTGTTTAAAAGCTTTAACTGAATTGGGCGGATCAAGAAATTCAAAAGTTGCATTGGCAGCACGTCAGTTGCTTATCTCTGTGCAAACACCATCATATGAATTAAGACGAAATCAAGTGAGTGGGATGCGTGCATACATACTGAACAGTTTCACATTCTATGCTTATATCTATATGAAGTATGCAATGATTGATGGTAGCATTTAATTAAATTTCGTATCTTTCGCATTAGATACTCTGATTTTACTCAGCATTATAAATAACTGGTGGGGTGATCCACAATGGAAAGCTCAGCGAGGCTTTCAAATTGAATACAGGAGTAAGACAAGGCTGTCTATTATCACCGATGATATTTTTAATTGCGGTGGACTTGATTATGCGTCAGGCTGTGGGAAGCAAGGATACAGTAATACGCCGGACTACTGATAAGAAGACTCTAGAAGATCTGGATTTCCCAGATGATGTTTATTTGTCACACAAACTCGAAGACTTACAGGCGAAAAGCAACAAACTAGCTGAAGAAGCAGGTTGTGATGACAGGACTCCAGGTGAAAATAGAGAAAACGGAGGTGATGAAGATAACTAACGGTCTGCAACAACGACAAAAACCAGCACTTATTACCATCAACGGCAGCGATTTAACAGAGATTACTTTTTTCACCTCTCTAGGAAGCCAGCCCCGTCTCAACTACAGGCGTAACGGATGAAGATGTCAAAGTCAGCCAGCCAGAATCGGAAAGGCAAGATACGCCTCCATCAACCGGAAACCAGTTTGGAAATCTTCTGCAATGACTCAGCATGAACAATAAGATTCGGATTTTCAACACAAATGTGAAGTCAGTCAGTTAGTTCTTCTATACGGGCCAGAAACTTGCATTGCGTGTCACGAAAAGGATTTCCAACAGGTCCCAGACTTTTATCAACAGCTGCCACTTCGCTGGCTGGCACCATACTGGAGATCAAATGGCCAGCTGGCCTTAAGGAATTAACAACAAGAAACTCTGGCTGGGAACAAACCAAGCAAGAGCGGATTGATCAACAAATATGTAAGAGAAAATGGAGATTGATTGGGTATACGTCGAGGAGGCGGTCGAGTGACTTGTCGCGCAGTGTAGGCCATCTGTCGAGTAGAATCCCAATGAGAAGCGACGAGTTTGTGACATGGATGTGATCGTGTGAAGACGAAATGAGATATATTGGGAAATCGTGGACACATTTGAAGAGGATATCAGAAAATAGGAGAAAGTCTAGGTGTGTTGTTGAAGCCCTATGTTCCACTCGGAACCCAAGGGAATAATAATAATAAATAATAGGTAACTGGAAATAGATTAGTCTTCGCTGAAGCATTCTATAATATCGTCGGACATCTTTCTGGAGTACGGAATCAGGTATGCTAACTACAGCTAGGTGACCAGTGATGATGAAGCTAATCAATGTTGATTCATTAGTCATTTTTAACAATTCACATTGTTGCCTCACCATACCGCTTACTGAACTACGTGATTTCTGAGTGACGTCACTTGATGTATTATAACTGGTTCATCTTTTGCTTGCTGATTATGAAGTTCTTCATAACATAAGTCCAAGTTTGCCTTGACCACTTCGGTTCAAATCAAACAAAGCGCTGTTGACTTACAGTAAATAGTTAGACGACTGTTGTTTGTTGTCGTATTGTTAAGAATTAATAGATTTACAGTTTCATCAACTGACTTACCACCCACAATGTGTATACTGGTTATATATGGTTAATCATTCAACAAGTAGGTTCTAGGTCCGAATACCTCTCCATCTATTTTAACCCTGATAAATGCGTAGTATCTACAATCCTCGCATAATAATTGTGTGGCTGTTATTTTGGGGGATTACTTCATGTTATTTGCAACCTTCTCAACTTGTACAACTTTGTGTAGGCTATATGTCATTCAACCCGTTTGAAAGCACTTGTTTATCTACTGCTCAAATTATCCCTGTCATCCTTGATTCTCACTATTCACCACTGCCTACTGTCATCATGTACATATTTAGCGATAGATCTGTTAGAGTTTGCTAGTCTTTACTTGTCCGTTTATTTTTAAGAAAACCAACTGATTATGCATTTTGGTCTTGACTACATAACCTAACAGTATTGTCAATGACCACTTTGTGCTGACAGTGTGTTGTAGCAGGTGAGAAGTTCGCCGGCGAAAATTAAACAAACAAACAATAACGATAAAATAAACACAAGGTGAAATGGTTACATTTTGGGTGGGAGTCTGATACAGTCTGCCTGTGTGTATGTATAGCCTATTTTAACCTAGACTTTGAAATTGATAGACCGACAATTTTAACTATAAACAGTATCATTTAAAAAAATTTTTATTTTATAGTGGCATTTTGGCATGTTTTATTTGTTTATTCATTTTGTCATTCACTTATCACTAATTGAGTGTACTTCACTTGACTTACATATACGCACACACACACTCACATGGATACAAATAAAATTATAGGTAGATAGTATTACTCCACAAACGCTTGCATTAATTAACATGCAAGTGACAATGAACCATGCTTATTGTGTGAGGGCCAGTGATACTTCTGAGCTGCACAAACCTCATTCGTTAGAGCGGGTTTCAAACGTGTGTCCCAGTGGTTGGTTGGCTGGCTGTGGAGTTCTCAATGCAATAAGCCCTTAACTTCATACTGTTCAAATAGGCGTCGTAAAATTGCTTATTCATGTTGACTGATCTATCGAAAAAGAATGTGAATTACCTTGTACAAGTGTTGTCAAGCTAGGTTGAATGTCCAACTGGATTGGAATTCTTCGATTTGGCATCAGAATTGTGAACTCTGACCACTTTTTTTTCCTTTTGAGCAAAATCTAAAAATAACTTGCCGCATCTTTGGCGTAAATGTGATATCCGGTTATCCATTGAAGGATATTAGCAGTTCACTCTGTCTCTCTTAATGACTTAAACATGGGCGTTGAAAGTGGAAGACTTGAAGAGACTAACTGTCTCTGGAACCTATGTGTCTGTGTTCTATCTCGCGTGTTAAGTGGTATAATATGTTGAGTAATATTGACATGAAAAATTCAATCAATGAGGTTGTGAAACTGGATCGATTGAGAAGGCCAACATGTCATACCGTAGCCATCTTCGTCGAGCGATGTTGTAGCGCATAGGATTAGGTTGGTTGAGAGTTACCGGTGGTCAAATAGAGAACTTCATCAGTGCATGAACTCTTTGACTGTTGGATTTAGCCAGATTAGGGAAGTGTAGACTGTTGGTGGAAAAGTGTAAATTCGTTCTCAGTGGAACAGGTTCATTCACTGTTTATGAACTCCACAATGCATTAAAATCTCATTATACCCCATGTTCTTATTTTTTCCACTTTACATTTCCCTTCATTGTTCTCTGTATCTTTATCTGTTGCACTTTCGCATAATGTTCTAGGTCGTGAACCAAATCTACCAGTATGCCTTGGTAGTCTTGCTATACTGTCGTACTTAATTTGCTTGGTATTCATTCTACTGTCTGCGTTTTATGAACAATTCAAATCAAATATGCCGTTACGTGTTCATTGTTGAATACAGAGACCACTGGAGAATGTTTTGAAACATCAGCTTATAATTAGAGTATAACCTGAAATCATTCAAAATTTCGTGTTCTTAAAAACAAGTTTAGGCAAAGTCGGAGCAAAGCAACACTTAGAGAATAGTGTTATTTATTCCCCGTGGATAACACAGTCTGTCCGGTGTATTTGTGAAATGCTTCAAGGCACTTTTTTTTTAAATTCTTCCTTAATCGTTAACTTACTCAAATTGTGTTCTCATGCGTTTCTTTCTTTCTCCCTCTTCTTAAACGAATAGGTGGAATCAATTTTCTTGTCAGCAGTGGATACATTCGGTCAGCAATTCCATCCGGGATTACTGTTGCAGTTGATTAACTCAGAGACTGTTGTCTTTGACATTTTGACAGAATTCTTCTATCATTCTAATCAAGCTGTGGCCAGTGCTGCATTAGAAGTGAGTAATATAGGCATGCATGTATATAAAATATATAATTTAATTACTATTATTATTATATTCATTCACTCTCCGAGTGGAACATAGGTCTTCAAGCCAGAGCTTTAAAGTTTCAATGCCAGTGGGGCTGCTAACTAGCCTCACGCCTAATCTTCCCTCGTTAATGGCTTATAAAGGTTTAGGAGTAGTGCATCAGCCGAGGATCGGACCTCGGACCATTTGCATGGTTGGCAAGCTTTCTGCCTCGGAACCACCGACGCGTGTGTTTCATTTACAGTTTGTCCATATGTGAATTCGCTTACGACTGTGTATAGTTTGCATACAGTGTTATAGTGCAAAATGGTGTGGTTACAGTCCAGTTGGCATAAATGTGTGATAGTGTTGCCATCTGGTGTTGGCTTTTCTATTCATGTTGTGTGTAGTTAAGCTTCGAGTATTCCTTATCTGCGGAACAAGTATATGCTGCTGATCGATGGATGGGAGTAGCCAGTTACTGGTCATATCAACTAGTAGAGCTTGCTAGTCAGATCGAAGTGGTTTAAAAACCAGATATTTTCCCGCTTATTTGGCACCGACACAGGCGGAGAGAGGAAGAAATAGTTGTTATTTGTTGACATTGGTTTAGGCATTGAGTGAGTTTATAGGCGATCGTTGAAACTAATTTACCCCCCCCCTCTCTCGTTTCTGCCTCCTCCATAGGATACAACAAAGGTGGTGGTCACTTACAATTCCCTAAGGCAGTAGGTGTTGTTCACAGTACTGTTTGGCTTTGTATTATATGTTTAAAGGAATAATGCAGTCATTTCAAATATTAATTTTGCCTACTTTAAAGGTGTTTTATAGATCTTAACACAGCTGTTGTGTCATTTGCTGCACTGGGCTCGATAAAAATCATGTGATTACTTTTAATCTCAACCACCGGTATTTACCTCACAATATACTTCGAAGTTTGAAAAACCATACCTCAAAACCATCTGTTTTAGTTTATAGTAATAGGTTAAATGAATTGAGGATGATGTTAGCAGTAGTGTTCACCAAACTCATTGACAAAGATCACTTCATACAATCCGCCGTTGAATTTTACATATTACCACCAATGAAGGACACAAGAAGGATGGTAATCATAGCTGTATTCATCAGTAAGAAAGTTGATATTACTTGATTGTGGCTGAATATGGCTGATATTTTTAGTCATGTAATTCGTCGGAGGATTTCATCACAAGCTGATATCAGTTAAAGAACCATCGGAAAACCTGGGAGTAGTAGACAGCTGTTTCGTTCTATTTGGGGACTCTTCAACAGTGCCCCCACCACTGGGGTTCGAACTCAAGGCGAGCTAGCTCGTAGACCATTAAGCCACTGGGATTCGATCCAATGGCCAGTCGATGAATTCTAACTTTTGACATGGCGCGACCAGTTCGCAATGTCTTCTTCGATGAGTTACTGCCTCACCTTCATACCTGCTGTAACCTGTAATTCCGTTATATTTTATGGCAGCATTTGGTTGAATCGGTCTATCAAATACTCAGAGATGTTTATATATAACCTCTTTAATGCGCGTGATATTTCTGTAACAGGTCGAAGTAACAAAATGAACTGTAATACCGAAATCTTCCTAATTCAACACTTATCTCTTTTACTTAATATTCAGTGGGGAAAAAGCGAAATTTGCAACTATCTTATTGGAAGAAAAAAAGCTGTCGAGTCGTCTTATCAACCTGAAATAGTTTCATATTATTTTTAACATCTACAACTGTATTCCGATGCTTTTGTTCCATGCACCTAAAGCGAATAATTGAATAGTATAGTCTGGAATAGTATTAAAATTATCAGCGAACCACTGACTCCATCAAAACACAGAAAATATTCAGTACTACGGCTTGAAATTATCTGTCTACTTTGTGTAACATTCACTACCATGTTTGAACATGCTTAACGTCAGAATATTCAGGAAGAATCTAAATTCAAACTAATCAAAATGCCTACAGATACACACATAACAGTTGTAAAGTTCACATCTTGCCCTTCAACACATAATCTAGTCCCCTATCTGTATTACGTGTATTTTTTTTTCTTTTCATCATAGTGAATCATAGCTTGTGTGAATATGCATGCCTTTGACTTTCCCCTCTCTCGCTCTTTACTCTCATAGGTTTACATAAGACGTTCATATACAGCCTATGAATTGACTGGTGTACACCACTTTCAATTATCCTGTGGTAGTTCATTCTTTACATTTCGATTTATCCTTCCAACTGGATTTGTGTCCAGGTTAGTGAAATCTGTTGTAGCATTTTTAAAAAGGGCTAAAATTGAACTGCTCTAACACTGAGATGTTAGATTTCAAACCGTATCATTTACTATGTGTTTTTTTAAAATTTTGACGTTCCCCGACTGAATTACTGACAGACTGTGCATGATTGTAGACTAATGTGTTTGTCATTTGTAACTACTACACTAATAGTCACCTAGATAAGATTGACAATAAGGCAATCTAGTAACGAACCAAATAAAAACCTGTTACACCAAACAAATATGCCTAAGGAGACGGAGATTGATTAGAAACACGCTGAGTGGACTGTTGAGTAACATGACAGGGCAAACCCTCGAGTTGGAAGATGAATGGGAAATGACAGGTTTACCGTCTGAGGGTGACATGGAGAAAATAGTGTGAGAAGAAGATGAAAGCTAATGAGCAGTCGTTGAGCCAACTAAAGAAGACTGCAGAGATAAGTTTCCACCACATAACAGTTGCTGAAAACATCATGACAGCCACTCTATCACTCTGCTTATGGTTATTGTCTACATGTCAGAAGTGGATTATCGTATCTCCCTTTAAGGATTTCTGGAGTTCACTTCCGTTATGTCTCTTCCCACATTCTACTTCTTATCTTCTCACTTCTTTTTGCAATCTGGACAGTCTTATCAGGGTCAAACATAATATGGACGTTTCTTTTCTCCCCTGATTACTTTCGCTTTGCTTAAAAGAACAGACATTGACCTACCGGTCTCTCTAAGGCTTTCTTCATAGGCTATCATCTTCTCTTGTCGAACTGCGAAGTCTTCCAAAATTCAGCCAAGAATAAGTTTGTCTTTTCCGTGCTTTGAAATGTCATTAGCGATGAAGCTGATTTTTGCCAGCTGGGCTCTCTCGTCCCATGCATGCAACCTCCTCTCTTTTTCAGGGTTATGGTTGGCTAATAAAATTTGGCAAGTCGGTCAAATATTCTTGGCTTAGATTTTGCAATCCTCTCTTAGTTTTCTACCGTTTGTTGATTTTCAATTTCCACGACTTTAGTTTTGTATGTTGGTGTAGCGTGCACCTTTCAAACGATAGGACTTATATGGGTGTCCCTAACAAATCACTATTGCATTGTAGATCGCATATACAAATTTGATGCAGAGCATTAGGTTTCCCTTTAAAAAACAATTTAAGCCTGTCCATCCATCCTCTATGGATAAGTTTGTTCTTCATAAATTGCTCATTGATATGATTATAAGCCATAATTTATGCTTGAAACATTATCCAGTCATTATTATTACTGCATTGCTTTGTGTGATGTTTGAAATTAACTGACCTAATATCGAATTACATCCTACTACAAGGCGCATGTTCTACACTTGCAACTTATGTTTCATTATTCAATTTATTAATATGTTATAGTTCCTCAACTGTGAACCGGCGTTCATCAGATTCAGAAAAGGCAAACTGTCAAAGGTTTAATTCGGATCATTTGCTTTATTCGCCAATATCAGAAGGCGTTCAAATTGTCAATAATACTAATAATAATAACCATTATACTAGTAGTAATACTAATAACAGTGCTGAATCTTCACTGCCCAATGGATATCATTCAGATCAGCATGATCCTACAAATCATAATTTGTCAATAACAAATTGTTTCCAAAGCATGATTGATATGGACAGTATCCCATTATCGGGTGAACGTATGGGTGGCATGGCTGCATTCAAGTCGTTAAAAAATCTTGAAGAGTAAGTAATACAAGTTTTGTGTGTCCGCCCTGATAAGTTGCGGCTTGATGCTGCTGCTGACAGGCATCTTCTTAATTATTTTTTTAGAGCTATTCTGACTTGCGAAGCTGGCATCCGCCTTTCTAATCTTATATTATTGTAACCACTATTAGTGTCAGTAGTTCCTAGGTAAATGTCATTTAGGCTAATAAACACTTCAAGGTCATCTTCCAACTCTGTAGGCGCATGATCCAAGTATATTCATTATGTAAAAGTGGTGTATTAGCAGGCCAGTCGATAAAAGTATCCATATCTCTGAAATTAAAAAAGAAACACAGTGGCATTGTACTGTGATCCATTGACTAGGTGAGTGCTGCTCAAATGAAGTTGATGACTCAATATTCAGTATCGCTGTGGGGCTTGTTTTGCACTACGAAAGTGTGACTTCACTGAAGCAGGAGTAATTAACTTTACAGTGTTCCTCCTAAGTGCGTCAGTCTTCATGGAGAACCGCTTTTGAAAGTAATCAATTTCTTTCTCAAATCATTCAAATGAAACCAAAAGTAATTATTAGTGAATATCCAGAATGTAATTAAACTGTGTGTGTGGAATCCTTCAAATCCGTATATTTTAATAGTTTTACGCTGTGCACATCATGTTCTTATATTTCTTTATTTTTCCTCATTTGTCTTTTGACCTCATATTTAGATCGTTTGGTGAATTAATGCGATTATTTAATTCAGCCTGTACAGAAGCGAAGAGTATTCACACTTCATTATCTGAACCGACTTTCGATTATGCTCGCCAATTCACTGCTGATGTCCACTGTAAATCACACGATAGTGAAAGTTTAAACAATGCTGTTGGATTAGGTGGGACAAAGTTGGTCAGTTTTCAAGATCCACCTTATCAAACGGTAGGTTTCAACTCTATTCCACCCCTTTCCTGCTTCACAGCACGTTATTCCACGTTATTCTTGATATACACAATCGTCAACAGCGAGACGAAAGTCTGGTAATGCATAAAACTTAAATGAGGCATAGTAAGGCATTAAGAAGACAAATATCGCCAAAAAGTATCGTTTCGTAGTTTCTTTACGACTGCTTTACAACTAGCATGGTTCACAATAATAAAATAAAGTGTTTGACAATTACTCAGTTATATAAAAACAAAAGTGCATACTAATAATCAATCTTATTATTTTAGGAGGTCAAGTGGTCCATTGTAGGCGAATTTTCGGATGCATATGATTAGTTCAAAGTTATGCGAAATAATAATTTAGCATTTTCTCACATGATGTATTCCGTGTCACACTCTCACAAGTACATTAAAATACTACTATGTTTTCTAACTCCTTTCCAGTATGTGATTTATATATTCTTTCAATCTCTAGTATTTAGGCAGTTTACAAGTTATTTAGTTGATACTGTGTAGTTGTTCCTCTAAGCAGATTTACATGTGTATGATAATTTTTTGTGTTTATTTAAACTTGAATTCATGAAGTTAGGCTGATGGTGAAGACAGTATGCCTATAGTAGTGAGTGCGGATCTAGTAAAATGAGAAAGGCCTCCCCCATTTAATGTCATCCTTTCTGTCTATTAGACACTTTTTTCTTCATTGTCTGTTGCCTAGTTGATTTTTCTCCAGAATTATCATCCTCTCGGTGTCGGTGGCACAGTAGTTAGGACTCTCGCCGACCATGCACATAGACCGAGGTTCGATCCCCTGCCGACGCACACCTGATATCTATAGTCGGCCTACAAAATTTGGGCTGCCGATATCACATACTTAAAATTGCATATCTGTATCAGAAAATACGGTGTGGAATCAAGCTGTAATCAAAAAGTCGAAAAAAATAAAAAATATTTCTGCTCTCGGCCTCTAAAAAAATCCAGTGTTTATACATATACTACTCATTGATTTATAAGTAGCACAAAGTTCAATACTTAGGAAAAACAAGCAACATTAAATTGATGTTGAGAATAAATTGGGCAATCAGAAGTAGTTGAAGATTCCGAGGAGAGTAAAGTTGTCCTCACATTGTCTGCTTGTTATTTTTCCGCAAATATATATATATATGTATCTGTATAAATTTTTTGTTACACGTAATATCTACTCCACTTATCATGAAGTGAAGTGGAGTGTTTACAATCTTTCCATAAACTAACTGGATCATCCGTGTTTATTTTAACAGTATTACAATAGACGTAATCAGGTAAAACAAAAAATCTAATTGGATAGATATTTGAATTATAATTCAATGTGGGCTACCCTCTCTCTCTCTCTCTCCTTATTTTGTGTTTCTGGATTTCACACATTTTCTTTCTTATAAGTGGCTTTAATTTTCCTTTTCATTTCACCATTGCTGTCGCTCTCGTTGTTTTTGTTTTTCGTTGTTCTGCCTCTTTTTGTTACTGACATGGTGTTTTGATGTCCTCATTGCTTTTTGCACATGTATGCATATGTATATCACACTGGTGCTTTTCTATGGTCACTGACTTATCTCACTGCTCAATATATATGCACTGTCACAACTTACTTGACTGATGATCAGCCTCTGGCTTTACACAAATATATGTGGTCTTTGTTAATTTCAGTGGGCACTCGGTGCCAATGTGTGTGGATGGGTGGGAATTATCTTAAAGTTTCGCCATTGACTTGATTAACTGTGTTTATTGCACCCAGTAATGCAGCTTATCACATGCAATGATATACTGTAAAAACACGATCAGAAATGTTTGTTTGGCTTTACTGTCATACCTCTGCCAGGTAAGTCATATTCTCTGCCTTCATGCGGTGGGTTGTTCGTCGCAAAACTGAAGTCTGGTGTCTGCAAACAGACTGGTGGACACACACAGGTCTACCTAGAGGAGTCGGTAAAGCCTGATGCTGAATCTAGGACTTCAGAATCCGGTTGAATCAAATGGCGTATAGGCCTGTTTTGCTCACTGTCAACCATTGGAAAGTGACTCTTGACACTGCGCCACCGCATTGTCGATCAGACTTCAAGTCAGTCAGAGACTCGGGAGTAGACTGCCCTCTTAAGTCAATTACCTGTTTCATTCTATGCGTCCGGGCAGTATTCTAGCAATCGCGCAAATTATAGGCGCATCCGCTGGTGTCCATAATGTGCCAAGTGTGTGCTTTTACCAATACCAGTGATGTTTGTGTGGTCATGTAAGACAATTATTTTAAGTTGGCTTCTTCTTTATTGCTTGACTTTTCAAAAACTGACACAGCAAATATTATTAATAATAGTTACGGGAAAGTTGGAAGACACCTGTGATGGTGCACCACGGTAGTATATTAAATGAAGTTTGAATATACTGATAAGCGGATTTCAAATACTGCGAATCAGTATTAAATTGGTATACTGTTGACATCTTTAACGTACGTATGCAATGTTGATTTCTTAAGATTCTGTCTGTCTGTCTGGATTCAACATAGAACTTGGCACTGAAGTGCAGCAGTTCCAGTTGCCACGTTCCGAATATCACACAAGGATAGACCAGAAGATGAGTGAAGAGAATCAATAGAGTTTTGACACGTATAAGAGTGAAACAGAATGAGTAATGGTAGAAAGGAATATGAAAGATTACAGAGACTGAATACATCTGCGCCACTGACAACGATTTTGAGCCATGTCACCTATTGTCTCCAGCCATTGATTCTTAGAGTCCCGAGGGCCCCAACCCGGAAGTCTGCATCTCCCTACCTGACTCAGTTTAACTGTCAGAGATTTCATGGATTGATGAGGCTATGTTTTTGTTTGGCTACCACTTACTCTTTTCCAACCTGCACCTATATCAGCTAGTAATGCCCGTCGGGGGAGGCGATGGTTAGGCATGCGCAGCACGTGACCTAGCCATCTCAATCTATGTAACTTGATAGCCTCTTCGATTGATTTTCCCTCTTTGCCCAACACTCTATGCCTAACGTCAACATTACTTACCTTATTATGCCACCTAACGTGAGAAAGAGATCGTAGACATCTATGATCAAAAACAGTCAACCTTTTCATGTCTTCAACTCGTATTGGTCATGTTTCAGAGCCATAGAGAAGGACGGAGCGAACTGCTGAGCAGTACACACGTCCCTTTGTTGATAGCCGGATGTCACGCCTACGCCAGAGACGGTGTAAGTTAGTGAAAGCAGCCCGAGCTTTTTGGATCCGTGCTGAGATTTCGTCACCAATGAATCCGTTGGTGCTAATACAACGACCCAAATAGGTGAAGTGGTCAACATGTTCTATCACTTCACTCCCTATCACTAAGCTAGAGGTAGACGTAGTCTGCATTTAATGGTGTAGTTCAGTCCAGCTGTGAAAAACTTCATAGTTCGAAATTAATTATGTGCAAAGTTATCACATCGCATTTCTTTTCCACCAAAATTACTGTCGTAGAAAAGCGTATTTTAAAATTCACTCCATTGTGCCATTTACGAGGACAAATATGGTTGGTTGTTTGGTTGGTAACTTACCTTCGCTTCACTTTTGTGTAAATCGACCCAATAGATGAATCTGATGTATATTTGACTGCTGTACACACCTGCGTACCACCGTATGCATATATTGGATGAAGTATTTTAACCGCGCATGAAAATGTGTCTAAAATATATAAGTGTTTAAATTCTCAAAACGTATTTGAACTGTCAGACTAAAAGGTTATTTCCTCCACTGATCAACAGACAACCATATATATTTTTGCATAGCAATCATAGAATATAATTTTTCAGTAGTTCAACTGACAACTAAAGCTACCCATACTCGAGAAAAGGAGATAGATATAATGCCAGCTAGTAGAGCGTCTTCTTGTTGGTTTCAGGTCTATGTGGCAGTGTTTCTAGTCGTCGAAGTTACTGGAATAATGTGCTACAGATTCACTTCGTTGTCAAAAAATGTTCCTCTACTGCTTTCAGTGGAAGCACCAGCATATTCACTAAAAAGTTTGATTTGTGTGAAATAAGTCGGGTATTAGAGCCAGTATACGCTGACGACATTGACTAACAAACAGTGGCTCTGTAAATAGTAAAACGGTAAAAGTTCGTATGTATGGGCGACGACTGGGTGAATACTACAGCGTCTCATATCGTAATCTGAAACTCCTGTGTTCAATCACCTGTGGGTTCACGCGCCGAATGATTTTCATTCGTGGTCAAACTGGAAATCTATCAAGTCCCTGCGAACGCGCAGAAATAATCGGGAGAAGTAAGTTTGCTTCAGTTACTGACAACGATAACCAAAACTCTAACATTTGTGAATAGTGCTCGGTTTAATTGAATTTTAGATTTTTCCGTCGATTGATTGGACCGAATTGCTCGCTCTCAGGTTGACATGTCGGCTTCTTGAGCAGATGCTTCGACGATGTCTGGTTATTTAATTAGTATTTAATTGGTGGATGGTGACTAGCAGTGGGATCCAAGTGGTCTAGCGGATAACGCTTTGGCGTTTGAAACTATGGGCATTGGGTTTGAGCCTCGGTGGGAACATCGTCACTCACTGAGAAATGAAGGTACATCCATCTGACGAGTCCCAAATAGGACGAAATGCACATCCTGGATTCAACTGCCTGCCACCATCCACCAATTAAGTGCTCGGTTATGTCTATTTGCTTATGCCTGATTCTGGAACTTTGTTTAATGAAGTTTTGTATGTATATATCCTTTTTTTATTTTAATTCCGATTGTCCGCTGAAGAATTTTGCCCCAGTTTGTGTAATTAATCGTTGGAATTATTTATTTCGATTTCTCTATGGTGTATACAAATATGATTTTTGCATATATCTACTTTTTATTCGGCACCCGATTATTGTGAAACTATCCGGTCAAACAAAGCTTGATCACACAGTTCGTATTAATGTCATTTAATCATTCTTATTTCTGTTCCAAAAACTGTGTGATGGATAACAATAGTTCATGTCGCCTTACTTATCATTTATTTTACTCGTCAACATTTTTGTTTCTCAAGCACTCGCCTTTAGTTTTTGAAGTCATGAGTTTTAATGGGGTGGTGGTGGTGGTGGTGATGTAACCTGCTTCTTCTCATTGACTCTTTTTTAGTTTTTTGCTGAACTTGTTTTTTTTTCTATTTCAACTAAGTGTCCCTTGCTTTGTTGTATACCTTGTCTAATTCAAATCTGGATCTTTATCTTTTATCATTGATTTTCTGGATTAGCAGACTGATCCTCAAGGAGAACCGATTCATATACTAAATATTGCCTTGCGTCAGTCGTCAGATACTGGCATGGCGTCATCTCGGACACCAGACGAGAAGGCAACTAGATTCACAAGTCTACCTGATTCAGTCATCAATGAAGCGAGTGATGTATCACAGCTGGAAGAATTTTGTTCACGTCATGTGGATCAATTGAGAGCGTCTGGTATCCGACGGATTACTTTTTTAGTTATTAAAACAGTAAGAAATTTATATCTTTTTTAGTTTTCTTTGTGCATAATAAATAAATAAATAAACTTTGTTTCGTTTAACTTTGGTCTTTGCCTGATAGCAGATTGAACAATTCGGATATAACTCTGACAACCATCGTTGCAGGTTATTCAGTCTGTTATGCCTATTTCCACTTTCTGTGGTACTGTTTTGTTTTTCAGTAGTTACGTAAATTGTTTCATTATCAGCCGAATGCATACGTGAAACTCCTCAGTGTTTATGTGTTTAAACCATAACGCCTTTTTTTCCAGACATGGTAGATTTTAATATATGCGAAAAAAAGTCCCCATTTAAAGATTTAAAAGGCAAAAGGATTGATCGAATAACTTTCCCATTAGCTCCTCGTGTCTGGCTCTACTTTGATAAACATAACATTCCTAATATAATACACAATATTTTACCAACCAAGTGGCACTGATATGTTTGTTAACAATAATTAGTCAGTATCAACAGATCAAACGGTGGGGTGATAATTAGCGGAGAAAATTAACACACACAATTACAGAGTAGAAATAGTTACAACAAGTGGATTGCATAATGCGCAATTTTAGAAAAAAATGAAGAGTAACTAATGAGTCAGTGAGTCTTCAAGTTGATTAGATAGTAGGTAATTAAAGAAAAATGAAGTAATTCGGACAGTAATAACGTGTAATTAAAGATGAAGTAATCGTAAGTGATAAAATAATTTGAACAGTTACAATTTTAATTGGTTGGAGGATTTCATCATGAGCTGACATCAGTTGGAGAACCAATGGAAAACCTACAGGGAGTACTGGACAGCTGTTTCGTCTTAGTTTTGGGACTCTTCATCAGTACGCACTCACCAGTGGGGTTCGAAGCCAGGACCTTCTGGTTACAAGGTGAGCTAGCTCGTAGACCATTAAGCCTCTGGGACCCGATCCATTGGTCAACCCATGAATTCTAATTTCTGCGAGTTCTTGACATAGCGCGACCATTTCGCAATGTCTTCTTCGACGCATTACTGCCTCACCTTCAGCCTGCTGCAATTACAATTTTAAAAGGTTTAGAGGGAAAATAAAGTACTCCGGTTTTTGCATACATGTAACGATGACCAAGGTAAGGAAAGTAGTTGTGCGAATTTCTTCTGAATACATAGGTTTATCTTCTTCAGGTGGATTCCTTCGGCTGCAGTTGCATGTAGAAGAGGAACTGGTAAAGCAAAATTAAGATTAGTTGGAGTGCAATGAATAACTTTATGTGCTGCGTTATTATCAGCTTTATGCTCATTGTCCATAAGGTGTGCTAAAATTTTATTATAGATACTACTTGAAGTTAGGAGTTCAAGGTGAAATTACATGATATGCCACAAAGATACGTTACCTCCTATGAAATAATTTATCACCTACTAAAGGAACTGAGACGTTTGACATTTCCGGATACTCAAGTGTTGGTTTGTAGGGATTTGATTGGTTACAGGATTTCATCATGAGCTGACATCAGTTAGAGAACCATTGGAAAACCTGGGAGTACTGGACAGCTGTTTTGTCCTAGTTTGGGACTCTTCAGCAGTACGCACCCACCGGGATTCGAACCCAGGACCTTCTGGTTCCGGATACTGTTCAGTTTGCGTTATGCAATTTAGTTGCTAGGTGAGGAGAGTGAGTCAATTGATGTGGGTTTGTGAAACTATGTTGACTGAAGTGGCTACGACACGTGTTGCTCATGAGGAGAACCCCTGCCTTCTGTTTCGAGCCATGTCAGTTGACTTAGGATTAGGTTGGAAAAGAGTGGGGTTGTCAAATCGAAACATGATACCAATCCATAAAGTCTTCAACATTTGAGTCTTGTAAGGAGGTGCATACTTTCCTATATGGCTCATAATCGTTCTCATTTTCGCATCTCTACGCAAAATTCCATGTTGAAATTCAGTGACTGAGTCAATGCACTTCAGTTGACTGAATGATTTTCAATTATTTGTAATTTTTATGTTTATTTATTGAAATATGAATTAACCCCTTTTTAGTATTCTCTTTATTATTTTTTGAAGCTGTAGGTGAACACAACTCAACTTTCCTGTTGTTTTTTTTTCTACAATGGCTGCCGCAGTCAAATTCACACAATTCAATAATCTTTTAATCATAATTTTCCTTATCATTTCTGTTTCTGAAATTGTTGTTTTCGCTTCTCTTTTTAAAAAAATTTTCATTTCAGAGAGAATTCCCACGACTGTATACATTTCGTGCACGTGATAATTATCGAGAGGATAGAGTCTATCGACATTTGGAACCAGCTTTGGCTTTCCAGTTGGAGTTGAATCGAATGAAAAATTATAATCTTGAACACCTACCGACACTAAATCGTCGTATGCATTTGTATCTAGGTTGCAGTAAGGTGGGTAATTCAAGTGTACACATGTTATTTGGTGTTTAAGTTAACCATTTCACTGAGGTCTACTGAATTCATCTTAGTGTGCATTGATTCACAGGTCACTAGGTTGTAGGCGATATCATACGTGCCTATTTTTTGGTGTTGGTGCTGTCTGAAGCACACAATCAAGTTTGCGATGTGATAATCAAGCTAGGTGATGTGCTGTCGTGGTACACTCCGATTTTAGGTTCTATGGTAAGAGTGCCAAGAAGCACAAAACCTAGATACACGACTTCCTGCTGCCTACCTCAAACCACCTAGCATCTTAATGTGTTTGAGCATGTGAAATCACAAGCGTGTTGTTGTAAAAAGCACTGACGTGTACAGTGATCTGTTGGCTATATAGTTGAGTCGTCGACTCAGCAAGCAAATTACAACCAAACGGAATCATAGAATATTGTGAAATTGTGATTTATACACAACTGAAAATCTGGCACTAATTTTCATAATAACAATACTCTGTTTAGGTCTCCTAATCCAGATGTGTGATTAAGCAGTATATCTGAGTAGTCATCTCTTTTTGGTCCACTCATTGATTCTTCACTCTGCTTAAATCAGGGGTGGAGTGCAAACACTTGTTATCCCTACATAATAAGGCTGTTAGATGAAAGAAGTTATATCGAATGAGAATACCCTGCAAAATAAGTCCGAATTAGGCCTCATCAGTTTGAGATTCAACCCCCCCCCCGTCCGCCCTTGTTTCACTATTGAAGGTACTCGTGCTGAGTATCAGCCTAATAGAAACAACCAAACTAAGTGTTTTAAGTCTGTCATTATAAACCACGTCTACTTATTGTTTTGTTGATATTATTATCTGCTTACTGTGACTCATTGTTGTTACTGGATATCTTGAATTTTTCGTTTAACTGAGTCTGAGAACGGATAAAAGTTACAAGTAAGTGGGATTAATTGCTTGTTTAAATTAGCTGTATATTTATGCCTGCCTACATTAAAGATGAATGTCATTGTTCTACGCACTTACCAATGCCTCTCGTGATGTCATCATCAAATCTAGAGGTTTTAAAAAAGCGATGTGCAATGCTTTTCACAGAAGCTTGGAAAGGAATTATTATGCAAGCCATTGTAGCACTGTAGCACTAAGAACACAATATTCAACGAAGAGATTCTTTTCAACGAATTTATTATCAAGCTGTACAATCGTACATATGTGGTTTTTAAGAAATTATATCCGGTGAGGGAATTAGGTTAAAGGTGTGAATACATGAAATAATAATAATAATAATAGTAGTATGAAATACAATTAAATTATTTGTGATTATAATCATAGTTAAATGTCAAGTAACAAAACAATCAATGTCATATATAGAATAATACATAAGATGCATAGATGTTGGAAAGGGGCACATAATTATAGGATAAGTAGGCGAATATAAAATGTTGCATAATATGGTGTGAAATTTTATAAGATAGAATTCAATATTGTTCTCGTATCCGTGTGGAAAGCGTTCTCTGACTGCGGCCAATTCACCCTGTTCCACAAGAGCAGATGAACTGATAGATGCACATGGAGGCGGTCAGATGGTGGAGCCTATCTTTTACAGAGATGGGGAACAACTTGAGCCTGGTGAACGTCATCTGTAATATTGCTGCAAATAATGTCTCACTGATTGATTTATGGAGATGGTTTTTAAGCATATTTGAGGCTTAATCATCTTTGAATTTCAAATTGATGAATAAGGTTTTCTTTGGAACTGAGTTGGTGACCATTTTGGAATGTTTATCTTTCATGTTACTGTCAATAAATCGGTTCGTGTAACCGTTTTCTGCGAGCGTGGCCTTTAAGAGGTCAAGTTCTGAGTCAACGCAATCAGAACCACAAATGTTTCTTATCCTAAAGCAGCGAATGAAAAACAATTTCTTAAGTTATATATGTCCAAACCAAGTTCACTTTTAACATTTAATTGGTGGATGGTGACTAGCAGTGGAATCCAGAATGCGCATTTCGCCCTATTTTGGACTCATCATCTAGATTTATCTGCATTTCCCAGTGAGTGATGATGTTCCCACCGAGACTGGAACCCAGTGTCCATAGTTTCAAACTCCAAAGCGTTATCCACTAAACCACTTGGGCCACGAGAGCCACCTCTTGTGCAATGGGTCATGTTAATGTAATTGCAGGTACATCCAGATGATGAGTCCCAAATAGAACGAAATGCGCATCCTTGATTCCACTGCTAGTCACCATCCACCAGTTAAATTCTACTTAAATGCCCATACATCGTCGAAGCATCTGCACAAGAAGCGGACATGTCAACCTGAGACTGAGCACTTCGGCCCAATCCATCGACGAGAAAATCTTAAATCCAATTAAATTCACTTTTGACAGTTTGAAAAAAAATTGGGCATTGTGTATATGATATTCATTATAATAAAGGGTTTTGTATTTCCCTTTTTAATGGAAAACAAAACGATATTGGTTTTTAAAACTATTGGTTCCGTTTTAGATACAGCAATAAGAAGACGAATCGTGTAATGTATTTGTGTGAAACACATTTTGAACAATCTTACCACACACAGACTTGTCATAGGAATAAATATGAAATTAAGAAAGAGTTAAGAGGTGAGAAAATAGACAGTAGGTCAAGTTAAAACGACATATTGAAGGTCAATATAACAACGAAGACCACTAAACCAAATAACAGAGGTAATAGTACATCTGCTATGGTATCAAAACAAAGTTTACTAACTTGATCATCGTTCGTTAGTATGGGGTCATTTATCGTTGTCAAATTGGCCAATTGGTAAAGATAACAAAACCAGGTGTAGATTGTTGGACTTGATAAGTGTGTAAAATTATAAAGGCAGTGTGTGTTTACATAGTGAACTTGCTTATCACATTCGTGTTGATTTTGTCACTTCATGGGGTAGGGAAGTGTTGTAACCAGGTCAGATTCTATTTTTAGTCCATCATTCCTATTCAGACAATTTGGATTCCACTTGATATGAAGTGCTTTTGATATTAGATGTTCTTTATGATATCTGAAATTTTTCTGGATGACGATTTCAATATTGTCAAAATCAATTTTGTGACCTGATTCTATAGCGTGTAGGGCTACGGCTGGTTGATGATTTTTCAAGCTTTTCTAGTTTAACTGAATTTCTCAGTGGTTGGGCAGAGGCGACTCTTCGGCGTTCATTCCTGCTGATTTTGATTTCTCCCTGGCTATGTTTGTCCGATGTATATTGCATCACATTCCAAGCATTTCACTTTACAGACACAATTAGATAGAGAATCTTTAGGGATTTGGTCGTTTATATAGACAAGGTTGCTTTGTAGTGCGTGTGTCTGATGTCGTGCTCATTTAGTACTCTTCTGATATCGTCTGACGTCTCTGCTCTATATGGAATGACAACTGTTGAGGTCCATGTTTTCGACCATACTTAATGTCAGTGTGTAGACCACCTATGGCTGATGATTTTTTAAGCTTTTCTGCTCTGCGGTGTTTATTTCTTCTGATTTTGATTTCTCGAGATGTTTTCCGATGTATATCGTATCATCTTAGCAGATGTACTATTACCTTTGTTATTTGGTTTAGTGATCTTCATTGTTATTTTGACTTTCGATATGTCCTTTTAACTTGACCTAGGTCTATTTTCTCACCTCTTTAACTCTTTGTTATATATATGCTGAGATTTTGTAAATTCTGGTTTAATAATACTGTGATAAAGCTATTAGCATTAAATAGCGAAACGCCAGTAAAAACAATATCGTTTTGTTTTTCATTCATTGGGAAAAACAAGTGTACAATTTCTTAAAACCACATATGTATATGCGATTGTACAGCTTGATGATAAATTCGTTGAAAAGAGTGTCTTCGCTGAATATTGTGTTCTTAACTTAATCAAATCTCTAATTTACGCATAGTCAGTCACTCTGAGTCACTGAATCCGAAAAGATTCTGTGAACTTACACGATGAAAACAACAGGCATCTATACACCGATATGCAGGTTTGAGGAAGTTTACAACTTCTTAATTGACAGGTTTGGATAAATAGGTGAACAATTAAAACTTAGTTCATTCAATGAAATACACTGAACTGAAATGTTGTTTCACACTCTTCATGCATGCCTTCAAAGTTTTGTTGTTATCTTTTGACGTAATTGCATTTATGTATTTCTTTGATAGGTACAGAATATTCTTCCATATTAGTTTGTTTATTAGGTATATCACACAGTGAAACAGTATTATTTACTGGATGACGTTTCGAACAAAACAATCATAATCATATCAATTGTTTCAACTGTTTCACTGTGTGATATACCTAATAAACAAACTAATATGGAATCACTTACTACCACAGTGCCCAAGTTTGACACATATATTAACATAATATTCTTGTTTAATATCATACTGATAAAGTGTCCGTTTTGCATTACTGCATTACGAAAGCTGTTACAAATACCCTCTGATCTGATCTTTTTTTTCTTTCTAGATAAACGGAAGGAAAGATGTAGTCGACTATCGATTCTTTGTTCGATGTATTATTCGACATGCTGATTTAGTTTCACGTGAAGCTTCATTCGAATACTTACAATCAGAAGCTGAACACATTCTCTTAGAAGCAATGGATGCTTTAGAGTTGGCTTCTGCACATCCTGATGCATGTCGTACAATGGGAAATCATATCTTTTTAAATTTTGTCCCAGTTTTACTCCTTGAAGATATTAATAGATTGAAGTCAACAATTCGAAGAACTGTAATGCGGTATGCCCGACGCTTCTTGCGCTTACGTGTGTCTCAAGTAAGTCCGTTTAAGATGATCGTATTATATATATATATATATATATATATATATATATATATATACTCCCATTGAACCATATAAAAGAAAAGACGTTCAGCGAAGAGTTACTCTTTTCGGCGATATCATTCTCAAGCTGTACAATCGCATGTTTACAGTTAATTGTCTGTCTTGGCCACAAGATGAATATTTCAAAGATTTGTCATTAGAATTGTAAATTTTACATTACAAGTTTCGTTAATGGATTAGAAACTAAAGGTTAAATAAGCGAGTTGAGTGACTGACGTAATCTAATTGATGGGGTTGAGTAGAGCTCAGCTAACATTAAAATTGAACAAAAGTCAAGTTAAGAACAGTGGTAATAAGGGGTGGGGGAAGAAAATATTAGACAAGTAAGAAAAAAACAAGCAAGAAAAAGACGAAACAAAATTACGTATTTGGTGTTAAGATAGACCAGGTTCACTGTCGATTTAATGACACTGAACACACTTCTTTTGTATGCAGATTTCAGGATTTAACAAGTGACTTGCCATTGCTTCTGCAGTTTGGAGAAGTTCGATTCATACTCTTATAGTGAGATTCCCACGTATTCTGTAGATGACTTTGAAGTTCATTTGTGGATTTGCTTGGTGGTCCGATTCGATCAGATGTTCCAGGATAGAGCTGTGGTGTGGAGCTATCTTTTTTCTCCTTTATAAAACCATGACTGTGAGTGGGTGAGTGTTCGATGATATGTTTAGGTACGGCAGACATACCTAGCTCCACACGAACAGGTAAATTGGTAGATACACATTGGTGAGGCCAACAATTGTAGCTTATCCCTAACGTTTATGTGAATCATAGAGAAAGTTATTCGAAGTTCAGGTGCGAAGAAGGTTTTCTTCAGTGAGTAACTGGATTAGCGGTTTCTCAATATTTCTGCTGATGCTTCTACATTGAATTGTATGTTCAGGTACGGAAGTTTTTTGGGAGCAGAAAGTGAGAACGGTTTCAGTCGTAGAATGTTCTGGGTAGCCGTTTTCTAGGTAGATTCTCTTCAGAGTGCTTTTCCACCCGATTAACACTTTCCACATTACTTAATTTGCTAACTAAAACTTACAGTTCTAATGACAAATCTTAGAAATATTCATTTTGTTGCTAAGAAAATTCACTATAATGCCCTTTTATTGGCAACAAAACTAATACTTCCAAAGGTGTGTCATTCAAATTGTAGATTTTAGGTATTAGTTAGTAACATAAATCAGGAAGTATTAATTGCGGGTAGAAGCTAAAATGAAATTAAATAGGTAAGTTGATTGACTTGGATAATTGACACAAGTGAGTGGAACTCAATTAAAATTGAAAGACAGCCAGCTTAACATCACCGTCATACCGAGTAGAAATGTAATAGTGCGAAAGGAGAAAAAACAACAACTGTGGAACAGAAGTAGGACTGACAAAGATTAGCTATCTCATGTTGAGACAATTGTGGCATATATTGTAGGTTCATTGATTGTGTATAGACTTTTTCTATATGCAGAGTTCGAGACTTAGAATTCTGATTGCCTGTAGCTTATGCTGTTCGAAGAAGTTTGATGCGTGCTCTATTGACAAGATTCACAATTAACCTCAGTGTGGACAAACCTCTATAGTGTGCATCTGTTGATTGAGTTTTGACATCGCTTTACTTACTCCAGGAATTAATTTGTGGGATTTACAAGTAAATAGAAACAAAATTTTTTCTTTTTTTGGCTAGTGGCATCTAGCAGTGGAACCCAAGATGCTCATCAACCGGATGAACCTTTCCCCTCATCGGGTGATAGAGTGCTCGTTAGGACTTGAATCTAGCATCCATCGTTTCTAATGCCATAGCGTTATCTACTCTACGCATCATGCGAGCCACTCAGTGTATAAGAGGTATTAGTTCTTGTTTATCTAAGTTAATTTTGTACTTCCCGGTGGCTGGTCTCTACTAGACTGGGATGATCGACCTATGTTGTATCTCCTGTATCCTAATGAATTGTATATTCACTAGACCATGTCAGAGTAAACACTTTGCAAGTGTGTTAGGCAAAGATTTTTTTTATTGATTCTTCTATCGAGAGAAATTCATTCTTTAAAGGTTAGCTCTGAATAGACCTGTACCTGCGATTTTTGATCACCGAAATAGGGGAAATTTACCTTTGTGTAATAGTCGTGGTACTTCTCCACTGCATATCAACACTAATTTTCTTTTCATGAAGGCATCCAGAGCATCATGGAACTAGATTGTTTGTGAAGAACATTTATACCGAATGCATATTATTCACTGTTCTTGGTGGCGTTTTACATTTCGGCACAGAAGTTGTTGAATATTTCGCTTTTTCTCTCTGATATACACTGTCGGGAGGGCACGAATCAAAAGTCGCCTTATGTAATGAATTCCCCGCATAGCTCCATCTTCACAGGTCGAATGAATTTTAACTGGTACACATTTTATGCAAAAGCTCGTATTGTTTCATACTATTGTAATAATCTTTCTCTCAGTTGACTAATTTGAGCTTTTTTCTTATCTCTTTGGCTTGAATTCCAACTGACAGGCAGAGTTAAAGCTTCACATCCGATTCCATGCTTCTGATCCAGTTGTTCCGATTCGTGTTATGCTCAGAGATGAGCATGGTTATGATTTAGGCCTGGAGGTGTACCGGGAAGCATTGGATCCGGTAACTGGTATTTGTATTCTCCAGTCATTGAGCCCTCAGAATGGTCGATTACACGGACATCCAGCTGTTACAGCTCATGAAAATAAAGACTTCTTTGAAGTGAAGCGTTTTCAGGTAAGAACGGTCATCTCCGTTTATTTCTGCTCACTGTATTTTTTTCACTCTCCTATGCTGTATAGTATTGGATTCGTCCAGTTTTATGATAATGTCGAACTGTTGGCCTCTTAGACTGTTTTTTCCATCCCTTATGAAATAGAAATGGTGAGGCGACACTACAATCTTCTGAAGAGTTCAAGCAGTCGCAGTGTTATCTCGATTCAGTTAATGTTACGTGGTCGATGTCTGAGTAGTAATCTGACAATTTAAAATGTTTCCACCTGTATTACAGTTCGAAATTGTGAGGTCAGTGTCCTTATACCTCTTATGAATTGGGAGTACTTTGGCCTCAATGTAACAATCGCTGATTGACCCTTGCTGTGTTAATTCACTTTGGTTTACAACTCACTCCGAACATATTTCTCATATACTATGTTGTGGTCAACACTTGTTTCGTAGAGTCTGATGGTATTGCCTAGTTACTTAGACTGAATTAGATTGAGGAGGATTCCAAAGCCTGGGGACCCATTGAGCTCGAGCCACTATTCATAAATATATCTAAATCACATATTGTCTAGATAGAAATAACCTATGGCATGTTATTTTTGAGTTTTGATTATACTACTTTTAAAATTTTAAGTAGTAATATTCTCAGTTATACATTTGTATTTATTTTTATTTTTAGGCTAGGAAATATAATACCACTTACGTTTACGACTATCCAGCTTTATTCGCACAAGCACTAACCGGTGTATGGCAAAGTTATAGCCCTTATGTAGTAGGCGGTGGAAATCATGAGTTAATGTCAATGGGAGAAAATACTACAAGTGAATCGATGAAGCGGCAGACATCACAGTGTAACAATACTCTATCCAAATTCCATGGTTTAATCCCTTTGAATATTCCAGACAATTTAGTCATATCGTGTACAGAATTATCATTAGATAAGAATGGAAATTTACGACCAAATACAAACACTCTGGGTACTAATGAAGTAAGCGTTGGATTGTGTAACTGTTTTGTTTTTCTTCTTCTTCTAACTAAATAAAATCAATGAAAGGCGGTAAAACTATTTGGTACTTGTTTGCAAATCTCTTATGTTATGTTTCCCCCCCCCCTTATTTCTTCTGGGTCTAAATTTAATATCTCCAGTTCCTTGGCAAGAGGATTTGATATACAGTAAGCAGATATGATTTCAAAGGATATTGACTATATCAATCCCTGTTAGACTATGGAAGCCCTAAAAGTTTCGTGAATTCGATTTCTAGAAAATCAAAACAAATGATTCAGCGAAGAGACTTTTCAACGAATTTATCATCAAGCTGTACAATTGTACATATATGGTTTTTAAGAAGTTATATCCGGTGAGGGAATTGAATCATTGGTGTGAATGCATAAAATAATAATAATATGAAATGCAATTAAAACTAAAATGTTTGTGATTATAATCGTAGTTAAATGTCAAGTGGCAAAGCAAATTAATGTCATATATAGAATAATTCATAGGATGGATAGAACTTGAAAAAGGTTGTGCAATTATAAGATTAGTAGACAGATCGAATAAAATAAAAACGTTACGTAATATTGTGTGAAATTTAATAGCATAGAATTTAATGTTGCATAAAGGAATTGATTTAGAATGACAAGTGGAACAAGTGAAATAATACCGGGGACAATTAAAAGTGAGAGTAGTAATAGTAACAATTGACGTAATAAGGAAGAGTATACAAATTGAATAGACAAAAATGAAAAAATGAAAAATTGGTAGAGCTAAAATATGATTGGGGATTACCATACTTTAGCACAGAGGGATTAAGACCATGAAAGTTGGAGGGGTTGAATGAACTTTTTCTGTACACAGAGATCTGGCTTTTCTGTTTCAATAGCCAAAGTTTCAGCAATACAGATGAGTCGGGTACGTAGGGATTTGGGTAAATTACTCTTTGCCTTGTAGATGACTTTGAAGGCGGAGGCTATAGAGATAGGGTGATCATTATCGACCAGATGTTCAATGATCGCGCTTCTTATTGCTCCACTACCACCTTTTCGTAACCATGCAGGATAGTGTTCTTGCATCCTCTTGGACAAAACTCGAGTCGAACGACCGATATACCTAGCTCCACACGAGCAGGTGAATTGATAAACACACATAGAGTTGGTCAACAGCGGGATCTTGTCCTTCAGGTTATTGAACAATAATGGTCGACTAGTAAAGGCTATTCTCAGAGATGCAGCAGGGAATGTTCTTTTCAGGGACTGTGATATCCTTCGTTTTATGATATCGGAAGCTAAGTCCCCTTTGAATTCCAAGCTCATGTAAAGTATCTTCTTGGGTACAGTTGATAAGTCACGTTTTTTAGGAATTGAATGTATATTCTTATCTATAAAACGTGGTGGAAATCCATTTTCTATTAGGATTTTCCTCAAGATGTATAACTCATCTTCCACAGTATCAGGGCTACATACGAGTGGCAAGCGACCGGATCAGGTTTCGTTTTCGACCAATGGGTACCCAGCTGTAGAAATTTATCAGTTGACCATTCCATGATGGCTTACGATAAATCGATCTCTTCTCACACCTCAATCAGAGGATTATGAATCTTCATGTTATTGATTAACAACTTTTAAAAATTGAGTTACTTGGAATATACATTTCATGTGCACACTATTTCAGGAGCCACACATATTGTGTGAACACGGACGATATTATCCATTTTGTTCAGACTGAAGTGTTTGTGTGGGATAATGAGATTTGGAATCTCATTATCACACGTAACACTTACTCTTAGATATGCTTCGTTCAACGTGTTTGAGACTCAATAATTTGTGGACTGTGTGAATACTGTGTTAACTCTAAGGTAGTTGTCAGTCATGTTAACGTGTAGAGATTTCTGATAACTATTAGTCTGTATATGAATCACAGTGTTAGCGTTACAGCTCTTCGGCTTCTGTAAAAGGAGGTTGATAGAATGAATGATTTCCAGGTGGTACTCCAGCTTTTAGTTACACTTGGAAGTATTCACCATAGGGGGGGGGGTTCACATTATAACCGTTTTCGCCTCAATTAACTATTTCATTTTTCAACTCCAGGTTTTAAAGTATGTGATCTCATTGAGATTTTCTATATCTGGTTGAAGGGTGATCGTAGAATATTGTAGTTAAAGGTTTTTCATGTTTATGCATGCTGGCCTCATTGCTAGTTTTGCTGTGTGCGTGTGTGTCTTCTAACTGCGCTCACTGTCCTGCTACTGGAGAAAAATGTAGATACGGCACGAAATTTTCATAACGCCTAACTAATAGATAGATGGAATAATCTCGTTGACTTAGAATATGCAGATAATATAGTCCTTCTAGGTGAAAACGCTGACAAAATGCAGAGTCTTCGGAACACCTTGAGAAGCAGCAATCTTCGAATGTTAGGCATGGGGTTCGCTCCTGTCAAATGTAAGATGGTGCTACAGCACTGGACTTGTGGTTGACCTTCTTTGTATGATTATTTTACTTTTTTCTTGCCTTCTGAGTGGAACATAGGAATATAGCCACGCACATCTTTAGTGCACGCGATTATCTGCCAAAATGTTCAGCAGGTTCCACCACAGCCCGCAAAATTTCATTCCCTCTTTGCACGACCTGTCAGTTACCCTCCACATTGATTTCAGAGGTTTTAACTCCTGTCTTGCTTTACCAATTTTCTCTGTATTATGAGTTTTTTTCCTTTTTTCTTAAATATATAAATTTTTTAAAATTGCAGATTGGAATGGTTGTGTGGTATATGGTGTTACGCACACCAGAAACTCCGTCTGGTCGTCCACTGATAGTGATTGCAAACGATGCCACTTTTAAAGCTGGATCATTTGGCCCAGCTGAAGACTTGACTTTTCATCGTGCTAGTCAATTGGCGCGGCACTTTGGCATACCTCGATTTTATCTGGCCTCGAATACTGGAGCGCGAATAAAAATTGCCGAGGATCTTAAGGTTGTTTTCAATATTGCTTGGATTGACCCTGAACATCCTGAGAAGGTATGTTTATCTTTTGCTGTGACATTTTAGTTTGAATGCTGAATCCTTCTTGTCATATTGAATTTTCTGCAAGATACTTCAGTTGTTGTTAATCCAACTGTTGAGCAGTCGCAGTGATGTCGAAAGAGTAGCTTGCCGATAACCAGCCAGTCTGCTTTCTTATTCGACCGACTCAAATCAGCGTTTATAAATCAAACTTCACTACGAAGTAAGCTTTGATGCTGACTAAAACACTAATGAAAGCCCCACAATTAAATCATCGAGTGTACACATCCCACATATTATAGCCTGTGGGCTGTTATAGTGGCACTTTATATTTATTATGACCTGTGGCTTGCTAGCACAGGTGTATTCACAGTATTCAGACTAATCCAGCTATACCAATACCTATGTCGCAAATTATTCATTGAAGACTTGAATCGTGTGCGTAAATTGATCAATACTAAGACCCTATTAGACACTAGGTTGGAATACATCGACTCGTGATTTTTAACTCCTGTCAGTTGAGGATATAGCACCGTCCTCTACAGAATCTCCACTGGAATTATCAATGTCCCTGCAAAACCTACAATCTGAGTTCATCAATATTTGGCCGGCAATATGCTAAGAAGACGTAGTTTATCTGAAACGTGTATTGTATCTGTTCAACACATTTCGGACATTCCGATAACACACACGTACTTGTCATACACATTTATGTAGAAGGCAAGAGAGCAATAAGTAAATCAATACACTTGTCTTGTAGCAGAAAGGTGGTGGGTCCATTGATTCTCATTGCTGATAAGTGTCAAACTCGGTCGAAACAGGTGTCCACCACTCTTTTGTATTCAGTGGTTTCCTAAACGATATCGTGTTCGTATCCAGCCTATAGTACTATATGATTTTCGAATTAAATTAAAAGACCTAAAGGACAGTGCGCCAGCCATGGTTAGATAGTCTATAACTCTTTCTACTTTAGCTGTAGTATGAAGTTTGTGAATCGATTTATTGCATATCTTGGTCATCACCGTCCATTTTCAGGCCATACAGATGTTTTCAACAATACAGTCGAAGTTACCACATATACATAAGACAGTCGTTCAGTCGCCTTAGTGTGTGTCTGTTTTCATAATTGCGTCAGTTAGTTAGCTGCACAGCTGACGTGTTAACAACTCTGTAAAAATACTTTCTTCACCTATCTATATTCATTTATGATGTTTATTTCCTATAATTGTATTCCGAAATCTGTAGGGGAAGCTTGTTTTTACGGTATTACCGCTATCCGCTTCTTTCAGCATAACTCCTCGAATTCTGTCTTCCTAATTCGTTCCTCCTGAGACTGTCTGAAAGCATGTCTACCTTTTGGTGGCTTAAACATGTAGTACCGATGAAATCCTGGCGGCTGCCATATTGTTCCCTGTTTGCTAGCCCTCAGTGGGAGGAAATAGCGGATGTGTGGTTATTTGACGATATGGTGCCTCAGGGTGAAAGATAATTGTCTTAGGTTGGTATCTGTTGATGCGTCGCGACTCCCCGGGTGTGATGCGGGAGGCTAGTCTCACCTTGTGCCTTGGGACGTTATCAGTTATGGCGAAGGACTGTTATTATTAAACGGAAAAAAGACTGCGATTTTCTCCCTTTCTGAAAGTAAACTGAAGTGATGAACAGTCGCTTGAATGCTCCCAGTTAGTATGCTTACCCGTCTTTACGATCATCTCCGTCAATGGTTTTGCTTCTACCCGTTATACTTTGTTTCACTGCTTTTTGTGTGATGCATCCCTTGTTGCCTATAGTGTACTATATATATAATCATCCATGGCCTTATTTGTTCTTATTTCTTCTCAGGGTTACAAGTACTTGTATCTAACACCGGATGATTATTATCGTTTTAAATCTGAGGAAGCTGTGAATTGTGAACGAGTTGAAGAAAACGGAGAGATTCGTTTCAAAATTGTTGATATTATTGGTGAGATCTATTGAGGTTTTTTTGATTATATGAGCCTTTAATTTGACCGCTTTCATTGTGACTTCTTTGACATTATTTTCCCTATTATTTCCTTTTGTATTTGTGTGCTTTACTCTTTGAGTTGTTCATAAAACAACTTCTGCTGGTAATTTAATTTTTTTTTTCGTTCCGAGTGGAATATAGGGCTTCAGACTAGAGCTGTGAAGTTTCGGTGGCAGTGGTTTTATTTTTACGGGGTGAAGTTGCTAGCCTCACGCCCCCCTTTCCTTCTTTACGGGCCTTAGTATCGGCTTAATGAGGTCTAGGAGAGCGTTGGCTGAAGATCGAAACCCGGACCACATGCGTGGTTGGCGAGCGTTTCACCACTGAACAATCGACATCGTTAATCGATAAACACTACTGCCTAATTTGACATGGATTTGGTTGATCGAAAAATTTGATCAGCAGTCTCACTAATTTGGTGTTCCAGTGGTGGTCACTCAGACTAGCTTAAGGAATATTTAATGGAATTCGAAGAGAAAGTCTGCTAAGTTGATAATTCTCAATCCTGTTGACAGATTAATGTGACGCGTCTGACTAGGAAATCCGTCGATAAATAGCAATAAAACATATTTAAATATGATAACTGAGGAAATAAAACACTTTATATTACGTGCTATGGACTATTTACTCTGTGTAGATTACAGGTTTTAGATCGAATGATCTTGACTCTTGTATCCGATCGCTAACTCATCATCAGCCATGTGGAATCGACACTGAAATTTTAACAATATTTACGTCGGTGTAGTAGCATACCTCTATGACAGTTAAATCCAGTCCACTCGAATTTAGCTTAACCGACTATGTTTATAAACGATACCTAGTTATGCCCATTAAGTAATCTCCAAATATGTTACAATATGTCCTCTGGATGCTGCTAGACACCATCCTTGAATACATATATCGAGCATGGCAGTGAGTTATTGAAATAAATGAAGAACAGCTCTACCTCTGGTTTGTTTTCATTATAATTAGAAGGTTAATAGTGTCTGTTGACAAACTAGTTCGTTTTATTTATTTATTTATTGTTTCATGGAAAATTCACTATCTTTTTGATATTTTTTTGTTCACTTGGCTGGATGATTGTTTAATTACTTCATAGTAGGGATTCTAGTCCTTGAAATATTGCCCAATGTTCGATTTCTAATGTGATTGTAATGATGTATTAAATTAACCTTTGGCAATTTCATTTCTTTTCATACAGGTAAAGAGCATGATATGTCTGTAGAGAATCTTCGTGGTTCAGCTATGATAGCCGGAGAGACATCTGCAGCTTATGATGATATATTCACTATTACAGTAGTCACCAATCGTGCAATAGGCATTGGAGCTTATCTAGCTCGTCTTGGTCAACGTGTCATTCAGGTATGCTGCTAAAGTGTATTTGTTCACCAGATATAGAATAACGTTTTTGAAATATATATATATATATATATATATCTTTACTACTGTTTACTCAGTTAACCTGTGTAAAAACGATTTAAAAGCCTCACATTTCATTTTATTTGCCAATATTACTATTACTATTACTACTGCGGTAACAATCAAAACCCAATTATGGATAAGATTTTATTTTAATAAATCACACAGTGTTACACAGTAATATTAACTGATGACGTTTCGAGCACAAATTATTGCTCATAATCATATCAAGTTGAAAATAAAATCTTATCCATAATGGAGTTACACTCTACCACAGTGCCCAATTTTTGTACTTATATCAATCAATACCCAAGTATTTCGATCTGAACGCAAGAATCAATCTATGTGTTCTTCTATATATCTCACTGAAGCTTTAGGATTCATTCACAACTCCAATATTATAAGAAAGTCCTTTTCAGTAAAACAATCTCCATTAGTATTCAAAAACAATAACATCAAAAATACAATATTACCTCAACAATGTCATTCGACAAATATACACTCCGAAAGTTTCTGAGGCATTAAATGTTTTCCGTGAAACAAAACTAATTGAAAAGTCGCAATTATAAATTACCTGGGAGTGAAAAAGAATATTCCCTACATTAACGAATCCAAACTTTGTGTGCAAGAATAAAATAGGACATGACACTTTTCTTGCATACAACCATTCTGTGAAATAGTTTTGACTATACTCAACTGACTGACTAACTGGTTTCAAAGTAGAACTTTGCACAGATATACAACATTTCGAGGTGCCACTCTCCACGTATCACACAAAGCAAGAGAAGAGAGTAAAGGGAGGTTCAAAAGATAGAGATGATAAACAGAAGTGTGGGGTGAAAAGAATAGTAATATGGAAGAGCGATATAGTTTTATTGGATACGACAAATCACAAAGAGTGGATGCATCTGCGCCATTCACTGAGAACGATTTTCAGCCATATCACCAATCGTCTCCAGACACTAGTGTTTACCGTCCTGAGGACCGCAAACACGAAGTCTACACTTTCCTACGTGGTTTAAACTAATTGTTGTGGATTTCATTGATTGATAACATGTTTTGGTTTAACCACCACTAGCTCTTTTTCAACCTGATCCATCCTATGTCAGCTAACATTGCCCGTTGAGGAAGGCGATGTCTAGGTATACGTTCCACATTTCCTAATCATTTCTTAATCGACGTAACGGAGTTGCCTGTCGATGTATTTTCATAGTCTCGGCTCACGCCCCAACCGGCTGCAGTTTGAACTTCACTTGAACAAAATCTTAGTTGTAAAACAACACACTAATAGCGAAGAAAAGCTTTATTATTAGGAATCAAACAAAAATTAAGACAAATGATACTAAGTCAAAAAGGTATGTGCAAATATTAGAGTAATGACATATACTGCTTAAGGGAAAATGAGGTAGTAATCGACTAATTTAGTCGTAATATCCAAATAAGTATCAATATTGGAAATATGTTGTTCATGAAAGGAATTCCAGATTGATAATTCTCCCACAAAACTACTTCACAGTACTTAAGCTGTTCTAATCGCTTTTCCTCCATTCAACAATCTACTTCAGTTTGTCAGTGGAACACAGACTGGCATCATAGCGTAAACGTTTCATGCCTGCATTTCAGCTATTCTGTATACCGATTAGCTTACCATTGAAAACCGAAATACAAACTAACACTGAATCGGTGCAGTCATAGTCAAATTAATAATATTGCGTAAAAATGCACCTATGAACACCACCACTGACTCATACTGACTGACTGACTGACTGAGTTCCAACACAGAAATTTGTACAGAAGTGCTGTTGCCGCAATTCATTTATCATACAAAAGTAGAGGAGACAGAGGAAAAACGATTCGGAGGAACTCTGATGGAAAGAAATCTATAGGAAAAAGCAGAGTAACGTGGGAAAACATCAGGGTTTAATGGATCTAGGAGATTACAAAGAATGAATACATCTGTGTGCCATCGTGCCATATCACCGATTGTCCCCAGCCATTGGTTCTTAGAATCCCGAGGACGCCAACCACTCAGTCTACATCTCCTCATATGGCTCAAACCAGCTGTCAGTGACTTCATGGATTGATACTAGGTTTCGATTTCATCATTTCTAACCGAATCCTATATCAGCTAATATTGTTCGTCGGTTTGGAATGCGCAACACGTCTCTTAGCTATCTCAGTCGATGCGGCTTGACTAATTATAATAAAATGTATTTAACAACAGATCTTCACTTTCTACTGTTTTATGCTGTCCTCTTCAGCTGTGTTCACGATTGTCCATAATCTCTCATGTCCCCTTCATACTATCTCGTCCATATCACCCTCGCATTGACGACCCACTCGTCACTTCCTATTGGGATTCAACTCAACCTATGGCCTGTACTGCTCGCGATGTCATTCGACGGCCTTCTCAACGTATGCTCAATCTATCTGCATTTTCTCGTACATGTTTGTTGAGCGACCGGCTCTTGCATGGTTTGTTGCCAGCCAGAGTTTCTTGTTGTTAATTCTTTCTGACCTGCCGGCCATTTGATCGTCCGTACGGAGCCAGCTAGCAAAGTGGGCAGCTGTTGATAAAAGTCTGCAGTGGCCTGTTGGAAATTCTTTTCGTGACACACAGTACAAGTTTCTGGCCCATATAGAAGAACTGACTGACTGACTTCACATTTGTGTTGAAAATCCGAATCTTGTTGTTCATGCTGAGTCAGTGTAGGAGATTTCCAAACTAGTTCCCGGTTGATGAAGACGTATCTTACCTTTCTGATCCTGGCTGACTGGTTTTGACATCTTCATTCGTCCCGACTGCCTGTAGTTGAAACAATGCTTCCTGGTCAGATAAGTGAAGGAGGTAACCTCTGTTAAATTTCACCCGTTGATGGTGATTGGTGCTGGTTGTTGTTTCTGTCGGTTGGTTGGTTATCTTCATCACCTCCGTCTTCTCCACATCTTCTTGGAGTCTTCTCTTCACTGCTTCTTCAGCCATTTTGTTAGTTTTCGCGTGCCTCTAAGTCTTCGAGTTTTTGTGACATTAGACATAAATCATCTGCGAAATCCAGATTTTCTAGAGTCTTCTTACTCTCTGTGCTGAGTCTGACACATAATCCAATCTACACAGTTAAGAATACCATCGTAATAGTACACAACCCTGTCCTACTCCTGAATACAGTAATTTGAAATGAAATGTAATTGAATCAAATTCAGCAAGATAAGATTGTTACAAGCCAGGATAAGTGGATGACAAAGGTTCGACAATCTACACAGTTCTTTCGTATGTATAATTGTGGTTCCCACCTATTTTTTCTTTACTATGACAACTTTCTCTATGCAAATATATTTAAAAAGTTTTGATGACTAATCAGTCGAATTTTTACACTAGATCCCTTCTCTTCTTTTCTTTTTCAAATCACTGAGTATACACACCTTTTTCTAAAATTAAAAATCGTTTTCCCCTTTCCCTCTCCCCCTGCCAAAAAAATAAACAGGTTAACAATTCGCACATTATTCTAACCGGTGCAATGGCTTTGAATAAACTACTCGGACGAGAGGTATACTCCAGCAACAGTCAATTAGGCGGTGTTCAGGTTAGTGAGTAGAAAATTTCTGGTCTTCATGATTTTTGATTGCGTTGTTGTTTTTGTTTGTTTTCGACATAGAACTTTGCACATATGTGCGGCAGTTCAACTCGACACACTCCATGTAGCACACAAAGCAGAAGTAGAAAGTAGGAGAAATGCATATTAGAGACAGTAAACAGAGGTGTGAGGCAAAGGTATAGTAATAACGAAGAACAAAACAGTTTAATTGGAAATCATAAGTCACAAGGAGTGGATGCATCTGCTCTAGGCATTGAGAACGATTTTTAACCATATCACCAATTGTTTCCAACCATTGGTTTTTGCCGTCCCGAGGACCCCAACCAGTCAGTCAAGAACTCTACACCTTCCTACGTGACTTAGACTAACTGTTGTAGATTTAATTGATTGGTGCCATGTTTTGGTTTGACCGCCGTTAGCTCTTTTCCAGCCTGACCCTATATCAGCTAACATTGCCCGTCGAGGAAGGCGATGATTACGTAAAGCAGACAAGTCGATCTGGCGTTTTTCATCTTGACTGAATAATTAAATTGTTTATTACCCTAATGGGTTGTTTTGCAAGCAATAATTTTTTTATGCAGAATAGAATTTTTAATGTTTAGGATATATTGCAACCATTTATCTATTAATATATATATATATATATATATATATATATATATATATAATATTTAAAATAATAAAACCTCAAAGACTGAAGGCTAGTTATAACAATTCTAGTTGTAATTTCCTGTTCATTTAATGATTAAAAGGTTTATAGGCCTTTTCCTTCACACAACAATCATGCTAAACATGGTCAGACTCGAAAAATAATAAATCTAATCCTTACAAACCATCTCTTGAAAATGAATCTGATGCTTGCTAGTAACTTGCAATGGGACGGAGTTTCCTAGAGGTCTTATGAGAAGTCGTGACCAGTGAGGTTCATCCAAATGTCAAGTGTGAGGATGGAGTTCCCAGCGACGACGTTGGTTGGTCGTCGCGCTAAATTACGAATTAGTAGAAGTTAGAATTCATGCACTGGTCGTTGAATAGGGCGGGTCCCTGTGGATGGATGGTACACAAGCCTTGTAACCGGAAGGTCATTGGTTTTAACTCTGGCAGTAAGTGTGTACTGCCGATGATTCCCAAACTAGGATGAAACAGCAGCTGTCCAGTACTCCCTGGTTTTCAGTGGTTCTCTAACTGATAACTGTCCGTGGTCAGACACGAAGAAAATGGTATGGGTGAATATTTATAATTCTGCTGTACGCAAGCATAAATATTTTTGAAATATCTTCTGGTTTTACCGTCGAAGAGATACAAGGAGAAAGTTGGGGAATAAGGAGGGTGCTTAGTATATCAGACAGCATGACTTTAACCAATTACTTGGATAAATTAAAATACCCATCAACAGCAGTGTCGGTTAGTTGAGTCAAAGGCACTCCAGTAATCCTGCTTACCACCCTTACTGTTCTTCATAATATGATGTAATCTGTTTTGAGAAGCCCAAGGGGAACAGTGAATACAGTCAATGGGCGGAAAACGTGAATTATACCAGAAAGTCTCAACTTCTTTATGTCATCAGTAAAACAATGTATTTTATTAAAAATCAACTAGATATTAGACAACCATCAAAGGTTTGAAGAGAAATTGGTGCGTAGATAGGTATTATTCGATTTTTTATTTGGCACCATGGGACTGAATCAGTTCACACAAGTACTGTTCACGTCTGAAATTAAAAGTAAACAGTCTAACATTTGGAGGGATTTAGTTTAGGGGCATTTGACTGATACTATCTAGTTAACCCAATATAAGAAACTATTCATATATATCAGAACAAACCAACGCAGAAATGAATGGGACAGAAATTGTGAGATCATCAGGATATTTAATGAAATTAGCTGTAGGAGAATATGGTTGGTCATGCAGAAACAACGAGGGAAGAAATGCGGAAAGCACAGCACACTAAGCTGCACCAGTTTCCGAAAGCAAAGAACTGGCGTGCCTCTCATTTAAAACGGGATGTTGTTTCTTACATGAGAAATAAGAAGACAACCACCACCTTATGATCTAGGGCTCAGTGTGTACTGAACTAGTGTTTGGCGTTTTATGCAACTTGTAAGGAAAATCTGTAAGGTCAATAGAGCACAGACTGACCTGGTCAGATTGGTAACCAGTGAGAATCAAGGATAACTATAAGGACCACCTGTTGTTTTCTATTCACGAATTATGGATACAGAAGCATCTACTGCAAGTTTCTAAATAGACTAATTGCAGTTCTTATTCTTTATCTTTAGTCAGGGCTTTGGTGCCTATGAGGAAAGTTTTTTCAACCAATTCCACTGTGTTGTCATTAATGGTCATACAGGATCTTTGACACAAATCTTTCTGTCACTCAGCTATAAGACAGAGAAGTATGGGGATTCTTTGGTGTTTTTCAGCGTTTATTAGTCTACCTTAGACATTTGGTTACCGCCAGACTCGGTGAAATGTGTCAGCACTAGCTTGATCAAGGAGTATTTACGAGTTACGTGGACATTTCTACCTCTTGTCCCGATTGTTGTTAGTTAGGGGAGATATTTTCCTTCCTTAACCTTTCAACCTTTTATCTTATTGCATCTTTTAGGCGTAATTCTTATTTGCACCATAATAATCCCCACAAATCTCAGGGAGGTTTTGATATATTTATTCCCCTTTATGAATTTGAATAAAGCAAGAACAACAGTTTTTGCAGGATAAGAAGATGGTACCTTCATTGTTTATTTCGTTGGCTTCTCATCATCTGCTTACATCCTAAAGACATTGTTAAGTTTGTCTACAGAAACAATTTTAACATACTTGCACAGAGTTTATTTTAAAACAAAATATCAATATATGTACAATGAAAAATGATCAATACATATATAAAGATGGTTACCGGGAGACGCAATTCTATCACTCATGGAAAATTTGAACCAGTTTACTTTATACTAAAAATTGTGCTGAAGATATTGTCCAGAAGGACGACGAAAGCTCCGCAACTAAACCAATCAGCTCAGAGAACACTACTAATTGCAAATCCACCTGAGCTACAAATCTTTCTTATATGCATACAATGCTTATAATCATAATCACTTTATCCTAAACAATAATAATGATACACAATGAAATCCTTCTGTGTTACGTAACCAGATGAAAGATAGGATGGAAACATCCAGTTACCAGGCAGGGCAAAGAAAGACTGATAACTGTTTCTTTCTGAACGCATAAATCGGGTTTCAGGCGCTTGATGGAGTTGCTTCGACAGACTTCACGAGAATTGATCTCTTTTGTTTATTGATAATTTTGAACGATCTTGCGACGTCCACCTTATGACCCGTGTCGTTGAGATGGTGATGGTACTGTTGAAAGCATTTGTTCCCTTGAGAAGTATACATTTTGTTACATGTTTACAAAATTGGAAATTTGCCTTTCTTTCTGTTCTCCTAATGTAACTGCTGTCTCAGATACATGTAAATCTGTTAGAGTTAACATGAGAAGGATATCTGTCGACTTTTGATTGCCCCCAAGAGCATGTTGTTCGATAGACGGGAACCAACTTAGCTGCAGGATAGGCTCTGTTTAGCGATGTCTTCAATCTTCTACTGACAATTGCTGTAATATTTTCACCTTTAAAATCAAGTTGAATATGGATGGGCTTTTTTCCACTGTGATCTGCTTGACATTTGAGCCTTCAGATCTCCCGTACTTGTTAATGAATCTTTGAGGGTAACCGTTGTTTTTCAACGTCTTTTCGAGAAGCATGAGTTCTTCCTCTAATTTCTCTATAGAGCATATTCTCGTAACTGTATACTGTACAGTCTTGACTAGTGCTCGTTTAAAGCTATTTGGACAAAAACTATTATAAAATGTAAGTATTGTACATTCCGTGTAGGCTTTCGGTAAATTGACCTCTGGAGACTACCATCTTCTAGGCATTATTGCATGGCAATGTCAGGTTTAATGAAGAAGAATTATTTTTTTTAAACTGCTGCGAACCTTACAATCTTTATCTTTGACGTACAGTGAAAATGGTTTGAATGATAAAGGTTTTCATGTCTGTTTCTCATTGTTTATACTCCAGGTTATGGCAAACAATGGTGTTTCGCATTTAGTAGCATCGGATGAACTGTCTGCCTTGCAATTAGCCATTGAATGGTTAAGTTATATTCCACAACATCCTGATAAAACATTTTCAGTATTGTATAAACCGATACAAATTGAACAAGGGCATAATTTTCATAAAACTATGCAACCTAGGATAGAGATTTCATCACATCTACAAGTCCATCAACCAAAGTTGAATAAACCCACCGGTTTCAGTTTACCATTTGATCCTGTCGATCGTATAGTTGAATATGTGCCTAGTCGTGATCGTCCAAACGATGATCCCCGGTGGATGTTTACTGGCATTATGAGTAAGTAAGCGTAAATTTTATTTTGCTGTTTAATTTCTTTTTTTTACTGTCATCGTAAGCTGAACAGTTGTCTGGACTGCGTTTTGATTTCATCTGTTAGTGATTGAAATATTTATCTGGGCTGTTCTTTTTTCTGTTCTTCTAAGTGTGAACAATGACAGACCGATTTGAAGTCTTCTGAGCATTCATTGTTCAATACAGACCCCATATTCCCAGTTTATTGTTACACACTAAACCCTACTGCTTGCCAAAATGATATAAATAGGTGCGACATCAAATAGTAATAGTATGGATGCCAACACCGCAAGGTCATGTGGCGCATTTGAAGCTGACGTCATCAGTGGTATACCCGGTCGAACTCACACTTGAATTCTGGCTAGCTACTTGGATGACGTAGTATAGTACATGGAATCAAATCCATCATATGCAGATTTCACAACGCAGTGTTTTCGACTATTCAAACCAATCAGGACATTTTTTTCTTACTTATGTGATTAACATTCATGGTATTGAATTGGTTGTACATAACTTTTCACTTGGTAAACTTGTTAAGTAGCTTTTGAGCAAATAAAACAGTCACTGTTTGACTTCTGTGAAATTCCAGTGACCCACGTAGATTCGTTGTATTCCCTATACTAGAAAGGCAATGTTTCGTTTTTCGGACTCTCTATTTCAAATGGTTTTCTTATTTTCATTATGAAAGACGGTCTAATCGGATTCACCTATTGTGATGGATGCTAACTTTCTATCATAGAGTTTTTGCAATTTGAAAATTCCCATTCAGTCATAGAAAAGAAAAGGCGTTCAGCAAACAGTTACTCTTTTCGACGATATCATCCTCAAGCTGTACAAACCGCAAATTTATAGTAATTTTTCTTGGCAACAAAAGGAATATTTCCAAAGATGTGTTAATGCAATTGTTAATTTTTTGACAACAAATTACGTAATAATTTAGAAGGCGTTAATCGGTTAGAAATTAAAATAAAGTTACAAAAGTAGGTTGGGTGACGTAATCTAATTGCTAGGGTTCAATGAAAGATGAATGAGAGTCAAGTTAATAATCTGAGTAGAATTCACTTAAAAATAAACGAAAATGGAGTTAGCAACAGTCGTCATGAGGGTAGAGATTTAATAGAGGGTGGGGGTAGAAAATAATGCAATTAAGAAACAGACAAACAAAGAAGAAAGAGGTAAGGCAAAATTACGTATTTGGTGTTAAGATAGATCAGGACCATTGTAGATTTAGTGACTGAAAAAAACTTCTTTTGTATGCAGAGTTCAGGATTCAATATGTGTATTGTCATTGCTTCTGCAGTTTGAAGAAGTTTAATTCGTACTCTTTTGGCAAGATTCCCACGTATTGTGCAGACAACTGAGAGGTTGTTTTGTGGGTTTGCTTGGTGTCCGGATTCGATCAAGTGTTCTAGGATAGAGCTGTGGCTGTGATAGAGCAACTGACATTTTCCCAAGTTATGTATTCTTCTTAGGTGTATGTCGAGACAACATTATTCATTTGCTTTTCCTTTTAGTTTCTCCGAGAATGTACATGCTTTTCTGGCATGTCTATCTCTAGCTTTACTAGAATTCTTTCTGACGATTTTTCGCTTAAATAGATATATATTTCTTGTCTTACGAAGAATCACGTTAATTAAGTTTTAACTTCGCGCATTCACACAAGCTTTCAAGGTGCTTCTTTATGGCTTTCTAATAAAATAGGTTCTCATTTCGAGGCATTCTGTAAATCCTCAGCTAAACAAACTTGTTCGTCACCAGCAGCAGCATCATCATCATCATCTGACTCGCATACTGATCACTGGATATCAGGCTTCTTTGATTGGGGCACATGGCAAGAAACATTATCATCATGGGCTGCTGGGGTTGTAACTGGACGAGCACGTTTAGGTGGCATTCCATGCGGGGTTATAACAGCCGAGACAAGATCAGTTGTTTGCCGTGTTCCAGCGGATCCAGCTAATTTATCCTCTGAAGCACAAGTTTTCAATCAAGCTGGTCAAGTATGGTATCCTGACTCAGCGTATAAAACTGCTCAGGCTATTGCTGATCTGTCACGTGAACACTTACCTTTATTCATTTTTGCTAATTGGCGAGGATTCTCCGGGGGCATGAAAGATATGTATGATCAAGTAAGTTAACTGGTTTTGGCATAAGTCTAATGAAATGTACATTGAGCGCATTATTTGTCTCATATTTATCTTATTTTGGTGTTAGAATTTTAAAGATTAGTATTATTTCTTTCTTTCAAAGGTCAGTTACCGTAGATGTTTTGGATCCCCTTAGACACTTGTCAAAATTAGCCGTATGCTTTTCCTAGTTTAAGTGTATTATTCGGAACCCGTGTCACGTAAAGTACTTGAACTGCCTGACTGTTTTCAACGTTGAACTTCGCACAGGTGTGCAGCAGTTCGACTTATCACATTCCATGTAGTACACAAAGCAAGAGGAGAGTAAAAAAGAGGTAATAAAAAAAAAATTTTAGGCAAAAAGAATAGTGGTGTGGAAAAACAACAGAGTCTTATTGGATATGAAAAATCACAAAGAATGGATGCATCTGTGCCATGGAGAACGATTTCACTTACTTTCACAATATATGTATCATACAGCTGACAGGGAATTCAATAAAAAGTGAACTGGTACTTCACCTTTGTATATCACATACGCTAATATCTCTTTTCGGACTCTTCAGCGGTGCGCGGCCGTGACCCATTCCACTAGGAGTTGAAATTGTTTCAAATTCGTACAAAACTCAAAATCTGAATGGATATCTTGAAATCCTAATCAGAAATCGTAGCCTATGGGATCAACCATTTCAGATTGACACGGACGCCTATCAACGGCTCTGGATGGCAGCAGTGCTATGCCGTGATTTGACACATGTTAGGAATCACCGGTTGTTGAATTCCAGCACACGGGCATCGTACCATAAAGGTGCAGGTGACGTACTGGTGAAGAGTCCCAACCCAGGACGAAACAACCCTACAGCACTCCTTTATCTTCACTAGTTGTCTCGCTGATGCTCATCTAGAATGAAATTGATACCGACAGTATTTTTCACTGTACATACTTTTGAAGTAATTTTTATTGGATGTATATAACTTCGAATATTTCTTCTTTTTATGAATTTTTATATCTCAATTATGTTGAATTTATGCTGTTTTCATCTTTTTATTACTGGGGAAAAAAAGAAAAATATTTATTTATGTACGATTTTTTCATTATTATTATTATTATTATCTCTTCCGCCTTTATCAGTAGTCTGTTCATTAAGAAGCCATCGCTTTACCATTTATTATATGTTATGCATGTATATGCGTGTATGCGACAGTTTGAAGGGATATTGTTGATGCTGTTGTGTTTCTATGGTTTAAGGTATAAAAATGTTATGTTAGCAGCATGGTTTTATGTTTTGGATCTCCTCTGTGCACATGTCCGCTCGTGTGTGTGTGTGTGTGTGTGTGTGTGTGTGTGTGTAAGGCAGATGATGAAGAATGCAAGACTGTTGATTTTCTGGTAGGTCGTTCTATATAAATGAAGCGAGTAAAGAACCAACTTGCTTCCTCACTGTTATTTACCCTTTTTTTGTTCCTTATGAAAAGTTATTATTGTCAATTATTCCTGTACTCCACCGTTATTATCATAGTTAATTACTGTGTTGTATAAACTTGCTTGAACCGCCTTACAACCATAAATAAAGTGGTTACAATAGTTTTAATAATAGCAGTAGTACTAGTGATATATATATATATATATATATATATATTTCACATTTGACTAACTAGACTTTACCGCGGAGGTGTTCACTAAGGAATACCTGTAATTCCTCTCTACTAGTTGTATGCAGGAACGAATCGGAAGTGGAGAGGAGGATTTCTTTGTTATTGGTAGAGTGTGCTTTTCCTGTATTTTTATTCGAAGAATTGCTGCCTATTGTTTTGTACAACGCGCACAATAATATGAATGAATACACACTAAACAAACAAACAAACAAATAATTGAACTTTAACTTGTTCAAGTAGTTAATTTCTTTTTTTTTAATGAAGTGAATAATTAATTAATGCATTATTCATCAGAGGATGAATATGTTTGCGTGGATTACTTCCTGTCATTAAAATTGCTTAGACTATAATGCACTGTCATTATTTTTGTTTGGTGTAGTAAGTTATTTTTAGTGATATTTCCTATTACATGTTAAAGCAATATTGTTGTTTCCTGTTGAGCTGCAACAATACGAAGTAGGTATTTGATACAACTAAATAAATATATATATAATTAAAGTGGTGTTTGCTGCTTAATTGGATATCATATATATATATATTTGGATTGTCGACATTAGCCAACCGTGTCCACCTGACTGACTTTGCACAGAAGTGTGCAGCAGGTCAGGTTCTCACATTTCATGTAGCACACAAAGGTATTTAGAAAAATAGAGAGAAAATAGATTCTGAAGAACTGTAATGAGAACAGAGATGTTCGGTAGAAAGAATAGTTACGGCAAGGAAACATCAAGGCTTTATGGATTTGAGAGATCCGAAAGAGTTTATAAGTCTACGGTATTAAGAATGATTTTGAATCATATACCACACATGTTCTACGATCGATAGCCGGATATCGCGTCTCCAGTAATGATGACTTAAGTTTTCAAATGCCACACGAGCGCTCGCTGAGATTTTGTCAGCTGGGTCTAATATGCAGCTTCCCAAATAAGTGAAGTGATGAACACGCTCTACCACTTAGCTCCTTATATTTTAAGCTAGGAGTCAGTATCTACAGCCTCATCCTTACATTTGACGGAGGAAATATAGCTTGCCCAACATTCAGAGATTTATGCTCAGGGAGTTCAGAAGGCTACATTTTATCAGTGTCTTCATCTAGGAGGACTATATCATCCGCATATTCTAAATCCACAAGACTGTACCCTAGTAACAAGTCAATCGCTAAGTTTCTGAAGCTATATAGGGTCAAATCCACTGATACATCTTTGATGAAATTAAACAGAAATGGGGATGGTAGGCATCCCTGATAAAAACCACTGGTTGTCATCACTTCTGATGACAGCTCTTCATAAGTTCGAGTAACGGCAGAAAAAATTCATACATATATTGGTATCCATCATCTTTAGCGTTGATATGCCTTCTCTTTTGTACTCCACGGCTTTCAGCCTTAACTACTTACTACGGAAAACACTGGGAGGTTACTTGCTTTTTGTTCGTATGTATCTTCGTGGCATTTCTTGTATGCACTGACATCATAGAGTGATAATTACTGATATCTGTCTTAAAATGTTAGGTAATCAAAGAATGTATTGGACAAAAGCAGTTACTTTTAATTCCATATTAGTTTGTTTATTAGGTATATCACACAGTGAAACAGTATTATTTACTGGATGACGTCCTATTTAGGATTGGTGAAATGTTTAAATGACAGAGCACAAAAATTAAGTAGTACCAAAGAAAATCTAAACCAAGAACTGATACATACGAAAGAAGCCTTGAAACTTAATAATTACCCGGATCAATTAGTCAGGAAATATGTAAGGAAATGTAAAAATAAAATAAATAATGATAATAGCGATAGTGATAATAACAATAATAATGATAATAATAATAATAGTGACAATATTCATAATATTGATGACGACACCAACAATAAAGAGTCTAAATCATCAGTAGTAATTCCATACAAGGAAGGAACCTCGGAAGCCTTACGCGGAATTCTCAACAAGGCAGGAATAAAAACGGCATTCAAACCCACAAACTCAATTAGACACAAGCTTTGTCGGTTAAAGGATCCTGTGGAGCCTTTAAAACAAAACAATTTAGTTTGTCTAATACCCTGTCTGCAATGATTGTCAGGTCAAATGCATAGGTCAAACTAGTAGAACAGGGGCAGTCAGACTAGCCGAACATAAAAGCCTAGCAAAATCTAGATTGTTTGACCCGAATAAGATAAGAAATCTAGAGAATAGTTCAGCTATAGCACTACATGCAATTGCACACAACCATACAATAGGATGGGATAAGATGAGTTTTAAAATCTAATGTAACAGGGTGGAGAGAGAGATTGATAACAGAAGCTTTGTTTATCGAATCAACTGCAGATACATGTAATAGGAATGATTCATCACCTGTCCCCGATATCTGGAAAATTCTACTCCCCCTACGACAAATAGGAGAAAACAAAGAAAGCTATAAAACTCAAGTGTTAAAGTCGTGTGATCACAATTGATATGATTATGAACAATAAATTTTGTTCGAAACGTCATCCAGTAAATAATACTGTTTCACTGTGTGATATACCTAATAAACAAACTAATATGGAATTACTTACTACCACAGTGCCCAAGTTTTACACATATATTAATAATTACTTTTAAAGCTTTAATTTTCCTAACATTCTCAAATAGTCTCTAATCGGTGGTTAAGCTACAATGAGTGTTTCAGTCTCCGTTGGATCGTCAGTTCTTTCAGGGTTGAAGATATGCCTTATTGAAAAAGTTTCAATAAGCAGTGAGTCTAGGTCAATCGCCTTCAATCACTTAACATCAGTTCAGATTACACCACGACTGTGAGTCGTCTGGCTTGATGAGTGCCTTTCTAAACTTAACAGATAGGATTCAGTCATTCACCGTAATTAAGAACCTGGAGACATGACATTGGTCACTTTCTAGTTACCAATAAATGTAAATTGGCGACAACTGCATCATAGTACAGTCGTAGGCCGGTTGAGCTGTAAATTTTTCTCCAATGGGGTGGTTGCAATACGTCTTATATTATTATGTATTATTATTCCCTTGAGTTCCGATTGGAACATAGGGCTTCAACAACACATCTCCACTTTATCCTATCTTCTGCAGTCCTCTTCAGCTTGGACCACGGTTGCCCACAATCTCTCATCTCCTCCTCACACAATCTCTTCCACATCGCCCTAGGACGACCCACTCGTCGCTTCCCATTGGGATTGCATTCGAGCGATGGCCTGGCGCGCGATGTCCGTCGACGGTCTTCTCAATGTATGCCCGATCAATCCATCTCCATTTTCTCCTACATATTTGTTGAGCGATCGGTTCTTGGTTGATTTGTTCCCACAATTTCTTGTGGGAATCAAGTGAATAACTATACTACTTCATTCAACTTAGCGTATCGATAAGAGTGTTGCCTTACGATAAGTAACTAATATTCCAGCCAGCTTAGTCAATGAATATTCGCTACACTACATCGGTGGATTTTCCCTCTTGAACTTTAATTTCTTCGTGGTGCCTTGTGTGAAGTCTATGGTATCTAGAAAGTTTGATATGGTATTTATTCTCAAGGTATCCACTAAATCCTGTTGCAAACAGTTGCATTTAATATAAAAGCCTTTATTGTGCCTTTTGGAGAGTTGAGACAAGGCTTTGCGCACTTTTTTTCAGATTGGTGAAACCTCAAAAAAAAACTTGGTTCACTTCATGATATGTAATTCAATGCACTGTTGGATGATTACCAACCAGTGTCGCATTTCTACAACTCTGTCAGAAAAGAAATAATAGTCACCTGACTAAAGTCAGCCAAGTAGGATTACTAGGTAGAGGCTGCGTAAGCTTGAGAAGTCAATGTTTCTGTTTTCCCCAATCTGTCTTACTTCCCTTTAAGTCTTTTTCTATCCTAAAAACTAGCTTATCATCTGGGTGATGTAACTAAAATCTCTACACAAAAAATAATAATTATAGGATTAAATGTGTAGTTTTGATAAGAGTTGTAGTCGACTATTGTTTGTTACACGAATGGACAGGTTAGGGGAGAGAGAAAGAAAAACGATGACATTTTTTACAATATCTTGCTACCTGAATGATTTCTATCCTACTTCACCTAAATGTATTAGAACTTCTTTATGCTACTCGGCTACTATGACCTGAATACAACTCTGATTTCTATTATAATTACGCTTCAGTTTTTTTTCATAGAGATAGTATGAAAGAGACTTGTGTTCACTATTTCAAATTACTCTTGTAATATCATACCTTGTTAAAGACTGCTAACTGAGATTTCTTGATTTTATACGTTAAATTTAAGGTTTTAAAATTCGGTTCAATGATCATTGACTCTTTGCGCCGGTATACCAAACCAGTTTTTGTCTACCTCCCCCCGAATTCACAACTTCGTGGCGGTGCTTGGGTTGTTGTCGATCCGGCGATTAATCCAGACTTCATGGAAATGTATGCAGATCCGGTGTCATCACGAGCTGGTGTTCTTGAACCAGAGGGAACAGTTGAAATTAAATTCAGACAGCAAGATTTAATTAGTACAATCAACCGACTGGATGATTCATGTAGACTGTTAGTAAAAGAAATTAATAATCTGAGTAAACCCGGAGGGAATTTATCGTCGTTTAGTATTAATGGAGAACAGTGCAGTACAAAATCATTAAATCTGTCTACAGAGGAACGTTGTCAGCAGTTGCGTACTGCATTGGAATCCAGACAGAAAGAATTATTACCATTCTATCAACAGGTAAATTGTGAACACATAGTTTTTAAGCTATATATCTTTTCAATACTATGCGTATATATATACTTACCATTACTTTTCCTTTCGGAAATAACTGTTATGTTTCTGTATGTCCCACTCCTACAGTATCAATAACCAATGAATTGTTCCTAGTTGCACAGATATATCCATCCTTTCATGGTTCATGGGTAAAATGCTTGCCAACCATGTACGTTGTTCTGCTTCGATTCTTGGTTGATGCACTGCTAAACCTCGCGTAACCGTTAGAACGTCCAGTAAAGAGGAAGGGTTTGGGTTGGTAGCTACCAGACCCACAGCTGCGGTAACTTCAAACTCTAAGGCCTGACCCACCCTCCTCCGTGCTTCACTTGGAACACAATGGAATTAAAAATTATGTCTAATCTTCTTTAATTATCATTTAATATTAGAAAACCTAGAATATTTTAAAGGGAAGATGATGATTCTACGCTTGCATCACATTTTATGCCTTTTTTTCAAATGATTGAATTCATCATATCTACATTGGATATAAATTTAATGATGTATTCTCGTAAGCATCGTACATCTAGAGTCCAGCATCTCCTCTATACGCCCGTGTTCCTTGAAAGCATAAACAGGATTTGTACCTTATGATGACAATGTAAATTGTTGGATCCTTTCCTTCCCGAGTTTCCTAGTGAATTTGATAACTCAAATGTTACCAGGTCTACTGATCATCATGATGAAACGTTCACAATCACATATTGATATACTTGGAGATCATATGAACACAACAGTGTAGTTCTGTCCGTAGTAGTACCAGTGGTATCGTAAACAAAGATGGACTAGAACAAATATTAAGAATGAACATAAAGAAGATGGTGATGCAGATAACCAACCAACCAACAACAACAACATCTAGTGCCAACCACTATCAATGCGAGAAATGCGAAAGAAGTTACTTCCCTTCACTTATCTAGGAAGCATCGTTACAACTACAGGAGGAACTTATGAAGATGTCAAAATCAGAAGTGGGAAGGCAAGACAGTTTGGAGATATGCTTCACACAGCATAAAGCACAAGATTCAGATTTCCAACACAAATGTTAAGTCGGTTCTTCTACATGGGTCAGAAACTTGGTACATGCGTCACGAATAAGATTTCGAACGGGCTGCAGACTTTTATCAGCAGCTGCCTTCGATGGATTCTTATTTGGGATCAAATGGTTACAAAGAATTAACAACAATAAATTATGGGAGCAATCTAACCAAAAACCTCTCGTTTAACAAATACGTAGAAGAAAATTGAGATGGATTGGGCACATGCTGAGGAGACTGTCGACTGGAACTCGAATGGGAAGCGACGAGTGGGGTGTCCAAAGGTAATATAGAGGAGGTCATTAGAGGAGCAGATGAAAGACCGTAGGCAATTCTGGGGCCAGATAGAAAGGATCATAGAAAACAGAATAAAGTGGAGATGTGCTTTTGAAGCCATGTGTTCCATTCGGAAGCCAATGGAACAATAATAATAATAATAGTAATGATAATAGTAATAACAGAAATAGCATAGGAAGGTAGTGAATTTTCGGCTTTTACATTCATGTTAAGATGGCCAACGTAAAGAATGTGGCTGTACTGATTTCTGCTGAACACACTGGTTCGTCTTCTTCGTGTGAATTTCTATAGCTTCTGTTGAATATCGAAGGTGAACTTGTAAAGTGAAATTACGATGAATAACTATTAAGAATTCAGTGGGCCAATAAACAACAACCGATCGACTTTGTTGGCTCCTTTGCATAACAATCCCAGATGAGGTTAGGAAATCTGACGATATAATTATACTTTTGGGTTCGGAGCGGAACAGAGGACTGCAACAGTACCTGGCTGTGCATGATTACCTATAACCCTTCATTTCCTCTTCACGCGATCTCCTTGTTGTCACCCTCCACAACCCAACTAGTTTCACATACAGGTTCTGATTAATGTCGTCCTCATAATGTCTCCAACCTATCTCTTCATTAGCCTGTTGGAAATGCTTTTCATGACGCATCATGCTCCAAGTCTTTGAATCGTGTATAACAGAAATGACTTGACATTAGTATTGAAGATCCTTTGTGCAGCAGATTTCCACCTTGGTGATAAATATGCCCTAATGATGCTCAAAATGTATCCGGCTACACAGAAGCAACGAAAGTGAAAAAGTGTACTAGCCAGTTTATATATCCTTATTTCTCGAACGTAAAATAAGCGAAAGAGAATTCTATTAGGTTAATTTAGTAGTAGTCGTCACTTTAATCAGTTTTGACAAAACAGAATAACCACTAAAAAAAAATCCCAGTTGAATCACTGACTGTGTGTATGCTGTATGCCATATATATGTTGTATCAATCAAATAAATTCTTACATGGTTATCTTAAACCATTAGTATGGAATGATTCGGTGAAATAATAAGGTGAAATAACTTTTCTATCCACTTAGACCTAAGCATAATCTGTTTCTTTGCTTTTATGTGTACAGGTGTGTATCTGTGTGAATAAATTCTCAACAACCATGATTGTCTTCAGTAATAATTGCTGGATAGAGTCTAACCTTTTGTTCTTCTCGGTAGAGTTGTACTGGACAATTAGATGGAAGATGATAGAATTAGGCTTAAATTTAATTATTCTCTCTATGCATATATATGCAAGCGGTGAACAAATCAATCAAGGCATCATCCGACTGACCTGAATTCAATTCAATTTTTATGGCTACACAGAATATTTTCTCTTTTTTTCTTTTATTCACCTTGATCATATTTTAATTCTTATCCATCCATATGGTTACCTCTGTTGTTTTGTTTTGTTTTATTATTGTCCTTGTTGTTGACTCTTTCCCATCTTTCTACTCACATAATTGTCTTAAGGTGGCTTGTACATTTGCTGATTTGCATGATACACCTGGTCGTCTGTTAGCCAGAAAGCTTGTACACAACCTAGTCGATTGGTCGAACAGTCGTAGTTTCTTCTATACACGACTTAGACGTCGCCTACTAGAGCTGTCCGCGTTGAATCTTCTCTCCGGTGTCATACCGCATTCCAATGATCCGTGTCCAATTGACACAGAGTATGTCACGTGTAAAGTTGACGATGACAAGGATATTTCATTTGTCAACTTCAATAAAGCTCAAAAGTGTAATAGAAGTGCAGATGTTTTGTGTAAAGAAGAGATGGAGGTGAAACAATCACCAGTTAGTAAGTTTGTCTGCTCATTTTTTATTCATTTCATAAACTTTTATTGTTTCTTACGCATTGAATTATGCATTTGAAAATGCTGCTGATAAACCGCTCGGTTCGATAACCTCTTGTCAAGTGCTTATAATGTGACTAGTTTGTATAGTTTCATGTGGAAAAGTGTGGAGAACAGGACAAAGGCATGATTAGTCGTTTTACTACACGTTTTCAAGGTAGATATCCTCACTAACCGACCTCAGTTAAAGATTTGCAGGAAACCAGTGACCACTGGAGTGACTCTACAGCTATGCGCACTCACGACCTTCAGGTCCCGAGGTCAACCCACTAACCGTCCAGCTACACTGACGCATGAATTGTATTCGCGTTCACTTTGCAATAAATCTCCTGTTTAGTTGTTTGTATGCGCTTCACTCCTACTTTTGTTTATTACACCACAGTCCATCTAATCTTCTGCTTCTTATTTCTCAAATGTCTATCCTCTGTCTGCGTGCATCTTCTCATTTTAACCAACGCCTCCTCCTTAATAGTTGATTAATTTGCAACAGACAGTCATTTTATTTTCTAGGATTTTCTCCTTCTTTTCTTTATATACCTTAAATTAAAGCATAATTCAGCTCTCCACTATGACTTTCACTCGTCGTCAAAGCTTCAACATCTAATGAATAAACATCCTTGTGATTGGCTATTCTGATACATATATAAATAGAATTGTACAGCTATGAAAATGAAATCATTGCTAGGAAGACTTTCTTGTAAATGCTGGTTTACAGGGTTAGATCACGAACTGGCATCAGTTAGAGAACCATTGGAAACGACAAAGTACTGGGCGACTGTTGCGTCTTAATAAGCATTAATGAGTAGTTATGAATGTCTCACAACAGGATGGAGTACCTGGAGTGCTAGGGAGAAGTCATGGTCCGTCAATCAGTGTGTGCTAGACAACATCAGCCGGTAATGGTGCTACATATCACAAATTGTCAGAACTCGTCGGCCATCGTATCCATGCGCTGTGGCAAGATGGTTAACAGTCTCTCCTCTTAACATGAATTTGGTGGTTTAGATTCTCAGTTGAGTTTTGAATGCATAAGATTCGCAAAAAAAGGACAAAACAGCTGTCCAGAACTCCCTGGTTTTCAATGGTTCGTTAATTGATATCGTGTCATGCTCCGACTAGAATTTTCCCCCCTCTGAAATCTTTGTTTCATAGTAAGAAGTGAAGTGCTTTTTTTTTCAGCCAACCATAGCTACATTCTTTTTACCCTGATCTGAATATCTTTTTTGAGGTTGTCCTTTTTCTTTGTACATTTAAGTTTTAGTAGGCAGTGTAATTCATGCGTATTAAGGTCATGATATAAGTAATAATCTCTTTTCTGCATCACCGTCATCATTATCAACATACACCATATGTCAATAGAACTGAATTCGTTGAAATTATGCAAGCGGATTTCACCCCTTGCTCTTTCATTATGAAACAGAAATTTATCAACAGAGAACAATTTACTTCTTTTTTAAAAAAGAAGAAAAATTAAGGTGGAGGAGGAATTATCTAAAATAACCTTCATTAGACAAATTGCATTGTGATTATCAAGTTGAAACAAGATTCGAGCATAGTGATGTGTCCCTCTTTGACTTTAAGTCCTGATCCCACACTTCGTAGGACATGTGTACTTTGCAGTAGTTGACACAGTTCTTCTTTACGGTCGTCAGAAGTGGATAATATGGAAAAGATTAGTTTTTTTTTTACAATAGGTGCTTGTGTATGATTCCGTATATATATAAGATGGCATGAAATGTTCACTTATATTGGTATTAGGTATAGAGTTTTAGATAAGGTGGGTGAAACAAATCGATGAGGTTGTGCACTTTCACCGATTCGGTTAACTTGGACACATGAGGCTGTGAAGCGCCTACTGCACTCGGCATAGAGGACAAGATCCGAATCTTTAACAGAAATATCAAGTCAGAAAATTGGTGCATCACAAAATGCATTTCCAACAGGCTTGATACTACGTTGGATACTGCATATCAGATTGTCGACTGGGAAGGATAAGCAACAAGGAACTCTGCATGGCAGTGATCTGACCAAGAACCCCTGTTTCCCAACAAATATTCAAAAGAAAATGAAGAGGGATTTGATATACACTAAGAAGAACGTTAAGTGATTATCACTTGCCAAGTCCTTGAGCGGGTCTATATTAAAAAATGGCGGATTTTGCGTCTGAGAATGACATGGAGGGGCTGTTTAAAGAAAACAAGCATATGTGCAATTACGGAACCGGTTAAACAAGATAATAGTGAAGCCCTATGTTCTCAATACCTTAAGGAATAATAACAATAATGTCATTGGACTCCGAGCCATTGTCTTCCTTAATGGGATTAATGTTTGTTACAACTTGACCAGGTTGACATGAATCCCTGAACTCCTTGACTGTTAGTTTCAGCCACGTATGAAAGTGTCGACTGTCTGTCTGTCTGCCTGCCTGAGTTTTTGGGATGTTAAGTATCAGTGGTTGGAGATTGTTGGTGACACAGCTAAAAATTGTCCTCACTGTCCTCACAGTTGCATTCACTTCTTGTTATCGTCCAGATTCTGAAAATTCTCACTTCTTTTTTTATCCTGTATGTTTCCGTCTACTATCGCTATCGCTATTTCCTTTACTTATGTGTGCGTGTGTGCTTTTCTGAAGTGGGACAGTTTAAACGGTGGCAAAGTTTTTTACATTGTTAATCCATTTCAGCTTCTTTTAGTATTAGCAGATAAATCTGAGAATTTTCGGCCTTATAAGCTTGTTGGCACAGTCAGTAAATTTATGACCATGAAGTATTCTTTGCTGTTCAAATGAACTGTCGTCAGGATTTGACAGAATAGTTCTAAAATATTTGGCGCCGAGTGAGAAGTAGACATTTGTAAAAAATTATATCTGTAAAATCTCAGCGATATTGAAATGAGTAATTCCAACGTTTTAGAACTATTCTGTCAAATCTTGACGACAGTTCATTTGAATTATTTTGCAATCGAACTAAATTAACAAGGAAGATGTGTAATTCTCACAATCATCGTGTTTTCACTCTCCGTTGGCTGCAACAGAATGCATATCCTATATCCGTAGCTGTCGAGTCACCTGACAACTCCAGTAGGTCGAATAAAGCAGCTCAATCTTCAGAAAGAAGACAGCAATAAGTCCGACAGGGTGCTGCTACTAAACCCTAATCCTAAACACCATAATTTTGAAAATACGTCTAATCATAAAATTCTAGATACTAACAGTTTGAACGGACATGAAGGTGTGATGTTAGCTGATGCACAGGAAATTCTTATTAATAAATAAAAAATGGATATGTATCACTAATTATTAATACTTGTTCAAAATTCTCGACTGTCCATATCTTCTAATGGAGACGTTAAGAAATGTTTTACAACTGTTTACCCACACACACATACACACTCTGTTTAAAGTGTTTAACAAAGGTAGACCAATGTTTGTAAGTCCGAGGTCAAATTTTGATCACAGTTCATAAAAAATTTTGTTTATTATACTTGTTGACTCATGGTTGGACAAAGTTTTTAAAAACAAGTGATGTTCCTTTTTATATATAAACCTCTGTTATGTTAACTTCGATTAATTTCCCTGAAGAAGTTCGGACCAAATTGCCGAACGAAACGTTGGAATTACTCATTTCAATCTCGCTGAGATTTTACAAATACAACTTTTTACAAATGTCTATTCCTTGCTGAGTTGAAATGTAACGAACATGACTTGAAGTATCTCTCAACGGACAAATATAAATACAGTACTGTTTAAATACTCAAATGCATCAATGAATGGTGGTTATTTGTAATAAGTTAGCATAAATGTCTTGTGTGAAAAAAAAGATGAAACAAAGTAAGATGAGATAAAATGTTATTTATTTGACGATAGTCGTTAGCCGCAGTATTATCTAAAATGCTCGTTTCGTCTTATTTAAGCAATATATGCATTAACTAGATGCACCTGCATCCCATGGAGTGATAATGTTCCCTTGTTGTAAAACTTAAACCCAACACCAATTATTATTATTTCTCTTTTACTAATGAGCAGAAAGGTGTGTAGTGCTTGTAACTCTCTAAGCCCACTAAGGCAAATTATAGAAATAGGTGATAATTATTCACTGTGTAAGTTGTTAACATTACCGGCGACAACACAGCACACCTAGTTCAGCTAAATATTGATTGTGTAAAATTTGTGAAAAAATCCACCGAAGAATACAATCAGCAATTTGTGTAGAGTTATATATGTAGCTCATTGGATTAATTACTTGATTTTCAACCGTCGGGTCATACATTCAAACTGCGCTCCACCTACCAAGGTCTAGACGCCCAACTAGTATCCATTATCTTTTTTTACACAACCGTTGTGGTTCACTGCCAATCACATGTAATTGCGTATGATTATTTGTTGGGCAGTTATCAATTCTAACATTGTCTGTAGTGCATCGTTGTTACCATGTATGGTTTTCTAAGTTTCTTTTGTTTTTTCTATTTCTTTTCATCGGATACTTTTGTTCTAGAACTTCTTCGCGTGGAAAGTAATCATAGAATACGTTTTGACTCGGAAAGTCTTACTCAGTCGGTCACAATAAACGATTTGTCGACAAATTCCGATGGTAGACTATCCAACCTGAAATCTACACTGAGTAGAAACGAAGAGGCCGCTGAAAATATTGCCAAACAAGTACCTCATTTAGGTATGTATGTGTGATGTTTGATTTCTCTTCAATTTGTAAATCTGTCAGTGATTTTTCTAAGTTAGTCTGTTAGTTAGTCTATTCTTTTCCGATATTGATAATTGTGAAACTTGCTTCACCTTATGATGATTCTTAACTGAACTTCGAATAAGGCAAGAGCATCAGTTTTTGCAGAATAAGAAGATGGTACCATCATTGCTTATTTCGTTTGCTCCTCATCAGCTGCTTACAGCCTAAATAAACTATTAAGTTTAATGTACAGAATAGTTTTAGGCGTACTTGCGAATTTTACACGATATCAGTTGACAGGAGGACCTGGACTTAGGGAACAGTGCTCAGAAAATTACGCTTACATACTTTGTACACAAGGAGTTCAAGTTTAAACAGAGTAAATGTATGCATACAATGGTGAAGGAGTTATGTAATCAAGACGCGTACGCATCTTTTTTTGAGCACTATTCACTAAGTCCAGAACCTCCTGTCAATGGAAATCATGTGAAATTTGCAAGTACGCCTAAAACTACTCTGTACATAGACTTAATAGTTTATTTAGACTGTAAGCAGTTGATGAGGAGCTAACGAAATAAGCAATGATGGTACCATCTTCTTATTCTGCAAAAGCTGTTGTTCTTGCCTTATTCAAATTCATAAAGGGAAATAAATGTATGCAGTCGACTGGACTTTCTTGGTTCTAGAAAGTTATTGTTACATGAAACCGTGTCACATTAATTCAGAGTAATTTCTGATGCAAAGATCAAGTTGAACTGCTCACTTTTGCTGTAACAGCCTGAGAATGTGATATAAATTCTATTCTAATTCGTAATTCATTATTTTTTATTATTAAGCAATTAATGAAAACCGTCTATATTTTGTAATGAGGACTGAGATAATATAAAGTTAATTTTTTTGATGCTGAACTCGGTGTTTAGGGGGGGATAGTGTTCACAGTGTGCAGTGTACTACAGTGCTTGTCTTTTTGACCTTGCTATCTAGTATTGTTGTGAAAGCCAGAAGAAGAAGATGATTATGAAAACAGGGGTGAACTTATCACTCTAACTAAGATGCCCTTTTATTGTGGTACTCACGATGATATAGTAACTGTGGTTAGCATTTCTCTCTGGATTGCCCAAGGCGGTCTCCATCTCTCTCTCTTTCTTTCTGTTTTGCTATATATCGAATTCTTTCAAAAGGCATTTAAAATATCTGCCAAGTGTTGTATGGATTAATATTTTTAAATTCTCTACACTATTCTGTTTCCCTTGTCTATTTATTTTTTTCTTAGCTGTGGATTATACCTCGCATACTGGTTACAAAATGTCACTTTTAAAGAATTGGTTCATTGAAGCAATGCAGGGTGGAAGTTCTTCAGATAGAACCACCACTTCGTCAACGGTGAATGGAATAGTTGTAGTAGTAGCAGCTGCAGAAGCACATGAAACAACTGATCCTCGAAATATTTCATCGAAATCCTGCGAAAGCGATGAAAAAGGCCTGAATGACACAGAAAAACCAAACTCATCTTCACTGCTTGAACAGTGTTCAACTGATCCTAATTATCTATGGGAGAATAATGATCTAATTGTTGGTAATTGGTTAGCTGATGAATTGGACTGTAATGAATTGCGTCATTTAGCGAGTATCAAGCTTGTTAAAGAATTTTATTCACCTGTTACACCAACATGCCTTTCATTTATCCCAGTCGATAATTTCCCTCAATATGATAAGTTGGATATTCACTCTTTATTTAAACGAAAATATATAATAAAAGAAAAGATTAAACAGTTGAAAAGAGATTATTTAATGGAGCATATTAAACAGTAAGTCGGTGTTGTTTTTGCTCATACGTGTTTAGCTTCCCTCTGATTATATATATTTATTTTTAAATCCCTTTTTAATGTGTGCGTACATGTCTAAGTAGACGACGAAAACCTTCATCCCATTGCTGATCAATGAATCCTTTATCCGATGTTGATTTTGGCCTGGTTGTTTACCCAATAAGGCGACTTGATTGCCTTACACTGAATAAAGATGCATGACTTAATCACTAGATTGGTCACACGTTCGAATCCCACTCCGCATATCAAAGTTTAGGGGTATTGCTTTTTAGTAGAACTCCCGTCATCAATGATGTCTCGTATTGCCGTAGAGAATACTGTTTCACTGATTCATTGGATAAAGTTGGTCTGGTTCTGTTTTGGTACAAGTCCAAGTAATCGTTTATCGCTAGTGTGTATGTGTCTGTGCCCTTTTTACAGTTACACTCAAACGTTAGTATCATCCGTAACGCGTACTAGTGTAGATAATTATATGGTGATACATCAACACTCCACCCCAGCCTCAGCAGATCTTCTCGTACCTCTGTTGTGGAGAGTGGAAAGATACCTACCGACTAGAAAAAAGTCTACCTTGTGAAACTGCTAAAGAAGGATGGCTTAAGCCTATGAAATAACTGGTGCTGCTTTCCATCTCAAACAAAATATTAAGCCGCATCATCCTGGAGAGACTAAGAGATGCCCTGAATGGAAGACTGATAACGAAATAAGCTGGGTTCATGCAATACAATTCATAAGTAGGTCAGTTCTCAGCATTATGTATTATCATCGAACTGTTTTCCTCAACTTCACCTACTTTGATAAGGCCTCAAACTCTTCTTGGGGAGACTGAGAGTACGGGCGTATGTTTGAGTCACAAAAAGATCTTCAAAGATCTACAGGCGAAAACCAACATATTGGTAGAAGATGCAGCGAAGACAGGACTTCAACTTGCATATGAAGAAGGCAAAGGTGATGAAGATACCTAACCAGCATTAACGAGCACTAATCATCATCGATTGACGAAATCTGAAAGAACTCGTCTTTTTCACTTAACTGGACAACATCGTCTTGATTACATCTGGTGGCACGTATGAGGACATCAAAACTAGTCAGGAGGGCATTGGTAAAGCATGACAGGTGTTCATTTCTCTGATATTGTTGTGGAAATCTACAGTACTCAGCACTATGAACAAGATTCGAACTTAAAACACTAATATCAAGTCAGTGGTTCTGAGACTTCGTGCACGCGTCATCAAAAGCATTTCCAACACAGTTTCCGGTATATTTTCGTCAGCAGTTGTTTTCTCTCAAGACTGAATATCAGATAGCAGGTTAGAAAGGAAAAGCGAAAAAGGACTCAGGCAGGCAGCGAGTCTGTCAAGGATCTATTTGAAGGACAGAAAGAAGGGTATACCTACGATTTTCTGAACATGTACCAAAAAGCTAATGTCTAAAGGGAACAAACGCTTTAAACAGTGCCAGAGCTAGACATCTCCTTGACACGGGTCGTGAGGTGGACGTCGCAGAATCGTTCAAAATTATCAATAGACAAAAGAGTTCAATTCTCCTAAAGCTGTCGAAGCAACTCCATTAAGTGCCTGAAATCCGATTTATCCATTCAGAAAGAAGTGGTTATCAGTCTTTCTTTGCCCTGCCTGGTAAGTAGATGGTAACTAGATGTTCCCATCCTCTCTTTGATTTAAATACGTAATGCCGAAAGTTCCCATTGTGTATGATCATTATTGTTCGGAATATTGTTTAATATATTATATATATATATATATATATATATATATATATATATATATATATATCACTGCATGTATATACTGATTGACTGATTTTTTTTAAATGAACTCTGTGCAAGTATGTTGAAATTGTTTCTGTTGATATTTAATAATGAATTTGGCCTGTAAGCAGCTGATAAGAAGGCAACGAAATAAAAGATGGTACCATTTTATTCTGCAAAAACTGTTGTTCTTGCTTTATTCAAGGATCTATTGTCCAACAAGAATGTAAAAGGAAATGAAGACGGATGAATCGAACACACTCTGAAGAGACTAGTGATGTCACACTACCAGCCCTCGAATGGAACCTGAATAGGAGGTGACGAGTTAAGTTATGAATCCTAGGGTGTGAAATCGAGATCATTTGAGAAGGATATGACAGCTTGTGGGTGGTCGTAGAATCGGTTAAATACTATTGAAGAGATTATAGATTTCGTTATTATTATTATTACGCAACAGACAACAATCAGCATGAATCGAAGGAACCTGAAAGAAACAACCTCCTTTACCTACCTGCCTACCTGGGAAGCATCGTTTCAACTACAGGCGACGGAACTGACGAGGATACCAAAGCAAGAATCGGAAAAGCAAGACAAGCTTTTACTACTCTCAAGTCTGTGTGGAGGTCAACAGCACTCAGCATCAAAAATAAGATCCGGATTTTCAACTCCAATGTGAAGTCAGTCAGTGCTACTATACGGATGGATCAGAGACTTGGCCAACGCGTCATGAAGAGCACCTCAAACAAACTACAGACCTTCATTAACAGTTGTCTTCGCTCAATACTCAAGATCAGATGGCCGGCCAGAAGAGATCAGCAACAGGGATCTCTGGGAATGAGCGAACCAACACAGCAGGAACCGATTGTGAAACAAATAGGCAGGAAGAAATGGAGATGGATTGGCTGGCCACACTCTGAGGAAACCATCAAGTGATATCACTAGACACGCCATTGCTCGAGTGGAACCCGAAAGGGAAGCGGCGAGTTGGTCGTCATTGCGAGGGTGACTTGGAGGAGGTCATGTGAAGAGGAGATGTAGGCGTGTGGGCAGATTTGGAGCCAGGTGAAAACTCTAGCAGAGAACCAAACTCAATGGAGACGCACGGCTGAAGCCCTATGTTCCTTTAGGAATTAAAGGAAATAATAATAATGATAATATTATTATTATTGCGCAACTGTATAGCCGAGTAGGTAATTAGATTAAGTTATTCGAGATGTTGGTCACTTTTTAAATATGCTAAAAGGGAATTAAGCCAATATTCAAGATTTAATGCTACATATTACTTAAATAAAAATGGTTCAAAATGACTACAGTTTGGTGAGTAGAAATCAGACGTTACAGACAGTCGGTAGCACAGCGGTTAGGACTGTCGCCGACCATACACACGGTCCGGGGTTCGATCCCCTGCTGACGCACACCTGATATCTATGGTTGGCCTGCAAAATTTGGGCTACAGATATCACATGCTGAAAATTCCATACTTGCACCAAAAATACTGTGTGGTTTCAAGCTACAATCAAAAAAAATTAATATTATTCCATAGAATTTACTAAAGCGAAGTGTAGTTAATGGGGCGAACACACTTAACTCTACTTGGCAGTTTAAAGTTGACACGAACCAACGAGGAAATGATAGGATATCATCGGATTGATTTATTCTTCAATTTATTAATCGTGCCTTGTTAAAATTGGGTTGTCTTGTATTATACGCTAAAAAAGTACGAAATCTCAGCAGTCAGCTGATTATTAGGTTATTGTTGTGCATGTGTGTGTGTGTGTTTGCGTGTTATACCCCTTCCTTTTAGTGTTTATTACCAATATAATATGTGAATTCTTTTTTTTTGTAGATGCCTTATGAATAGTTCACAGCTGTCAACCAGTGAATTATCGACGCTATTTAAAAGTGTGCTAAATCCATCTGAACGTGGTCAGTTAGCCAGTCTTCTGCTTTCAGATTCCACTGAAATGAACACAAATGATGAACACAAGCCTCCTTCTCCAACTCATCATCCCGTTGAAGATACACTGGTGACTGAAGATGAATTTTTCTCTTCTCTGAAGCAAAACAATTAATTAATCAGTATAAATAATTGTCTGTCCAGTACATGCATACATATATATATGTATAAACATTTATAAATAGCCTAAAGCGCTTTCACGTAAATTAATCTGTTCATTCACTTTTCTTATACATTCGTGTATTCACGCATTCATCCATCCATCCATTCATTCATTGATTCATGCAGTGCTCATATAGGATTTGTTTCATTCCATCAGTCTTTACCTATTTACTGACTTACTTACTTTCTTTTTGACTTCATGTCTTTCTTTATTGTGATGAAATCAAAAATTGTGTCTTTCGTCGACATCACTGAACATATATACGCGTACACACATACATACACACTAGTGATAAAATTCTGGTGGCTACTAGTAATAATAATGTCTGCCGGCTTTCACTTAGTTAATCAGTGATCTTCGGTTGTTGCTGTTATTGTTGTTGTTGACTGTTTATTCTCTTCTCTCTCTTTCTTCTTCTTGTTCTTCTTCTTCTTCATAAAAGTACATTTCCACCAGGGTCAATGAACAAAAAGAGAATTCCAAAGAGGCGTGATTATTTATTGGATTAACTCATAGACTAGGAAGGAGAGTTAGAAGAAGAAGAAGAAGAAGATTGTGTCCATTCCCTTCTTTCTCACCTTTTTATTACTATTATTATTATTGTTATTATTATTACCGACGTAGTTGTTTTTCACTCTCTGACTGATTATGACAAAACATTTTAGGTAATTTAGTTGGATGGTGTTTGTTTTGTGACGATATTTTCTCCTCTGACATACAATGCTCACACACACACACACTCACACGTGCATACACGTACATAAGGTCCCTCTGCGTGTGTGCATGTGTGTGTATTCTTCAGAGTTCTCACTCCTTTCACATGTACTGATTGATTGATAACTGTGTAATCACACTGTGTTTGCTTTCTTTTTTTTACTGCAATCTACTTGTTTAATGTTTTCAACATCATCATCAACAACAACAAGAGAAAATAAAGCTATTTTTTTGTTTACATGATATATGAATAAATAAATAAATAACACAGTAAAAAAAACACAGAGGTGTGTAACTATGAGTTCGCCTACTGTGTCAAATATATATACGTCTCTTTCCGCTTTACTCAGTTTTGTTTATGTTTTGTGTTTATTTATTTACATACCCAATTGTGGCCTTGGAATCGAATATTGCTGTATAGAGAGAGAAAAAGTGTGTTAAACGAATGTGGTGATTTGACATAGGCAACGTTTTCGTCTCTTTCTGTGGGTGTGTGTGGGAGTCTTGCTTGTTGTCACTGCTTCATAAGGTCTTCTGTGCTTTTTGACGCCCATTGTATCTGTCTCTCTCTCCGTATTACATGAATTAAGAATAATAATGATAGTTGTTTCGGAGATGGAAGCAGAAAAAGACGAATATTGAGGAGATTGTGTTCATTAATTGCTGCATGTACTCCGTTGTTGTGATTATTACTACTGCGTTTGTGTGTGTGTGTGCATGTGTTTATCACGATTTATGGACCTGCTTTCTCTTATATTCTAATTCAGTAATTATGCTTTTCTATAGTTTGGTTTGTAAGGGTTAGTTATGTTTTTACGAGTTGATCACGGATTGATATCAGTTACAGAACCATTGAAAACCAGGGAGTACTGGACAGCTGTTTCTAGAGCCTAGTTTTGGAATCATCGGCAGTACGCACCCACCGGGATTCGAACCCATGACCTTCCGGTTACAAGGCAAGCTCGTATACCATTCAGCCACTGGGACCTGATTCAATGGCTCATGAATTCTAAGTTCTACCAATTATGCGTTTTTAGATAGCTTTTCATCCCCTAAGTTGGTGAGCATTTGAATGACAAGTGGTTTGTTTTCTGCCTACTTACCATTCAGCTAGACAACACCATTAGCCAGGCTAAGTGTATGTGTAGGTTTCTAGGCCCCAGTGCCAGTGGGTGACTGAGTTGTAACCAACCACAAGCTAAATAATCAGGCTGCTTAAGATATCAGACGTCCTTCTTAATGATTTATGTGAAATAGATGAACCAATGGAAAAACTTTGCACAATATATCAAAAATTAGCAGAATTTAGAATTCAAAACAAGATTTTGAGCGAACAATTGTTTTCGATAACTTCTTCTTCTTCAGGCTCTACAGTTATAAATCAATGAATAATAGAGTACATATGGCCAATAAAGGCAAATGAACATAATATCAGAAACTGTATTGGGGTGCATGTGTAAATTGAGATGACAGTCCATTAGTTAACATAGTTAATCAAATGTGTATAGGGTGTATAGTCAGAAAAATGTGATGAAGTGTGAATGAACAATTGGGTGATATAGTGCTGTTTTATAGTCAACAGAATACAAGTGTCATTGGGGTGAGAGAAATGCGATAATACATGCGACAAAATACATACAAACACACATTAACAAAGGGCGCACTGAATGTGAGGGCTGACCAATAATGTCTAATGATAAAATAAAGAGGCTAAATTGTAATAAGATGTTACAGAGTTGGTAGGCTTAGTTTAAAATCACAAAGGTTGACAAAATTAAGGGCAGCAATGAGGTGAAATAAACTGGGTGGAGAAATGGATAATAAAGACATGATATCACAAAATGATAATGATAGTAATAATAATACGGAAAATTATGATCCTGGTGACCTTTTCTGTACACATAAGTCTGGTCTTTCTCTATTAATCTCTAAAGCCTCAGCTATGGCTAGGAGGCGTAATCGTGTGCCTTTGGAGAGATTGTTCCGTACTCGATACACAACTGTAAATGACTTATCTACTTTGATGCTGTGTTCGTTATCCACTAGATGAGACAGAATTGCACTATTTAATGATTTGGTTGCTCTTTTCCCAAACCAGACAGGAATATGTTCACGAGTACGTAAAGATAAATTCCTTTGGGTACGACCTATATAACTAGCTCCACAGGAGCAGTTGAATTTATATACACACACTGATGTCGCCATTTTGGGTAATCTATCTTTAATGCACAGTGTCATTATCGGTTTGGTTGAGAAAGTGACATGCAGTTTTGCGGCACTGAAAGTTCTTTCAATTGCTCTCGTTAATCTACGGTTTAATATGTCGCTGGATATATCGCCTTTGAATTGTAAATTTAAGTAAAGCTTTTCCTTACTTACTGTGTTTCGCTTAGTTTTGTGTGTGGTTTCATTAATATACTTCTTTACAAAGTTGGTAGGATAATCGTTCTGTAGCAAGGCGTTTGTAAGATTTTCTATTTCATCTTCAATGGAGTCGTCGGTACATATGCCTCTAATTCTATGACTAAGACAACGAATTAGGTTGCGCTTATACTGTATAGGTATGAAGCTATGGAAGTGGGTGTATTGTCCATTCCACGTCGCTTTCCTATAGATGTTTCTCTTTAAGGTACCATCCATAAATGGAATACTACCTTGGAGTTCCTCTTCACAAGTGAATTTAATAGCTGGGTGTACCTTATTGAAGACTTGGAGCAGGTGTTGTCTATCCAGGTTATTGTTACAAATGATAAAGGTATCGTCAACATATTTATTTTTTTTATTTTGATTACAGCTTGATGCCACACTGTATTTTCAGTACAAGTATGGAATTGTCAGCATGGATATCGGTAGCCCAAATTTTGCAGGCCAACCATAGATATCGGGTGTGCGTCGGCAGGGGATCGAACCCCGGACCACGTGCATGATCGGCGAGAGTCCTAACCACTGTGCCACCGACAATAATAATCGAGTTTGTTTAGTATCTCTTTTAAGGGACCATTTTCCAATTTAGACAGAAATATGTCAGCTAATAAGGAACCAAGGGGAGAACCCTTAGCAACCCCATCTATTTGGCGGTAATACTCCTTATTAAATACAAATTGAACGTTCATAGTGCATTTTAGTAGTAATTCTTTCAATTTTCTTGGTGTGATCCCAATTTCTATTTTCTTTTCTACGAGTTGCTCGCATATGTAGTCGACAGTTTCTACAAGGGGGACGTTGGTAAATAGTGATGTTACGTCCAGCGATAACATAGTTTTGTCTGCTAAGTTCATATCTTTAATGTTTTCAACAAAGTCAAAGACATCTTTTACATTATATTTAACCAATTGGCGATGTAGCGGTTCTAACAGATTAACTAACCATTTGGCAGTTAAATGGAAGGGCGAGTTCGACATGTCCAGGATTGGTTGTAGGGGAATTCCCTGCTTATGTATCTTGGGTAAGCCATAAAGTCTGGGCGTATGAGTTCCGGTGGGCTTAATAGCGTCGAATATGGAACTATCAATTAGATTTTCATTTTTTAAAGACTTCAAATTTTTGACGAACTGGCGTTCTGTTGCTTCATTCGAATCTTTGCTGTTACCTAACTTGGAACGATCATTCAGTAGGGTGTTCATCTTATCAATTTAGTCGCATTTGTTTAAAATTAGAATTAAATTTAGAACTGATGGATCACTGGATTCCATCCTAGTGTGTCTGAATGGTCTGAATGAAGTTCTCTTGTAACCGGAAGATCCTGGGTTCGATTCCCGGCAGGGTCATGACTGCTCACTACTGAAAAGTCTGGTACACTCACTATCTAGTTTTCAATGGTTCTCTTAATAAAGTCAGTTTGTAATCAATCTTGAGATTACACACAGTATTACTTTCTATCCAACTAACTGTGAAGATATAATAGATAGCCGAAGAAGACTAGCTACTGGTAGTTGCGCCCACTGTTGTTACCTAAATTATCTGCAATACGTAAACATGATGGAGAAGATTTATAGCTCAGGTGGATGATTTTGATGTGGTTGTGTTCTCTGAGGTGGATGGTTTATTTGTGAAGCTTTCATTGCCCTACTAGGCAACATCTTCAGCGCATACTTCAATTTGATGAAGTGGGCTTTTAGATTTCACCACGAGTTTATTAGTCATCTCTCCTGGTGGTAACCTTGAACGTGATTGGTTGTTTTTGTGTGTTTTCACACCTCCTAGGCTACTTGTACTGGAACTGATTGTTTCCTGGACTTGAACTTTGACGGTTTGTGTGTGAGATTTCCTTCTTATTTAGTGAAGAATCTTGTCTACGTCGATGTATCTATTGATTGACGATTTACTGGAATACCAGGCTTCTAAATATTCTCTAGTATTCTTGGTGCTTCCTCTGTCTAATATTTGAGCGTTGTCCCAGTTGAATTGATGTCTGTGGTTGTCTGTATGCAGCGATATGATGGAGGAAGTGGATGTCATGTCTTTTGACGGCTAGCTTATGATCGTGGATACGAAGACGAAGGGGACGTCCACTTTGGCCAATGTAGTATTTATCGCAGTTGTTACAATTTATCTTGTAGATGAGATACAAGATTAAAATACGCAAACAACCTGAATGATTTTTTTAGCATAGAAAGTTTCACGAATTACGATATTTCAAGTTGTCACACTTTATAAATGTATACACAATTGAAAGTGAACAGAAACAGAAAACCGAAGTAAATATCATACACGAAAATGTATGGAGTAAGGCGGATGAGATTTGAACAAATCTAGCGATCGTAAAGAGTGAATCCATCTGCTCTATTAAGAAAGCTTTCGATTGCTTCCGCCAACATTCTCGAGCCATTGAC